TTAACTTCCAAAATAAGGAGTCCATGACTTCAAGCTTAATGAGAAACAATGTATGAAAAAGGTGGAAACAAGTATCTTGATATTAAAATGAAGCTCATTAGATCCTTACAAAGTCTAGCTCAAATTTATTGTTATTGCATCTTAGGGTTAAGTTCCCCTCAGCACAAACGTGTTTATCCATAATAAGGAAACCGCACAAGACTTCTTGAATTACTGTTACACCTATCTGTGATGTGTGCCAATGTTAAGGATTGTGACAGTCAGTGAATTAGACTGATTTGCAAGTGTGAGCATTGTCACTTCCTCCTGTGCACTTCCCTCGTCTGACCCCATTAGGTGCTCGCAAGTCTTCATGTTGGAGGAACATATGGCTTGGCCTCCAATGGAGGAAGTGAACTCATTCTAGTTTTTAAGAGAATGTATATTTTTCGCATGCCCTAACATCTGCAGAGAGAAGAATGTTTTGAGGTCGCTTTATGGTGACTTTACAAAATTTCTTCTTTTTTGACTGAATCTTTAGAAAAAGAATTCTCATGAGTACTTTGATATTGGTACTTGATACATTTAAATATTCAGGTTTAAAACTGTATACATCTTGTACATGATATATATTCTAAATAATTTCTGTATTCAGTCTGATGTTACTATTTGAAGTATGTTAACATACTAAACATTGTGAAAATCATTGATTCTACTTGTTGGATGCTACCCATGAAGATCCGGGGTAGAATAGGTCTTCAGCAACCCATGCTTGTCGTAAGAGGCGACTAACGAGATCGGGTGGTCAGGCTCGCTGAATTGGTTGATGCGTGTTATCGTATCTCATTTGCGTGGATCAATGCTCATGATGTCAATCACTGGATTGTCTAGCTGAAAGTTGATTAATTTCAGACCGCCTTCATATAGCTGGAATATTGCTGAGTGTGGCGTTAAACAACAAAAACTTGTTGGATGCCCTTGTGAGGTTTCAGGGTTAGAATAGGTATCTGGCGGCCTATGCTGCTTTTAAGAGGTGGATCTGGTGGTCAGGAGGGATGACTTCCTTGATTGCATGCCATCTTACCCTGACAGCTTGGGATGTTGCTCATTCTTTCAATCACTGGTTCAGTGTGTGCCAAAGCTTTTGAGTCTACTAGTCCAACCTGTGCCTTGATGTTACTTTCAGTAGATCTTGGTGTTAATTTTTGTACTTTATTAGCAAAGCTTACAAGACTGGGCTACAGACTAGTGGCTACTGTCACTAACTGCTGGTTTCTTTGGTCCAGACTGGATTATTTACGTGCCACCATCATATTGCTCGAATATTGCTGAGTGCGGCATTAAACAACAAACAAAATTTACTGGATTGCTGTCTGAATATTTTGTAAAAAAATCTAGACTGAAAATGATATACAGTATTGAATGAAAATCATGGAATCCCCTTTTTAAAAATGAATTATTTAGAGGATTCCTAGATTAGAATACTCTCAATGTTAGAAATTGGCACTAGTCCTATAGTCCATGCCAAACTGCCCAATGGTAATGGCATCATAAGAATTAGTAGACGTTTGCCCTTTTTAAGGGTTTAGCTTTATGTTATCATTATAAGGACTCGTGGACGAAAACTGTTAGTTTCTAACCCTGTTATAAACTCTACTAGTAAACCTCAAAATGCTCAAGGACTCTCTTGGCCCATTAATTATGTTTCAAAAGGAAGCATTGCTTGTGGGATGTAAACAGATGCTCTTCAACATAAGTATTGTGAGAATTAACATTCAGCATTTTAGTTTCATTTGAATATGTGAGTTGGGGACAGTTTTCAATCTGGGATTTGTGAAGATCAGGAGTATGTGTCCATGGCACTGAAATATGAACACGTCAAACTTGGTCTAAAGATCTGTTTGTCTTGTTCAGAGAATTTAAACTTTTTATAAAATCTTTATTTATTAAAACATGGATGTTGCACATTTCTGTCAGTTTGTAATGTGCAGCGACATTGATAAGGTTTCAGTGCTGTGACATAATTTAATGAAAAGTTTTGGCAACGCTCCCATTCTGCTCTGCTTTGACATGTCATAGAATGAGAATAAAGTCCATATTCTTTGATAATATATTTTTGATGGTGTAGACTTTGTCTGATTTTCAGAGTCACTGCTTCATATCTTGACATACAATATGTCATTAGAACACTACCATACATGCCAATTATGCAGGGATTTTTTAGATAATGCTGCAAGACTTGTTCTGGTTAGCCAAGTAAGCCACCAGCAGCAGCTGGATAATGGATATATCAAATATCAGAGGAAGGATTTAGTATAAAACTTGCCAAGATATTATCTTTATGTAAAAACAAGTTAATGGAATTACATTAGCAATGTCACTGTTTTGAGTCTGTATAGTTTAACCATGGACGTACTGTTCATGTAGGGCCTCTGGCGGCAGTGATTTATCCAGGCCTGTTGACTGCTCAGAGGCCGATATTCAGACACAAGCCTGCAGCTAAAATTGGAATTACAAATTTCCCATTCCATGTATTTATAGTTATTACCATTATTACAGCTTTATATACAGACTTATATTTCACTGATAACAGGACCAATAAGAATGGTTAAAAAAACCTTCTGTGCTCAGTTTAACACCATTGCATTGATTGCAATACCTCTCATTTTGAAACTTTTAACAAAAAAATCCAACTTCAAAGAGTTTTAACCAGTTTACCTGCCAAGCAGTGTTTGAAATAGATGCTTGCCCGTAGGCACGTGGCAGGTAGATCTTGTGTTAGGCCTGCAGGTTTAAATTTGCGAGGGTCCTCCTTACAGCCTGCAGTAAATTTACATGTTGATTTATTTGTCACAGTAACTTGTGTAAGCTGCAGGTTTTTAATTGAGGGTCTGCAGAGCTTATTCAGGGCCTCCTGCTCCTTGAGTCTGTTGGTGCTGATTAAAGCGTGACAGAGCACTTAGCTTTGTCAAAATTTGTCAAAATGCCTTCCAAGCTCAAGATCAGCTTTTGGTTATTTGGGTATTTTACGCAGGGTTTGGTTTTGATTAGGTATCCAAAATTTTTAGAGGGTATTCAAATTTTTGTACCCACCTGTTTCTTGACATTTGGGTATTTTAACCTGTTTCATAACAAACAATTTCTGTAAATTATTTAAAACTAACAATAGTAGTATACCTGTCTGCTTGCAGCTCCGGGAAGCCTTTTTGTTTGCAAAACCTAGCATTGACTTTGTAAGAAAGGCACCATTATTTTATCACCAACTGTTTAAGATACGTTGACTGGTCATGAGATGTATTTCAATTGGAATCAATCCGTATTTGAGTGTGTTTGTCACAAGTTTTTCCCACTAACTGTCAGTAAGTGAACTTCGCAATGGGCTGACAGTGATACACAATCACTTTATCTGACAGTTGTAACATACACAATCATTTTACATTAGTTATTATATGCTCATTAGTTTTTTTTTCAATAGCATATTTAATTTTGTTATTGCGTATTTGATACACTAGGATTTGTCTGCATATTTCAGTTTATTTAATACATATTTTATGCAAATACGCAGCGTATTCCGAGCTCTGACCTTGAAAAGTGGACTTAAAACCATGTCAGTTGCTTTCTTTAAATGTCATTGACATGATTTAAAATATTATTTTGAAAGTTTTTTCAAGTTGTTTTTGACAATTAACAGTCAAGCTGTGCTGTGGATATAAGACTTCAACATTTCTAGCATGAAAGTCGAACACTGCAGCGATAGAAACAAACAGTTTTAGTCCACCAGTCCTTATAATGATAACATGTAGCAAAACCCTTAACAATGGCATATTTCTACTAGTCCCTATGATGCCTTAACTATTGGGCAGCTTGGCAATCACCACAGGACTAGTGCCCATTTCTAACGTTGCACTGCCTGATGAATGCCTGGTGTAATGAAATTTGTATTGACTGGCGAACTCCTTGGTGAAACATTAGCTGTGTATGGTGTATGTACTAATCACACGGTTGATGGTACATGGGATACTTGACAGTCTAGCAAGGTGATCAATAGCCGCAGATAAGATGATTACTATCTCTGCCAAGCCTATTCTTCATTATGTTAGCTTCCGTAATAGCTGTATTCATCATCCCTTTGTTATTAGGAAAATTTGATTTCCAATATCGGACACTCCTCTTATTATGAAAAAGAGAAGAAATCTCATTGTTGTTGCGTGGTCATGCGTGACAGTGATTGACAACCCAGAGATCCAATTTGATCCTGGGTCGCAACAAGTAGAGCATGTGTGGACAAAGGGTAGTTGACCACCTTTCAACTGCCCAGTGATGACCATTGGTCAGGTGCATTTCATTGACGACGTTGAGGTGTGTAAACCTTACGTGCCTGTAATAGACCCAGCTGCTCTTAGAATACAAGCAACTCTATGTTGATTATGTCAACATTGTGTAAGGTCTTTGCTCCATTTAGATTTGCTACATGTTCAGGGTTTCAAACTTGCTGGCTTTGATGATTACTATGGTGTTTTTTGCTGCTTAGTCATGAGAGCGTGTTCAAGGAAGTTGACAATCCCTGCAGTTAACCCTGACCAGAGTATTCAAGTTAAGCTACAGTCATCGTTGACCATGAGAATAAGCATGATATTTATAGACGTAGGACTACAATATCTTTTGTCATAAATTGTGACTTGGTCAATTGTTTTAGTTCGAGTGGGAGAGTTCTTTCCCTGTTGACACTACTTTTGAGGTCGTCTCACCTGTTCGTGTTTGTGTAGCAACAGATTTGTCATTTGGAAAAGTATATAGTTGATGTCCAGTGCAATGAGTTTCATCATTCTTGTGACTTACACATTGTGTTTGCCAAGTGAACATTATTAAACTTGGGCGTGAATTCCAGTCTCAGGATGGTATCCAAGTCATCAAAAGTGAAGTTCACCAAATCCACATTCAGTGTTGGTCAACATAGTTTAAAAGAAATATTTGCAGTGAAGAAGTTAAAAATCATAATACCCTGTTTTGCCTTTCTCCAGGCAGAGAGTGCAGCTGTTGTGAAGAGTTCTACGAAGATGATGCCAGAGTATTCCGAGAAGTTTTTACAAGAGAGAGATATTTGTACCACACAGTTTGAGAAATGGACTGAATATGAACAAATTGCATTTGTTGAACATTTATTATCACGGATGTGTCATTATCAACATGGACAGATTAATGCTTACCTTAGGCCCATGCTACAGAGGGATTTTATCACAGCACTTCCAGGTAAGGAAAAGCATTTTCATATCACTTATTGTGGCCTAGAGTGTACTAGGGGGTGAACATCCGTGAACATCCGGGGTAGAAGAGGTCTTCAGCAACCCATGCTTGCCGTAAAAGGTGACAGTGCTTGTCAATTGGTTGATGCATGTCATCATATCCCAATCGCGTTGATCGATGTTCATGATGTGAATCACTGGATTGTCTGGTCCAGACCGCTGTCATGTAGCTGGAATATTGCTGAGTGCGGTGTTAAACAATAAACAAAACAACAACAAAAGAAAAATACTCGGGGTGAAACGATACATCGGTGCTGTGTGAGTTTTTGATATGTTGTTTTCTTTATCGATACTTGACGATACATTTGTTAAAATTCATTACTTACTACTCGTTTAATGACCCCATCCCAACCCTCAGCATTTTTGGCAGTTAAACATCGCAAAATGTGTTCTAATAAGCTTTTCAAGTTCACTACTAAAAATAGTCACTATCATGATTCTATATACATGTAGCTACAGATAACTTTTGAAGCTGCTCTGAAATATTCATACTTTTGACCTTTCCATGTGATTTGTCGTAAATATGCGTTTCCCATCGTATTGTGACCTTGCTGTATCGTTTCAACCCTAGAGTCTACACTTTCTGGTTGAATGTTAACCAACATGACAGCTAGAATGCTATGAACCTGTAAAACCTGTGTGCAGACAATTTGGGAAACATACTAGTATTGGTGCTGTGTACTCATGATGTATGATATTGTTTTATGTTGATATGGTAGTCATTGTGAAACTTAACGTATCACGATACTTCGGAGTGTTTGTGACACATCCCACTCCTAACCTGTGTATCTTCTTAAGTTAAATGATTACTATTCATAGATAATTCTAGGTGGGGCCTTTGTTCTTTTGCCCCAAATTTGGAGACGGGCCCACATTTTCAAAGACAATTCGGCATTTGTGCTACAGTATATGGGCCTGTGTTGGCATACCTCTGGAATATTTGAAATTTCCAGTTAAAGGGCCCAATTGCTGGAGTGAACCATGCTTCTTTTTGGTAGGGTTGAATTGAGTTAAATTAGAGGGCCTGGAATCTTCATGACTTTAATTACATCGAACATTGTCATAGTTGACTTGTCAATAATATTAGTATTCAGATATTTTTTGCAGTTTAAAGTGATGTATATTTTTGGAAATTTCAAAAATGAATATGAAAGGTATTGTTGAAATTCGTTGTGGATAGTTAGAGTTTTGTTGCATTAAATAGGAACTGTCAAATGGCTCCATTTTGTGAAATGTATTTACAATTACATGCTGTAACCATGGTTACAGGTAAACATACATGTATGTGATGGCAGTGATATTTAATCAAAAACATCAACATCATTACCAATGAATCTGCTATTCATTTTTTCGAGTAATCATGACAGCATAACACTTTCCCTGTTTACAAGACAGATGATAATTGATTTGAACACTGAAATCAAATTCTACCGTCATTTGTTTTAATCTTGATATACAGTGATAAAGTTTTTTTCTGTTCAGAAAAGCTGAAAATTGATTTAACTTAACTTGATTTAACATGTTTAACTTGCACTGGGTGCATGTTGGCATATCAGCCTAGTTGAACCAGACAAAACCAGGTTGCACTCTGGTCCTATCCGTATATTTATGAAAGTTGAAACTAGCACATAATCTTGAAGAACCCACAGTTGAATGACATCATGCCCCCCAAAAGCATGACAAATTACACATAATCATGATAATACAGGGATTATTGATGTCATAGGGTAAGTAAAGCTCTGAGGTAGTGAGTGAGTCTGATGTTGTGTGGACATGTAAGGGTTAGACACAAATTTGAAAGATTTTGACATGTACTTGGTGTATATAGACATGAATATTAGGTTGCCTTTTACAATAATAGGGTGCACTGGTGCATGTATATAGCTAAATTGAGCCCTGGTTTTAATGTCAGCATGGCATGTGTGTTTGTAGCCAAAGGTCTCGACCATGTGGCAGAGAACATCTTGGGCTATTTGGATGCCCCCTCGCTGTGTGCGGCAGAGCTGGTGTGTAAGGAGTGGTACCGTGTCATCTCAGAGGGCAACCTGTGGAAGAAACTCATAGAACGCAAAGTGCTGACAGACAGTCTGTGGAAGGGACTAGCAGACAGGAGAGGATGGTAGGTTACCTTTTGTTTGTTGTTTACATTCAGCTGTAGACGGGGTTACCTAGTGCATTAGACTCATGAAGGTCCTGGTTAGAATAGGTCTTCACCAACCCATGCTTGCCGCAAAAGGCGACAATGCTTGTTGTAAGAGGCTACTAACGAGATTGGATGGTCAGGCTTGCTGACTTGGTTAATGCATGTCATCGTATCTCAATTGCGTGGATCGATGCTCATGATGTCAATCATTGGATTGTCTGGTCAAGATTTGATTTTCAGACCACCTTCATATAGCAGTAATCATAATTTTGTCCACAATTGTTTTTGTGTCAAGATATTTTCTTAAATTCAGAGATTTTCAAGTTCAGCTTATTTCTTTTCACATTGCTTTCAATACAATAATGTAAAACAAGCATTGAAGTCTCTTCCTCTTTATTGATCATGTTGATAGTGTTATCAGTGAGATCACCTTTACAACTCGCGTTACAAAGTCACCCCCATCAAAGCCAGAACGTTAATTAAGTACTACATTAGCACAAAGAATGACAACTCTGTGTATCTTGAAAATCAGATTACAGACCAGTGTTCAAACTTAACATAGCCTGCACATGCGAGACTAGTAAAATGCAGAAAGGACCGTGATTCTTAAAATTGCAAATTAATCTTTTGACATACGACTTATCTTGGAAACACAAAGTTAAAACCAATCATAATCAATGTTTGATCTTTTGGATTGTGATGAGTGATAAAATCCCAACCAGTTGCTTGCAGAATAGAAGAGTCAGTCACATGCTTTTGATGTCTTAGGTAGTGATGAGGTACAAACTAAACAAGTCCTTCACAGTATTCATGGTGTGACACTTCCACTTCCATTTCAAGATTGAACGTCACATACCGTATTTGCCATTATGTGCACCAGGCACTAAGAACATTGATAGACAGGGGAGCTGTTTGCACGATAACTTAGATCAGAGATTGATCAGTAGGGAAGAAACTTAGTTAAAAATGGATTTAGCTAAAAAGTTCTGTGCATTTACATTCCCTTTCTGTGCTGCTGTTTTCTGTACAAAATCTGTATACACAAGAAAATAAGGATTTTTATAGCAATGTTCGGACTTAGTAGGAAGCGCTTGTGATATTTCTTACAAATTGATCTATAAGTTAGTCAGGGAGTGCTTATTGGATGCTTAATATGGCAATTACAGTACTAGTGAATGTTAATTGCCTGAGATAAGACATGCAATAGATATCCCTCAAATTCGAATGTCATGCCTATCTCAAACAAAACCATCTGCCCCAAATGTGTCCTTAGACATGTTATTGTTATATGAGTATTATTAACTTTTAATACAGTGGCAAAGGAGTAATGATCGGTTTTAGGATAAAAAAATAATAGTCTTGGTTCTCAGGCACTGCCCACATCATCATTAAGTTCATTGCACATTTCGTTTTGGTTTCCATGTTCAATGTTTGAGTAATGTTTTAAAATGGAAATAAAAACAAAATGTGCGGCAGACTTTATGATAATGCGGGTGGTGCCTGAATACCAAGACTATTATTTTTTTCAGCCTTAGCATGATCACAAATTAATCTGGCCTTGTGAGATGTAACCACAATGTTTTCACACTCAGTAATTGGCGTGCATGGGTTTTACAAAAAGTAGGATTCTAAAAAGACAAGGATTAGGTAACCAGTTCCAGCTCACCGGGTGAGCCGGCTGAACCTCTTCAATGAACGCAACTCCGCTTTTGTTTGTAAGATCTGTGGTTCGGGTATCTCAGCTGACACTTCGTCTAATTACATGGTTGATTGAAAATACACACTTTAGCAGGTGTTAGTGAATTTTGATCAGTTGCTTTTCTGTTGGGGAATTCCAGTTTTTGATAAGTGTATGGTATCATGTGACATACAAAATGATGCTTGGTTGTCGTGTGCTATGAAAAATTGGCAAGAACAGTGAGAATATGGGATTGAACCAATATGCTGGTTATATATTTTTGTATCTGTATCTAGAATAACACAATATCTCGAATCTGTATCTAGGATAACACAATATCTCCAATCTGTATCTAGAATAACAATATCTCGAATCTGTATCTAGGATAACACAATATCTTGAATCTGTATCTAGGATAACACAATATCTCGAATCTGTATCTAGAATAAAACAATATCTCGAATCTGTAACTAGGATAACACAATATCTCGAATCTGTATCTAGAATAACACAATATCTCGAATCTGTATCTAGAATAACACAATATCTCAAATCTGTATCTAGAATAACACAATATCTCGAAATCTGTATCTAGGATAACACAATATCTCAAATCTGTATCTAGGATAACACAATATCTCAAATCTGTATCTAGGATAACACAACATCTCGAATCTGTATCTAGGATAACACAATATCTCGAATCTGTATCTAGGTTAACACAATATCTCGAATCTGTATCTAGAATAACACAATATCTCGAATCTGTATCTAGGATAACACAATATCTCGAATCTGTATCTAGGATAACACAATATCTCGAATTTGAAGAGTTGGTTCATCGAGGTTCTGATATGGAAAAAAATTGTCAGTTTTAAGGTCAGAGGTCATGTGAGGCTATAGTTGTTGAAGCTAGTTTCCAGTTGAAACAAATATTCTGTGAATTAGACAAAGTTCAATGTTGGTGAGTTTAACACTTCCATTCTTGTGTTCAAATTCAGGTTTTATATGTAACATGTAACTAACATTCATTTTCTTTTCCAGGTGCCAATTCTTGTTTAAACCCAAGCCTGGAGAACCACCAAAAGATCATAAATTTTACAGAAGTCTGTACCCCCAAATTATTCAAGATATTGATGTAAGTATCAACTTGCATACCTATCAACATTGTTCCTGGGCAATAAAAAATTATTCTCTTTTTTTTTCTGTTTATGTGTCATAGTCATTGGTCCATCAAGCCTCATGTATTTCACATATGCTACCCTTTGAAATTTATCAAATATTTTTTCAACATAGTTATAAGGTGATATTTTAGAGGTGGTAGGGCGTTACAGATTTTTGTACCTAAAATTCATGTTGGTAGGTCGTAAAATTATGATTTAAAAATTCCCATTTCAAATATTTTTTTTAATTTAGTCATAATTCGTTGTTTTAAACTTTACAAAAAATATTTTCAACAGGTTTAAATTTTGTATTTTAAATTTATTTATATGAACAGCTACTGTAAATGAGTTTTAGCGTGTGTTTCCCATTTCAATGCACAATGATATTTTTTCTTCTTCAGAGAATAGAGAGCAACTGGCGTACAGGGCGCCACACATTACAGAGGATTCACTGTCGCAGTGAAACCAGCAAGGGGGTGTACTGTCTCCAATATGATGATAGCAAGATCATCAGTGGGTTGAGAGATAACACTATCAAGGTATATGTACGTGTATTGCTTTATTTTCTCTCCAGTAAGTGCAGTAAAAGAAACCCTTTTCACCATGCAAGCATCGTTATGTTATCCTTTGGGCTTCTGGGTAAAAATCTATTCATGTCTGAATTTCTCTTTCTCATCAATATTTTCACTTGACAAATTAACACATTTCCATCCAAAACTTCCACATGTTCAAAGAAGAATTTGTCCCAGTACCCTAAGCTTGAAAGAGCTGACAAGAATGGAAGTCCCAATAGCTACTGAATTTCTCCTTTCTACAGCCAAACCAGGATTGTGTATATCATATTTGGGGCCTTTTAAAACCAGGACCTGTTTTGCTCTAGAAGTGATAAAACTAGTAATAGTATCTCTGTTTTCCAAACTGGAGTTCAGATAATGTCAATACGAGTATACTTTGAAAGATTTAAGAAAGAAATGTTGACCTACATGGTAAATAGTGTCCATATTATGTAAGGAAGATGGTATGTAAAATGTGAAAATGTAGGTGCAAATGTGGTCTATTTAATCAAGGCCTGACTGTCCACTTGAAAAAAGATCCATGTTTTGAAACCCTAGAAAGCAGTGTTTGAATATGTACTACCCCATCCCTTGATATAACATTGGCTGGAGCTGTACAGTGTTTGGCTGGACCACCATAGAAGAACAGCTCCAAGCTGTGACTTGGCTGTGTCATCAGTCTGTTGACCTGATCAGTACTCCTGACTCATTAATCAAGACTGTTTTGTCTGTTCCCAAGTAGAATGCATAAGTATCTCCTGTCGTATATATCTGTAATAGTGCTCATAACAGCTTGGTAATTGTCATCGCCCTCATCATGCCCTTTAGATTTAACCTTTAAGACATTATTTGGCTTATAGTGTTTTTAGTTGGTTTCTGAAACCAATCGACAACAGAAACTTGTTCCTTTACTCTTGCACTTTAAGTTTAAACTTTGGAAACATTTTATAATGAAATTGTTTGAAAATTGTTATAATCTCGTCAAATGATCCTTTGGCAAAAATAGTAAAGGTTCATTTTAAGAAAAACCTTTAAATTCTTGATCTGTGGTCATCTTGTAGATGTTAACTGTAGGGATGTGGCTAGTTAAATGTTCACACAAAGAAAGGCTTCAAAAATATGTTGATACTTGGTGAAGAGGGTTTTCTTATTTCAATTATTATGGTTGTAATTGCTGTTTGGCAAATGGTGCTTCACGTGCAGTTTTGCTTTAGACTCATACAGTACTGGCTTCTGTAAATATAGGCTGTGGGGAATGGATGCAAAATTAAGCATGCTCTTACGTTTATGCATGGCAATTTTACATGTATGTCCATTACAATGAATATATATTAAAATCCTATGAATATATCAATATATTCTCTTTAAAGATAAAAAAAAATCTTTAAAAAAAATTTAACTTGAAGATCAATGCATCAAGAATAAGAAATTCTTCCATGTAAATGCTAATGGTGTATGGAGATTTATTACTTTGTATATTGTGGGGTCTCCCAGTACTGTAGGGGTTGGCCCATCTCTATGTACTAGTACATGGCTTGACATGTTTGTAGATGTGGGACCGCAACACACTGGAGTGTGTCCAAGTATTGACAGGCCACACAGGATCTGTGCTGTGCCTTCAGTATGACGAGAACATAATCATATCTGGATCCAGCGACTCCACAGTCAGGTCAGTACAAGAGGCAGGAGATGGGATCTGTCTTGAAGCAGCAAGATCAGTTTTCCCAAGCAAAGCTGGTTAGACAATGTTTCTTTTTCGTGAAGTTACAAGTTGGATTGGTATGGTATTGGGGCGGTCGGGTAGCCTATTGGTTAAAGCGTTCGCTCGTCACGCCGAAGACCAGGCTTCAATTCCATACATGGGTACAGGGTGTGAAGCCCATTTCTGGTCTCTCTCTCTCCCTTCCCCAATAATATTTGCTGGAATACTGCTAAAAGCGGCATTTATCACTCACTCACACATTGTGTGGTATGATTTGAACAAAACTCTTACTCATTTGGGGGCATGGTATTGAGTATATTTATGTTCCCTTCATGCTTATTGGCTGCTATGTCTGACAACTGTCACTTATGTGCTACATGCAGTCATAATACTTAATTATTTTCTTCCAAAGATTCCTTAGGATTCTACACTAACGCTTTGTAATTTCATACTGACATAATAAATTCATAATTATAGGACTATCAATTGGCATCAGTGCCACCCCTTGTCCCACAAAGGGGATTCCGATAAAATAGGTCGCTAGGATCAGGTCATGCTTGGTAACATACCCCAACATCATGGAATTCTACTCATTGTCATATTGGGAGGGGGACAGATGGCCCAGTCATCTGAGACACCATAATTCGCTGTGCAGAGTTGCGCCCCTTGGCCAAGCCACAAACCTGTGATTGTGGGTTCGAATCCCAGTTGACCCTGATTGTGTTTCTAGGTTTGTCAGGACAAAACATGTTCGTGGGTTTCACCAAAGTGGTAAACGTCTAAGACCTGTATCACTTCTGGTTTTCCTCCCACATCAAGCTGACCCACCGTGATATAACTGGAATGCTGTTCAAAGTACTCACCGGATTTCTTGCTCTAGACTCAGTAATGCAGGAGTATTTCCATGTTTGACGTTAAAGTTCCATGATGTAGCTAAACTACTGTTCAAAGCAGTATTAGCCCAACTAACTCATTCAACTCTCTGACCCGTGAAGATTCCGGGGTAGAATAGGTCTTCAGCAACCCATACTTGCTGTATAAGGCGACTATGCTTGTCGTAAAAGGCGACTAACGGGATCGGGTGGTCAGACTCGCTGACTTGGTTGATACATGTCATCGATCCCAATTGCGTGGATCAATGCTCATGATGTCAATCACTGGATTGTCTGGTCCAGACTCGATCATTTTACAGACCGCCGTCATATAGCTGGAATATTGCTGAGTGTGGCGTTAAACAACAAACATTCAACTCTCTTTGAATACTCCCATCAAGTTGTTAATATCCGTCTCCTGTTACAGAGTGTGGGATGTGAAGACCGGGGAGATGCTGAACACACTGATCCACCACTGTGAGGCTGTCTTGCATCTCAGGTTCAATGATGGCATCATGGTCACCTGCTCAAAGGTCAGTCTCTTGGATGCAGCTGCATTGTTTAGGATGAATACTTAGTGTTCAAAAAGAAACCTGAGTGTCAAGGGTCCTTGTCATAGAGTTAGTGTTAGAGGTCCTTGTCATAGAGTTAGTGTTAGAGGTCCCTCGTCATAGAGTTGGTGTTAGAGGTCCCTCGGCATAGAGTTATTGTTAGAGGTCCTTGTCATAGAGTTGGTGTTAGAGGTCCCTCGTCATAGAGTTAGTGTTAGAGGTCCCTCGTCATAGAGTTAGTGTTAGAGGTCCCTCGTCATAGAGTTAGTGTTAGAGGTCCCTCGTCATAGAGTTGGTGTTAGAGGTCCTTGTCATAGAGTTAGTGTTAGAGGTCCCTCGTCATAGAGTTGGTGTTAGAGGTCCCTCGTCATAGAGTTAGTGTTAGAGGTCCCTCGTCATAGAGTTGGTGTTAGAGGTCCCTCGTCATAGCGTTAGTGTTAGAGGTCCTTGTCATAGCGTTAGTGTTAGAGGTCCCTCGTCATAGAGTTGGTGTTAGAGGTCCTTGTCATAGAGTGAGTGTTAGAGGTCCCTCGTCATAGCGTTAGTGTTAGAGGTCCCTCGTCATAGAGTTGGTGTTAGAGGTCCTTGTCATAGAGTGAGTGTTAGAGGTCCCTCGTCATAGCGTTAGTGTTAGAGGTCCTTGTCATAGCGTTAGTGTTAGAGGTCCCTCGTCATAGAGTTGGTGTTAGAGGTCCTTGTCATAGAGTTAGTGTTAGAGGTCCCTCGTCATAGAGTTAGTGTTAGAGGTCCCTCGTCATAGAGTTGGTGTTAGAGGTCCTTGTCATAGAGTTAGTGTTAGAGGTCCCTCGTCATAGAGTTGGTGTTAGAGGTCCCTCGTCATAGCGTTAGTGTTAGAGGTCCTTGTCATAGAGTTAGTGTTAGAGGTCCCTCGATTCAAATACTATTGGAGCTGACCATGGGGACCCCAGGAACACTCTTGGTTTGAAACACTGGTTACTTCTGGTTCAATTACAAATCAACTCAACACACAACAAAATACTCATATATTGCCAGTTATATTTTTGTCTAGGACTATTATCAAGCATCCCCAACGTCTTAAAAGAAGTTTCTATTATCTGCCGAAATAGTTTCAATTCAACATAAAAGGCAAAATAGAGGTGTAATTTATATAAGTGGATCACTGAAAGTCTGATGACACCAGATGTTTGCAAAAAGAATAAGACAAGGTTGCTTTGTGGTTTTGCAGGACTGAGCCTGCCGCTGCATGATATTTTTAAGACAAAAGTGTTGTGATATCTCAAGAACATCATATGAAATATCATATTAAATTTAATTAAATACATCTACTTTACGGCCCGTTAATGTTTTTAACACACTCTTGTAAATTGGGTGACACTTGTTGCCCTTAAAACAAATACATGTGCAGAATATGGTGTTTTGTTGTGGAACAAGTTGTTTTGTGTTGTGAGTGTTGGGATGAATGCCTCTAATCTGAATTAATTTCCTCCAACCAGGACCGCTCGATAGCTGTGTGGGATATGCAGTCCCCCACTGAAATCAACTTGAGGCGGGTGCTTGTGGGTCACCGAGCTGCTGTCAATGTTGTTGACTTTGATGAGAAATACATTGTCTCGGCATCTGGAGACAGGACAATCAAGGTTTGTGTACATCAGATCTTAAACATCAAGTGTTGGTGACTAATAACTTAATATTATCATATGCATTTGTTAGCTGACTTTGCTAGCTTACTTCATTAGCTCACTTGTTGGCTCACCAGGACCAAACTCGGAATGTATCATGTGAGCAGCAGTGCCTATTTTCAATGTTATTATTTTGCAGCAAAGCTGAAATAATACACATGTATGATTCTCGACATTCTGTATCAAGTTGAAAATACTATTTGTGCTTTAGGTGTGGAACACTTCTACCTGTGAGTTTGTGCGGACACTAAATGGTCACAAGAGAGGTATTGCCTGTCTTCAATACAGGGACAGACTAGTTGTTAGTGGCAGCTCAGACAACACCATACGGTGAGTACACACAGCTGCTGCTAATGCGGTGTTAGGGTTTGAAATTAGCCATGAAAGGCCCTTGTGACGACTGACAACCCTAATGTTGGATGATAGAAATTGAGGGGGTCCCTACATTCAGATCTATGGGAGTGAACCTCAAGAACACGAGGACCCACCTTAATATCAAACACTTGTAATGTAAGCTGTACAAAGATGGTGGTTAAAATGTTCGCTTGCTGACCAAGGATCCGGGTTTGATTCTCTATAAAGGTCATGTGCGAAGACAATATTAATGGTGTTCCCGCCATGATGTTGCTGAAATGTTGCTGAAATATTGCTGAAAGCTGTGTAAAACCTCCTCACTTGCTGGTGTCCACCAGCCATGACGTGGCTGGATAATTGCTAAAAATGACAAAACCCTACTCACTCCCTCAAGTAGGCATGAGACACCTTTAAAGTTAGACCATCATCATATCAGCCTTGAAGAAGCCTGTATTTTGTTATGGGGTCATATTTAATATATGTTTGGTCCTTGACAATTGCCGTAAGCACAGGCATATAAGTAGTCTAGATTGTCTGCACTGATCTTCACCACAAGCCAACACTTGCCCTGCACCATGTTCTCTGACTTAATCAGCATCACTCCACTAATCATGCAGCATGACTATGCTGTCACCTGATAATTCTGGCAGTTTTTATTGTCGGGTAATTGACGTCCTTGAAGTTAATGCTGTATCCTTGAAGTAAGTTTAAAGTCCTTGAATGACTTAAGCCCTGGTTTGTAGGCCTGCTTGTTGTATGTTTTCTGTATGTTATGTTAGACAGGATTAAAATAGTAATACCTGGCCTTTCATCCAGGTAGTTAATGTTATTTGTAGCAGGTAAATCATTTGCTGAAGTGTAGGAGCTTCTGTTTTGGTTGCCAAGAATAACTCAAATGAAGAGCAAGTAGTGATGAAGTGTGACATGGTCGTTCATGTTCCCAGCTGTTCATTGTATCCATCTAAGTGAACAGACTGACTATACATGGTTTGAAACTAACAGTCACAAATTGAGGAAGGACTTGTGACAGACGAGACTAGGTCTTCAGCAATCCATGCTTGCCGTAAAAAGCGACTATATTTGTTGTAAGAGGTGACTAACGGGATCTGGTGGTCAGGCTCGCTGACTTGGTTGATGCATGTCATCGTATCCCAATTACGTGAATCTATGCTCATGATGTCAATCACTGGTCCTTTGTGACATGTCTTTATAGATTACCAGTTTTACCATGAGGTTGATGGCCAGTCTGCAGCTGATCATCTGTGCCAACTAATGAAAGTGAACATCAATTTCTTACCGCTGCTTTATGTTGTAAATAAAAGTGTTAACCTGACACGTGTACCCCTACTCATTGCCTTGTGTACTTCAGGTTATGGGACATAGAATATGGCGCCTGTCTCCGGGTGTTGGAGGGCCATGAGGAGCTGGTCAGGTGCATCCGCTTTGATGGCAAGAGGATTGTCAGTGGAGCTTACGATGGGTGAGTATGAATATATACTTGGCAGTGTGATACTAGATTTGTTCAAAAAGTCATTCAACCGGTAGTCTTTAGGTTAAAGTACTGGCTTGTCATGCCAAGTTTTGTTTACTCATTTGACTATTGAAGTCTTCTGCTAAAACTATTTTAATTTGTCAATATTATGAGAGAGCTATTAGCACCACTCTTTCAAACCTTTGAATATATACTGAACAAAAGTGGTTTGGGATTATGAAATTTTGGGGGATATTTAGAAGATAAATACTATGTGTGTGTCTATTTCCGGGATTTTATCAAGTATTTGCATCTTTAAAATTCATCTCGAGACCGGAAAGCGTTAGCTTGAGGGTCTCGAATGAAAATTTCCAAGATGCAAATACTCGATAAAATCCCGGAAATAGACACACACATAGTATTTATCGATATTGTAAACCTATTGTTTTATTTAGAAAAAAACATGCACACTCTTTAACACCTCGTACTTACTCGGTTGTAAGGCATCAACATCGAACGTTCTGTTGTTGCTATGGTGATTGTGATTTTGGTAATGATGACGGACTACTTTCCTGATTGTAAGTCATTCATAAGTTGCTGGTGCTTCAGTCGAATGTTCACCGTATAATTAACAATAAAAATAAACAAACTCGAAATCGTCTGCGAGTTTGTTTGTTATTATTATCAGTTACATTATCTGTTGTTATGTCAACATAATCGTTTTTTCAGAGTGTAAACCCCCTGGATGCCACAGCGACACATATGTCCCTCCTCTTCAACCCTCACTTCGAAATCGAATAAAATTCAAAATACATCACGCAGATTAATACACTTCACAGTTTTGAATTCCCCTTTCTGTTTATCATTTACTGTCATTTTAGGCAATTCAAAATTACTGAAAGTGACTTCTGAAAATTGGGTACATTGTAAATCTCGCCAAATCACAATTCACGGCGTTATATTACTATTTACTGTGTGTTTAGAAAACTAAATAACCAATATTTACTCGAATAATCAAAGTAGAAAATTAGCATATTAGCGATCACGGGTATCAAATCACTACTGATAATTCCGAAACGTCGCTGAGAAGCCTAGAATCGTTTAGAATGTTTTGGAAAATACGCATACACGAACGCCGAAGTTTACGTTCCGCCATATTGGATTGTGTTTACAAAATGCTGGTTATGAGACGCCTATTCGATCAGGTATATTTCAATATTTAATGCTATACATGCATCCCTGAATTCCTTATACATTTTCGAAACAATGGATAAATGGTCTTTGTCACCAATGCAAATTATCTAGATGAAATCATGCGAAATAAGTTGGGTATTGAAACGAAAACTGTGCTCGGAAAACTGTACTTGCTGAAATGTAAACAAAGCAAAATTCAGATTTTACACTGTACTTTCGTCTTTTTGTTGCATACATTGGCTCGATCACGCGTTTGAGAATATTCATGGGAAGAGTATCGTTGCACTAACTATGGAAATACACATATATACATTACAATGATGTTGTAAATTCAACAGAAGCCGTTTACAAAAGTTTCCGTCCTGTGTGGCGCCATGACTGACGCTAAATCACGCACGACGATGACGGTAGTTATCTGCATTTCTGACTAATTCTCTTTGTTACATTGGAAAACATGGTAAACAAAAAACAGTACACAGATTGTCAGAATGCTTCTGATTACTTACGTGACCCATTTATGTGTATACGATCCCTCAATCAACGAAAATCCTCCTCTGGAAATCCTGCGTACTGTTGTCAGTTAACACGCCATTTTGTAAAAGTCGGTCACCGGTAGTGATGTCATACGGAAGTGAACATTGTTGTACATATTTGGTAATTTCTTTGAGGTGTAAACTTTCAACTTTGTTTTTGTCTAGTTTGCATTTTCATCATCACCTTGATAAACCAGATATGACGGAAACCTTTTTGTGTCGAGTCACATTATTTATGAGTTGTAAGCAGCACATAGGATGACGTCACTTATGACAGTGGTGTCGTGTATAATGCGCTACTGCAGTCATGACAAATTCATCGGTTCGATGCTAAAAAGGCGCTATTTTGGGGTGTGAAAGAAACAGATTACAGCACTCGTGGCTGTCAGATACCATTGATCTTACAACTCGTTGTTACAGAGCATATCTAACTCACTTTCCTACACAGTGATTCGGTCGCTTGCTTCAGGGAATTCAAATCATATTTTCACCCTTTGACATTTGGTCATGTGACCCAAATTAGCCAATCACAACACAGAACACACTTTCTATGGGTTTACAATTTTTTGTAATGAACACTGAGCACATAATTTCATTTGCAATATCCTCAAAAGTATTCATGATCCCTTACTTTTTTTTATCAGTATATATAAAAGAGATTATATCATCTACACACAATATGCAGTAGTTGACATACCATGTCTTACCTTGTTCCTATTGACATTTTCATAAGCATCTCAAACCTAATTGATAAGCAGGTACTTTTATTATTAATGTCAAAGATAGTATAGATAAGACTCAGTGTATTTGTCTAACTATGAACATGATAATAGGCTGGATCTTTGATGGGTTTTTGTATGTTTTGTTTGTTGTTTGTCACACTCCGCTATATTCAAGCTATGTGTCTGCGGCCTGTATTATTTAGCATGGGCCGGACAAACCAGTTACTGATATTTGTGAGCAACAATCCACACCATCAGGGAATGATAACGGTAAATTATCAGATGCCAAGCCTGACCACTCAATACATTAGGTTTCCACCTGGGTTCTGGTGACATATTTTAACCCGGAATCCTGACAGTGGCTTTGTTGGGTTATGTGAATTGAACCTATGATTCTATTGCAGCAAAATCAAAGTGTGGGATCTGCAAGCTGCACTGGATCCCCGCTCACCAGCAGGCACTCTCTGTCTCAGAACTTTAGTGGTGAGTTACTATGATGAATTCACCAACACAGACGTTTGTATGTGCCATTATTGGTCAACAATGAGTCTGCTGTTGATGTAAATGCTTAATCAAAATCTGATAAGGCTACTAAATCAATAGATAAATCAGAATTTATAAGACATGATGAGATCGGTATCATGATGCATGAAGTGTCAATCAGGTGCAAATGAACCCAGGGAGGAAGGTTCGTTTTTGTTTTCGCAATCAGCAATATTCCAGCTGTCACGTAAACAACTTACAACCAACAATAGGGGCTTGGAACCTCACTATCCAGTCCCCACAGGGTCAGGGAGTAGATGTCTGTATGTCAGGGACGGTTGTATGTTAGGGATTAAGATGTGTATCACAAATATGTTGCTTCAGAGCAATACAATTGCTATGAATACTGTCATGTCGATACCTGTCATGATTAGTGTAGTATTATATGTAGCTCCACAGCTCTACAATGCTGTCAGTAAGTTGTGACTGCAAGAACGATCAACTGACAGATGCATGTGTGGCAACCATAGTAGTTGATGATGGAAATACAGGTAACATAGATCAATGACCACATACTACCTGGTAATTGGAATGGTAACCTGGTAATGTACATGAAGGCCCATCCACCATTAGGTGATGATTTGCCAGGTACTGTAGATGGAGGCCCACCCACCATCAGGTGATGATTTGCCTGGTACTGTAGATGAAGGCCCACCCACCATCAGGTGATGATTTGCCTGGTACTGTAGATGAAGGCCCACCCACCATCAGGTGATGATTTGCCTGGTAAGGTAGATGAAGGCCCACCCACCGTCAGGTGATTAGTTGCCTTGTACTGTAGATGAAGGCCCACTACCGTCAGGTGATTAATTGCCTGTTACTGTAGATAACGGCCCACCCACCATCAGGTGATGATTTGCCTGGTAAGGTAGATGAAGGCCCACCCACCGTCAGGTGATTAGTTGCCTGGTAAGGTAGATGAAGGCCCACCCACCATCAGGTGATAAGTTGCCTGGTACTGTAGATGAAGGCCCACCCACCATCAGGTGATTAGTTGCCTGATACTGTAGATGGAGGCCCACCCACCATCAGGTGATGATTTGCCTGGTAAGGTAGATGAAGGCCCACCCACCGTCAGGTGATTAGTTGCCTGGTAAGGTAGATGAAGGCCCACCCACCATCAGGTGATTAGTTGCCTGGTAAGGTAGATGAAGGCCCACCCACCGTCAGGTGATTAGTTGCCTGGTTCTGTAGATGAAGGCCCACCCACCATTAGGTGATTAGTTGCCTGGTACTGTAGATGGAGGCCCACCCACCATCAGGTGATGATTTGCCTGGTAAGGTAGATGAAGGCCCACCCACCGTCAGGTGATTAGTTGCCTGGTAAGGTAGATGAAGGCCCACCCACCGTCAGGTGATTAGTTGCCTGGTTCTGTAGATGAAGGCCCACCCACCATTAGGTGATTAGTTGCCTGGTACTGTAGATGGAGGCCCACCCACCATCAGGTGATGATTTGCCTGGTAAGGTAGATGAAGGCCCACCCACCGTCAGGTGATTAGTTGCCTGGTACTGTAGATGGAGGCCCACCCACCATCAGGTGATTAGTTGCCTGATACTGTAGATGGAGGCCCACCCACTATCAGGTGATGATTTGCCTGGTAAGGTACATGATGGCCCACCCACCATCAGGTGATGATTTGCCAGGTACTGTAGACTGAGGCCCACCCACCATCAGGTGATGATTTGCCTGGTAAGGTAGATGAAGGCCCACCCACTGTCAGGTGATGTTGGGTTGTGTACATTGTTATATCAGTTGACTGTCTTCTTATCATTACAGTAAACGAATATCCTCATTTAACATGAACGTTTTACTTTAAAATTTTATCACAAGACACTTATATCAAAGTTATTATACTCATCTTATAATTTAACAACAATTTGTCATTTTGTCTTTCACCATATTATTGTACCCCCAAAAAACAATTTCACAGGTATGATATCTTGTAATTTATGCGTTTTTTGCAGGAACATTCAGGACGTGTATTCCGGCTCCAGTTTGATGAATTCCAGATAGTGAGCAGTTCTCATGATGATACCATTCTCATCTGGGACTTTCTTAACGTGCCCTTGCCAGAAGGTGGTAAATCGCCTCAGAGAACCTACACCTACGTATCCAAATGATGCATGCTTCTTTCAGGCTCATAATGCTGACTTACTAAGACTAAATCAATCCTGTCAAACAAACGCTTTGCCATCGGAACCTGATGTAATGGAGGCTGGTGACTAGACACAAAACAGTTGTGTCAGCAGCAGCATCAGCATCATAACCTCGTGCCCAGCATACAGCTTCTGGCACAAGGATACCTGCCAAATCTCAGATCTGATGGTATAGAGTGGGTAGAGAAAGGCATGGAAGACAATGGACCATGATAATGACAGACAGACGGACAGCAATGATACGGAATTCCTTCCAAGCGGACGTCTTTCAGCCATTATTTGTATTTGTGTGTCCCGGGCAGCTGTTGACAATGTTGTCCAAAAAACATATGAGCAAAAAAAAAGAAAAATGACCCAAAAAAAATTGATAAGATGTTTCTACATAAACTTGAATTATGTGCTCCATCGCTGCTCACTGCTGACTGAGTGGAATGGAGAGAATGGTAGAAGATGAATTCTGTGATTTTTTTCTGTGTGTGGACGTATGGATGGATGCTCTCTTCTCAGTGTTTCTCATCTCATCTGAGTATCTGTAGTTTGTGAATGGAGCTGGACCGTTTCTTAATTTGTCAAGCTTTTGTAGACAAAGTGGTATTGGGCATCTATGCTTTGCCATGCCTTGTGATGGGGCCCACTTTGCAACTGTTGAAGTTTTTTTTTTTTTTGTGGGGTGTTTTAATGAGAAGTTGCTTTGCAGGGCAAGTGCTATAAAGAGCCTGTTTCATATTTTTAATGTTGAATTTGTTCTAGGTGAAAGAGTGTCAGTTATTCATGCATGAACAGCTTTACTGAGTAAAAAAATAAAGTCGTGGTCTCATATATGATCTTTTGTACACACAAGTTGCCTTTTAGTTTTGTGTACATTACTGGTTGTCATGGTTACCTTTAATCTGTTCATTTGTAGATCATTTCCCAGTTCATTATTTAAAGCCATGGGAATCATATAATGATTCCTATTGTATTCATAGACTTTCTCTTACTCCTTCATACTCTTGCTGCGTATGAAGTTTTATTCCAATAAACCTTTGTAATACATACAGACCATGGCTGATGAATTAACCTGTACTATCGTCATAGTGTGTATATGTCTCTTGACTATAAGTTATTGAGTGAATTTATTGTGCTATAGAGATAATTTCATCTGTTTGAACCTTGCCAAAGTTTGATGTCATCAGTAGGAGGGTTCAACAATCATTTCAACCATGCTCGGTTCATAATCCAGTCTCACAACTGATGTTGTCTGGAACAGTTTCCTTCAAATCCAAAGGAGAAATAATATTGTACATACTAAGAATTGTATATAGTGAGCTGGTTTCAAGTGCTGTAATTCCAGGTTGTCAGACTGGCAAGGTTTAAGTGTTGGATGCCTCTGAGACTTACATTCTCAATGCTGTTACCCCTTCAATCTCATTAACATAATATCCTTTATGTCGATATGATAGATACCTCTCTGCACGAAGATCTGAGGTCACCTCCATATGAGGTCTCGTTAGGGGAACCCTGAGTGACCTTTGACTGCCCAAACTAAAGGAAGGCTGTGTGAGTTCTTTAGCCAATCAGATGTCAGCTTAGCAAAACAATTTGGATTTCTTTACTTTCTTGATTTGAAAATGCTGAATTTATCAAAAGAAAAACCCACATGGAACACAAGTAAGATTTCTGTTGTACTCAAGTTTGGATGTAGGTGGCAGGGCATTCAGGGTGAATAAAATGTACATGGTTATTTTGCTGAAGGCAAGTGACATTAGGACATTTTTCACCTGCGCTTGTGGGGTTCACCAACATGTCAATGTCGAAGACCTGCATCACTTCAGGGTTTATTCCACATTAAGGTGAAACTCCGTGACATAACTGGAATACTGTTCAAAGCGGTGTTAAGCTCAACTAACTCAGGACTTATAAGTTTTAATTCATTACCTAATTTAGGACAGTTTGGATGATGGTCAATGTCAAAGAAAATGAACTGATCTGAATCCCTATAATATAATGGCGTGGAATATTCAGAACAGGTAGATTGACTTGTTTTCAAGATGCAGTAATCAGATATGCTGGTTTGAATTTTTTCGCTCATGCCTGCAAATAGTTTCGATGCTTTTTAGGGAGTTCTGAGGCAACCTCTGGAGATGTCCGATCTTCATGCAGAGATATCACACCCAGTAAAACATCCTAGTTTATGGCTCCTCAGTCTGACGTTCCAAATATTTGCCGATAATCATGACCACAAAATTGACACCGTAATGTACAACCGTTTCTCTACATATCAGTCACTTAATGAAATGGACAACCTAGGATTTATCTTGTGTTTGAGATTATGTCTTTGTATCAATTTCAGTTTGTGCATTAATCTGTTTTTAACCAAATTCTTTTATTTAGGCATTTCTGTAACTTACAGTGGTTTGGATACAGTGATTCTTCTCAGCAATAAGGATATAAATCAAAAGTACTTGAACACTTGACATAGACAGTCTTCAAGTAGAGTTTGCTTTATCAGAATGTTCATAGAATCACGCACAATTTCCTGCCCTAATTGTACAACTGCCATATGGATACAATTTGCACAGCAATTTCACCAAACCGTAATGATCTACTTAAACCTGTAGCTGCAGAATGTTTTTAGAATAGTCATTTGCTTCAAGCGTGGATGAATGAAGTCCAAGATTGTAAGTGGTAAAAGAAGCAATTTTTAAAGGTTAATTTCCCAAAATGAAATCTGACCACGCATCTGTAAGTTATTCTTTAATGTGGTCATTATTTATTGTTGTGTGTCCAACTACCTGAAGATGTGACTAACATTCTACTCATCTCCCATTTGTTACATTGCAACACTGAATGTATGGAACTGTGATTTCTTAAAAAGTCGCTTGTTTCATGTAGATATCATTTGCAGTATTAAAACCAGGGAAAAAAATGGTTGTTTGTATGATTTATTCACATGAATCTTTACATTGGAAAGTATGCAGGTCACAATGTCTGGTGTCATGAACATCACAATGCTCCGACCTGTGTGAGATGTCTGTCGCTGAAGAACCTGTGTTTCTGTTGGCGTGGGTCCTCTGTTTTCTTCTTGAAGAAGGACAAGAGGGATGCACTGCCTGTGTTTTTGGTTTCGTCTTCATCATCATCTTCCCTGGAAACAATTCATTTGATCTATAATCATTTTTTGGACTAAGATGGCCAAGTAATTACAGAAAAAATTGGTTTAATGATGACTCAAACCAGGGTTGTAAGCATTAATGACATGTTTGCAGCTTTACTTCAGTTCAGTATTATTGTGAATACATAATTCCATTTAAGAAATTCAGTGTTGAATACTGACAATACATTACAAATGTACTGATTGGTGAGGATAGATTAGAGAAAAATTGGCTCAAATTTTCATGAAAAAATGCTTTAAAATGCTTGAAAAAAGTTGCAGCAGTCTTGGTGGTTTCTTAAAATCCTATTTATAATCTATTATATAACAGTGGCCTAGAAATTCAGCTGACATGACAATATCAACTACAGGAAATGCATCCTGTCTGAAGTCCATCCTGCTAACAGACACTATGACTATACAGCATAGCTTCTTGTTTAAGCTGTTTTAATTTAATGGTTCACAGATTGGGGCATTTTAAGAGCATTACAGCATATTTTGTGCATTAATGGCCATAAATATATATTTTTTCAAAAGCATAGGAAATCCTACTTCAGCCAGGGACATGTGGAAGAAGAGTGCATGTTATTGATGTGGGATCGGACATATTCATTGCTGACAGAAATATAGGTCCTGTAAATCATACTAGGGCTGGGACGACCCCCTAATACCAATATACTCACTGTAGGTCTAAGTTTGCTACTAAATGTCCAGCCTTAAATCTTACACTACAGAATACCACACTATTTCCAGACTTTACAGGCCCTTAAAATTAGTTACTGCTCCTCAAATCCCTAGCTGTGTAGGTCAAGGTAACACAAGCTGCATTTTGTACCATCTGACTTGAACACAGTCCTTCTCAATCAGCTGGGAAGCAGTGGACCAGCTGAAGCGAACAAAGTCCGGGAAGCCAAACACAGGGTCCATGTTCCCAGCCAGAAACTTCTTGGTGCCGGGATCTAGAAATCAGAGAAGACAGACAACTCGAGTCACAAGATACGTATCACAGCACTTGAGGCACAACACGATACATTGCATCACTTACCTATCTCGCTAGGTTAGTACCGAAAGTGAAAGTATCAATGCAGCATATTGTCCCATGAAAAGTTATCAGGCCATGTTATTCCAACACTTTTGAAATTTCGAATGAAAATCTAACATGGGTAAGGTGTATCTCCTACATCCATGCGGTCGGGTAGCCTAGTGGTTAAAGCATCGCTTGTCACGACGAAGACCCGAGTTCGATTCCCGACATGGGTACAATGTATGAAGCCCATTTCTGGTGCCCCCCCCCCCCCCACCGTGATATTGCTGGAATATTGCTAAACGTGGCGTAAAACCATGCTCACTCACATCCGTGAATCTTGCCACCCCAGCCATCTGAGCAGATCTCACTGAATGGCTAGTCAGTTGGAGGAAACATCTTTCACATCAGCTATGTAGCCACACAACTGAAACAAACTCTTCAGGGAAATATTCACCTGCTGGATACCCTGAGCCGTACTCGAGTCCTTCTCTCTCCACTCCCTCCCGGAACTGCCACGACTTGACGGCCTGGTCTCGTGCTACCTGAAGCACAAAGCAACTCGGTTGAGGAGACCGGATTGCAAGGTTATATTGGAGATACTGTCAGTCTATGTAGTGAGTGCGTTTTTGTTTTGTTTTGTCATGTCATTTTCCTATCCCTTGGGCACGCCAGAAACCTATGATTGTGGGTTCGAATGCCGGTTCGCCCCGATTAGTTTCTAGGTTTGTCAGCACCATACCCGTGCTCGTGGGTTTCACCAAAGTGGTAAACGTCTGAGACCTGCATCACTTCGGGCTTTCCTCCCACATTAAGCTGACATGCCGTGATATAACTAGAATACTGTTAAAAGCGGCGTACAACCCAACTCACTCACTCACTCATTTTCCTAATCTCTCCTGCATGTTATAAACTGACAGCACTATAATGATGCAATGAGATTATGAGCAAATTCCCTTTCAAAACAAGAGTCATCCGAAGATGACATATCCCCCCAACGTGGCATGTCGGTAAACTGTGTGTACCATTTGAGTATTTAGACTGGCAAGGAAATCTTTCTCCTTGATGCCAAAACCAGAAATATAATGAAGGTTATTAAATATTGGTTCATGTAGCTCACTTTCTGATGATCTCATGAAATTGTAATAACAATAACTTCCAGATTCGCATATGAATAGCTCTGTCGTAGCCTCATGACACAAAGGCATAAAGAGAATGTACTAGGTTATGTAGCTCACATCATATATATACTACTCAAAAGAAGTTAAAGAACACCGAAATAAGTTATCAAAATCACTCAAAAAATAAATCGTGGACACAGGAACAACACTGACAGGGAAAGATAAGTATTTAATCATGACATTTCATTGACGAAAGAAACGCTGGCATACAGCTGACCAGAGCAAAACAATATGAATTGCATGTACCCTATAAATCAAAAGTCACACACTACAGTTCAGGATAATCCTGTTCCTTCAATATCGGGTATGCCCACCCCTGGAAGCAATACAGTCCTGACATCTTCTACCCATAGATCGGACAAGCTGCTGCAGTGTTGTCTGTGGAATTCCTTGCCATTCCTGATGAAGAAATCCTAACAGTTGCTGGAGATTAACAGGAGGTGGGTGGTTAGCTTGAACGGCTCTTCCCAAGGCATCCCAAAGATGTTCAATGGGCGCCAGATCTGGCGAATAAGCAGGCCATTGCATAACGGTAATCTGCCTTTGTCTGTGATAGTCAGTGATAATCCGAGCGCGATGGGGTCTTGCATTGTCGTCCTGAAGGATAGCACCTTGATCAATCTGACGAAGTGTGGGCAATACCAGGGGTTCAAGAATCTCATCACGGTACCTGGCAGCATTCAGATTCCCGACAATATGGTACAGAGGAGTCCTGTGATTCCAACTGAATCCTCCCCATACCATCACTGATCCCCCACCAAAAGCGACACGTTCACGTACTATGGCATCAGTGAATCTCTCTCCAGTACGACACCACACCCGTATTCTTCCATCATTGAGCTGCAAACAGAATCGTGACTCGTCTGTAACCGTACACGAGACCATTGCTGTCTGTTCCAACGCACATGTCGACACCAAGCCAGACGTGCTGTTCTGTGAACTGGACGTAAAGGTGGTCTCACTGCTTGTCGTCGACTTCTCAAGTTCGCAGCTCGTAAACGGTTTCGCACCGCCTGATCACTAACGACAGTGTTATTGACAGCCCTTAACTGTAACCTGAGGTTGTTTGCTGTTGATGTACGCTGCCTGAGTGCTTGGAGAACCAGGTATCGGTCATCACGTTGTGAGGTACACCTTGGCCGTCCAGAACGATGTCGCTCTTGCACTCTGCCAGTGGCAGCAAAACGATGCCAAAGGGTGTAAATGACAGAGGGGGACACCTGCAATCTTCTGCCCACTTCACGTAAAGAAAGGCCATCCTAGAGCCAACCAATAGCTCGTCCTCTATCAACATCAGTCAGATGTCGTCTCTGTGGCATGGTTTTGGAAAGTGTGATAACACGATCATCGTCATCGCCTTCTTAAAGGGAAAGCATGCACGTGCACCATGAACATCACCACTTTCATATGCTGAGCATGAAAATTGTGTTGGTTGTTGCTAAGGACAGGTGCAGTGTTGTGTTTGGGCGACAATATTCCTGTGTTTTGCTCATGTTTTCAATTCATTTGCATGACTACCAGAAGTGTTTCCAGAAAGTGTCAGGAGAATCAGCAATACCCCAGACGTGGTGCAACATGTTGCCAAACATTAGATGATAGTAATGTTATAACACATAATGCCATGACCAATTTGCTAAATCGTGTATTATATATCTGGTGTTCTTAAACTTCTTTTGAGTAGTATAGTATATGATATTGGTAAATAGTACACCTTAGAAAAAAATGTTACTAAAATCTATAAATAACAAACTGCTCTACTAGTGAACATGATTGATATGTGCATAAAGTTCGGTGAATCTCGGTCGCATGGTTTAGAAGATATGCTCCAGACGAGAACATTACCCTAAGTTCATCAATTTTCAATTTAAATTGACAAATGAAAAAATCTGTTAATAGCAAAGGCACCACAACATAACCTGCTTGATAGGTGTTAAAATTTTTTAGAAGCTAAGTTGTATGGTTCGGGAGATATGGTCCGGACAAGAGCACTACCCTCAAATTTCCCAAATTCATCATATTTCCATGGAAACGACAAAAATATTAAATTCTAAAAATCTCTAAATAGCAAAAGGCACTACTACTGAGCCTGATTGGTAAGTGTACCAAGTTTTGGGAAGCTTGGTTGTACGGTTTAGGAAATATGCTCCGGACAAACAATGATTACAGACGGACGGACAGACAGACATACTGATTGCTATATCCCCCCCGTCATTATATGTCGGGGGGGATAAAAATATAAAAAATTCATAACAATCAAGGTCTGGAAGAGGGGAAGGTAGATGGTTCTACCCCCTAGCTGCACCACACCAAATGATGATAAAAGGCGCAAGGGAATAAAACAATAACTGGTCGGCTTGGAATCCGCATACTGTGTCTGAGTGGGGTGTTCGTGTTTAACCTGCAGCATGGTATCTCAGTGGGCTAGCACTATAAAACCGGGATTAGTTCAGATAGTACATGCAGCCACAGAGACACACGTGCATGCACATTGCTATTTATAAGTGAAATAGTCATGAAAGCACCATTAAACCCCATTTCAAACACTGGATTCAACATTATTACTTCGCAAATTACAGCAAATTACCACTATGCTTATCATGCCTACACAAACATTATTTAGTTCCCTGACCTTGGCACAGATACTGGCTCCGCTGACAATGGGGTAGGTGGCGTCAGCTTTCTTGGCAACAGTGATGTCGATGTCAGGGAAAATGTCCTTCAGTTTGGCCTGGTACTTGGCAGGGTCTCCCACCGTGTCGACATACACCTGCAACAACAGACAACGCAGCAGTCGTGTGAAAAGTTGTTTGTTTTGTTTGGTTGTTTAACGCGCAGTCAGCAATATTCCAGCTATGTGCCGGTGGTCTGTAAGTATTTGAGTCTGGACCAGACAGCCTTGTGGTCGATATTGTGAGAAACAATCCATACTGTCAGGGTACGAGAACACGCAATCAACCAAATCGTAGAGTCTGACCAACCATTTCATTTTGTCTCCTCTTACGACCAGCATAGGTTGCCGGGATCTATTCTAACCCAGAATCCCCATTAAAATTGTTATAAAATATACATATACCTTTGTATTAAAGTATGAAGTGGTGAACAAGTGGGTCTAGCACAATATAATACACACTAACCCCTTCTGTTTTTATTTGGACAGTTAGATTAAATACTACCGATTTTAGAAATACTTATCTTAGAAAATGATAACTGCTCTTAATACAGTTTGTTCTTTACCCCGCACTCAGCAATATTCCAGCTATTTGACGGTCTGTAAATAATCGAAGTCTGTACCAGACAATCCAGTGATTGACATCACGAGCATTGATCCACACAATTGGGATACGATGACATGCATCAACCAAGTCAGCAAGCCTGACCAACCGATCCCATTATTCGCCTCTTACGACAAGCATGGGTTGCTGAAGACCAATTCTAATCCGGATCTTCACGGGTCCTCTTAACACAGACCAAAGGATATCCATGAAACAAAGACCAAGACTTACCGGATGTGAAATCCAGCATTCTACATGGATACAAATTAAAAACCGACTCAGAAACACACAGAGAAAATTTGTGTGCATGTTTAGGAATAAATGCTATTTCATAACAGCATGTAACATTAATTTCTATACATAGTCATTACAAAATACAAAACATACTTGAATGCTTCATTATCTTCTAGCACTTGCACTTGTCAACTCATTACATTGGGGAACTCCATATCTATTTTAACTGACAGTCTCTGATTAATCTGACATCACTTGTGGGAGAGGACTGTATTCAATTTTTGACATTCTCTGGGACTCCCAAATTCTTAACCTGGGACCCCTACTTCCAGTCCCCTGGTCCCAATAGCAAAGAAGCATGAAATACTAATACCCCCCACCAACATGACAAGTCCGGTTGCTACGGAAACTCGAAAATAATTTTTTTAAATATCCCAAACTATCAAAAGGCACCAGTTTACCACTAGATCTATCTATGTGCCAAGTTTGGTTAAAATATCTCCCATGGTTTTTGATTTCTGCTACGGAAACGAAATGTGACGGACGGACATTTCCCATTCCTATATTCCCCTTCCATTTCCATAATAACACAGCTAATCCTTCCTGAGATAGTATTACCTCTGTGATATTGGCTCCCAGACTGAGGGCTCTCTGTAGAAGGCCGATAGCAGAGTCATGGGAGAGTGCATTCAGATTATATTTGGTCCTGGAAGGCAAAATTACAGTACAGACAATGCAGAGACACATTAGGCATGTGATTAACACCGAGCATCTTAACCTTGCTACACGATGTGATACATAAGTGGGGAACTGGTTTAACACTAGCTTTGAACAGTATTCCAGTTATATCACAGTGTGTCAGCTTAATGTGGGAGGAAAGGCCGAGTTGATGCAGGTCAGACTGTCAGCAGCCTTGGTGAGACCCATACACAGGTGAGGTGTTCACAAACTTAGTAACATAGTAACAGCAAACCACCATTCGAACCCATGATCCCAGATTCTTCCAAGGGAGGCAACTCTGCAACAGGGGCTTAGACAACCTCTGTCCCTTCAAACACAACAGGAACCTCAGGGTGTGAGGTGTAATGGGGTTTAACGTCGCGTCCAAGATTATTGCACTTATATAGCAACGTGCATGTACGTGTTTGTGTGGCTGCTTGTACTAGTCCAGACTGATGCCGATTTATAGTGCTAGCTCACTGAGATACCATGCCGCAGTTTAACATGAATACCCCACTCAGACACAGTATACTGACTCTGAGCCGACCAGTCCTTGTTTGAGCCCCTTAATGCCGAGCGCCAGACAGGGTAACAACAAGTACCATCTTTTAACGTCTTTTGGTATGACGCGGCCGGGGATCGAACCCCGGACCTTCCCCTCTCCGGGCGGACGCTCTACCACTAGAACCTCAGGGCATTGCCACTGTAAGGAGCTCCCTCCAATTCTAACGATATCACTTCTAATTGGGGAAAACATGTAAAAGTTACAATAAGCAAGAACAAGCTTCTTTGTGAATTATTAACTGCAGAAGTTCATGTATAGGTGATGTGTTTTGCAGGCACGTTGCATGAACGGTCAGCAAGACAGGTCAGAGGTTGCCTGCATACTTCCATCACAAACTGAACTGAAGTGGAATGCTCTGGCTCACCTTCGCAGCATGCTGTTGGAAATGTAGGCCGGCGTGAGGATTTCTACAATCCAGCCCACCGAGTCCGATGCAGCCTTCATCTTCTCCAGCATGGATTCTCTCTGTTCTTCTGACAACGTCTTGGAATCTGAAAAACGAAACATCAAAAGTATTTGAAACTGATTTTTCCCAAAAGTGTTTGGGGATGCCAAAAGTAAACATCAATACAGAAAACAAAAATTAACAAAAGAGTGTGTTTTTTTTGTTTAACGCCGCACTCAGCAATATTCCAGCTATATGACGGCAGTCTGTATTAATCGAGTTTGAACCAGACAATCCAGTGAACGACATCATGAGCTTCGATCCACACAATTGGGATACAATGACATCAACCAAGTCAGTAGTCCCACTGGTCATCTCTTACAACAAGCACATTCGCCTTTACAGCAAGCATGGGTTGCTAAAGACCTATCTACCCCTATCTTCATGGGTCTGTGATCTTACATTTCACCAAACAGGTAAAAACAGATGCTATTCTGCCATGTCTGAGGTGTATGAATACTAAGAACCGTCTTCACTGTCCTCGTTTCCTACAGTTGATGTTCGACACTATGCTGCAACCTAACGATTTGTAGCAATCCAAAACATATCTCTATACTATATATGAAAACTCAACAATGGCCATCATCAGTGGCATCTTAAAAAGAATACAAAACTAAATGTAACATCCAGTAGATTGAGTTAATCAGCAAAATAGTAACTTCCGGTGTCTTGTACATTTCAGCAAACAATAGTATTTTGCAATTATATTTTACACAAATTTACATATGGTGTCACTCTTATATGAACAAGGACATGGTGCTGACAAACCAAGGAATGATGGATCATACTCAAGGCCATGTCTGGGATTTGAAACCTGTGACTGACTAAGGGACATAACTCTGCATGGAGAGTTGCTGCACTGGCCCAACACGACCAGAGCTAGTGGAAGCCATGACTGTAATGTCCCTGACTTAGTGCTTGGATGATACACCAACTGTGTCCGATACGTATCACGATAACTGTATGTGCTCTTTTCTTTGGTGCGTAAGCCATGTTTATCAGGATGTACAAATACCTGGCACACTGACAATCTACAGTTAGCAGTGTCAAGTATGATGCAATGGATGAAAGTTTTACGTTTTCACTACTCAATTTCACTAGTTATTACTGTTTGGTGTATTTTATTAAAGAATACATTTAAGGTTAGAATCGATACTTTTTACTTTGTAGGCGATTGTGATTGATACTTGTATCGAGAAGTAAATAATTGCGATCCACAGATGCATTGGTGCATCCTCCCACTACTACTGACTTTTCTGTGTATTTTATCCTCATTGGGTTAATCCAAATATCCTGGACCAATTACAACCATCAGCTTGGTTTTTATAGATTTTTCGACTGAAAATAGTCATCCAAACAAATGACACTATTCTTTTATGCATGAAACAAGTGGTGACAGCAACTACTAGAATCCCCTGGTTGCACATCATCTCAAATACAACTGGGGACGCCTTCTAGTATAGGGACTAGGGCTGCAACGAATACACTATGAGGCGAATACGATTTGTATCATGAATATAGGGTAACGAATACGAATATTAATTCACGAATACAATAACAAGTCAGCAGTTGATGTATCATTTGTCATATTCAGCATGTTCAGTGAGGCAACAACAACATAAATTATTTGACATGGTTTGTTAATTTTTAATACATTATTAAATATATTATTCATATATACTGCATTTATCCATGTACTAGTATCTGCTCAAATGCAACAATGACCAGTGACCACAATACTGTCAAATTAAATAGTATAAGAGTGTTGTCTTATGAAGAAATCTATGCATAAAATATGTTCTTATGGCTATTTTTTTTATGTAAATGCATATGCGTGCATATTCATAAATATTCGATTCTAGTGGCCACGAATAACGAATTCAATTCATGAATGGATACGGTTCGATTCACCGAATACGCAAGTGAATTGTAACAGCCCTAATAGGGACTTTGTCGTTATAGTCTACATTGAAACAACTTTTCCAGTACAAAAACATACAAAACTCATCACTAATAGTCTCCAGATCTGACTCAATGTATCGAGGGCTAGTTTGTACTAGTCCGTACTTTAAATGTAGATCTATGCTGAATATGCCTTCAAAAGAAGGATTTTGATTGGGTGTGGATTTCAAGCTCCTGAGTGAGAGAAATTCTGTACTAAAACCATAACAGGCAAGATGGAGATGGAGACATAATTTCCGAAATGAAGTCATAGCAGTTAACATGGTTGCTGGGTCCAGAATATCATGGGTATATATCGGGGATAAAAATCATTGATATCCTGGACCATTATTGTTAATGTCAAAAGTACCCTAAGGGCTTGTAGAATTTCCATTATTTTGGAGGAGTATTGCCATTTATCCCACGATATGCCATGGAGAGGCACGGGCCACCGAGCCGTGGATGCCCGTGCCTATAATAAAAACAGAAGATGAGATTGGGTTAAATGGCCGAGGGTGTGCAGGTACTAGTGGGCTACTTAGCTGCTAATTGTGTATACCAAAATGCTACCGTTGCCATGGCCACGCGCGTGGCCAACGGCGATTGCAGCTAGTGCTGCTGGCCTGAGACTGCTACCGCTGTCCGGCCCCCACGGTAGCATATTTAAACGCTACAATTGCTTGGCAACTCCCACGCTGCCAAAAGCAGCTCCACGCTGCTGGCCTAAGTCAGACTACCGCTGCCCGGCCCCAGGTAGCCGGCCAAAGCAGATCCCACTGCCCGGCCCCATTAGCAAAACCATTGTGCGGCTCCCGCCGCGGACCCAACTGTCAGCTACCGCTTGACAAGACGACTTCCGCCGCCCGGCCCATATACGTGGCAATTGTTTGCCCCAACGTATTTTATTTTTTGATTCCCCGGCTGAAAAGTCGGGAAAGACAAGGTTCCCACTGAGAAGCAGGTAACCCCGGAAAGGTTCCCGCTGAAAAGCAGGTAGCCTTAAGCACAAGTATTAATTTTGAAGCAAGTTAATTTGTTACTAGTGTAGCCCACAAGAACCCCGCACACCTCGACATAGTTTATTGTTGAGACAGGTATTGCATAGATACATATATACAGCTATTAAGAGGTCATGTTTATTTACATATATCAGAATTGTTTAAAAATATGTACATATATACAAGCGCCCTGAAAACCTATTTTACATATGTACAGGTTTATTTACATATATACAATCCGCTCTGCTGGTACCTGTAATAGAATAAACGCTGAAGAAAAGAAGTGATTAGCATTCCAGGTGAAGAGGACACGTCAGGCTGAAAAGGAAAGAAAAAGTAGTGGCAAGCTATGTGGGTGGGTGGGTGGGAAAGGGATTAGATACAGTGACACACGGTTTGGATACGCGCGATAAAGTCATTTAGTAGTTAGTACTAAATGTAAATATATATATGTTAATCGTCACTATTCAGGGTAGTACTTTTAGTAGACGTTCTTGGTTTTTTCCATCCCTGTATATGATCATAAAGTGGAGCTATATCACATACTGTATAATCGAAAGTAGTAATATAATGTTAATTGTAACTCACCTGCCAATCCCATCTCTTTCAGCTTCTCCTGCCGTGAAAGTGGGCAGTACGCAATGCCGTACACCATTGGCCCTGGAAGAGAGGGAACAAGACAGCATTTCAATTCACCAAGTTCAGCTGTCCGTGATAGAATACTCTTTGAGCGTAATATGGTTGAGCAAGGATATATATGTCCAATTTACCACATATACTGCAGTGAACAATACAGTGAATATTTTTATCCTAAGCTTAGACATGACATTTGCGGATCATATGGTCACGCTATCCAGTAATGGTAATTGTTTTAAATGATCTTGCTGAGATTGAGTTGTATCACGGACGTATATAGATTGTATTTACGTCTTTGGTTGTATGTACGGAGGACAACTGAGTTAGGGTGTTAAATTGGCTTCTTATTTTTCACAATATTTTTTCACAATAGCAATGATAATTTTTAAACCCTGATTGATCGTGATAAAGATCAAACATAGGAGTCAAGACGCTATATAAGCAGCTGATAAGACTGACCATGCGAAATACTGGGATAGTTAATATCTTTAGGGTATTGTTGTGCACGGTGCCTATAAATAAACTAATGCTTTATCATAAAAAAACGATAATTATTCATCCATTTTGTTATCAGCTGTTTCGCATTCGAATATTTTATTCTTTGCAGTTCCTATTTAAGCAAGTGTCTACCTAGCACTGGCCCCCTTCCGGCCTCGTCGATCCCCAGGCAGCATGGCTCCGTCTTGCAGATCTCTGGAACCTCGGACTTTATAATGCAGTTCTTGATTCGATCGGATTCATATCCACTTTGGTCCATTTTCTTGTCAAATATGTCAACAACGTCATGTACAGGTTCCCGCGGAAAAATAATCTAAGGGAGGCTACTCTCATACTTAACACTATTAGTAAACCGCTATTAATCTTATTCATTCGACTCTTATATTTGCGACACAAAAAGAAAACATAGGTTATACTTAACACGGTCGAACAATCTAGAAATCTATGTGCTGACGTACCAGATATTTCGCTCGGTTTCAACCAGCAACCAAGCGACCAGAATAGAAATATCCTTGGTCAATCTGTGCTGAGAGTAGTGATCTTCTCTAGTGACTCAGATACCTTAACATAGACTTACGACAGTCGTAGCGTTAAGCTGTTTCGTACAACGGCACCCAGGTATGGGAGTTAGATCACCTAAGCGCTGAGATCGCTTTGTACAACGGCTTCCAGGGCCCCGTTCACCAAAGCGATCTTAGTGCTAAGGTGATCGTTACTCCCATACCTCAACATAGACTTACGACAGTCGTAGCGTTAAGCTGTTTCGTACAACGGCACCCAGGTATGGAAGTTACGATCGCTTTGTACAACGGCTTCCAGGGCCCCGTTCACCAAAGCGATCTTAGTGCTAAGGTGATCGTTACTCCCATACCTCAACATAGACTTACGTCAGTCGTAGCGTTAAGCTGTTTCGTACAACGGCACCCAGGTATGGAAGTTACGATCGCTTTGTACAACGGCTTCCAGGGCCCCGTTCACCAAAACGATCTTAGTGCGAAGGTGATCGTTACTCCCATACCTCAACATAGACTTACGACTGTTGTCGCGCCAAGGTTGTTTTGTACAACGGCACCCAGGGCCTAACCAAACAGTTGTTGTGTTCATCCAATCCCCGTGTTTGTTGGATCATTCAAGCTGGGGTGCACTTGTTTGTGCAAGTGTGTACGTTTGTTTGTGCAAGTGCTAGACTAACGTTTGTTTGTTTGTTTGTGCAAAAGTAAGCCCAACGATTGTTTGTGAAGGTGTGAGCCTAACATTTTGATTGTTGTTTAACGCCACAATCAGAAATATATATTCCAGCTACATGTCGGATGCTATGACATGACTATGCTTGTCGTAAAAGGCGACTAGCGGGATCGAGTGGTCAGGCTTGCTGACCTGTATGATGCACGTCATGGTATCCCATGCTCATGATATCAATCACTGGATTGTCTGGTCCAGACTCAATTATTTACAGACCGCCGTCATATAGCTTGAATATATTGCTGACTGCGTCGTTAAACAAACAAACAATGTATTATGAGCAACGCCCCACACCTTCTGTGTTCGATGACACACAATCAAGCAAGAGCAATGACCTACGCCGCCGGAGTTCGATGACACACAATCAAGCAAGAGCAATGACCTACGCCGCCGGAGTTCGATGACACACAATCAAGCAAGAGCAATGACCTACGCCGTTGGAGTTCGATGACACACAATCAAGCAAGAGCAATGACCTACGTCGTCGGAGTTCGATGACACACAATCAAGCAAGAGCAATGACCTACGCCGCCGGAGTTCGATGACACACAATCAAGCAAGAGCAATGACCTACGCCGTTGGAGTTCGATGACACACAATCAAGCAAGAGCAATGACCTACGTCGTCGGAGTTCGATGACACACAATCAAGCAAGAGCAATGACCTACGCCGTCGGAGTTCGATGTCACACAATAGAGCAAGAGCAATGACCTACGCCGTCGGAGTTCGATGACACACAATCAAGCAAGAGCAATGACCTACGCCGCCGGAGTTCGAGGACACACAATCAAGCAAGAGCAATGACCTACGCCGTCGGAGTTCGATGACACACAATCAAGCAAGAGCAATGACCTACGCCGCCGGAGTTCGATGACACACAATCAAGCAAGAGCAATGACCTACGCCGTCGGAGTTCGATGACACACAATCAAGCAAGAGCAATGACCTACGCCGCCGGAGTTCGATGACACACAATCAAGCAAGAGCAACGCCCCACACCTTCTGTGTTCGATGACACACAATCAAGCAAGAGCAATGACCTACGCCGCCGGAGTTCGATGACACACAATCAAGCAAGAGCAATGACCTACGCCGCCGGAGTTCGATGACACACAATCAAGCAAGAGCAATGACCTACGCCGCCGGAGTTCGATGACACACAATCAAGCAAGAGCAATGACCTACGCCGCCGGAGTTCGATGACACACAATCAAGCAAGAGCAATGACCTACGCCGTCGGAGTTCGATGACACACAATCAAGCAAGAGCAATGACCTACGCCGCCGGAGTTCGATGACACACAATCAAGCAAGAGCAACGCCCCACACCTTCTGTGTTCGATGACACACAATCAAGCAAGAGCAATGACCTACGCCGCCGGAGTTCGATGACACACAATCAAGCAAGAGCAATGACCTACGCCGTCGGAGTTCGATGACACACAATCAAGCAAGAGCAATGACCTACGCCGCCGGAGTTCGATGACACACAATCAAGCAAGAGCAACGCCCCACACCTTCTGTGTTCGATGACACACAATCAAGCAAGAGCAATGACCTACGCCGCCGGAGTTCGATGACACACAATCAAGCAAGAGCAATGACCTACGCCGCCGGAGTTCGATGACACACAATCAAGCAAGAGCAATGACCTACGCCGCCGGAGTTCGATGACACACAATCAAGCAAGAGCAATGACCTACGCCGCCGGAGTTCGATGACACACAATCAAGCAAGAGCAATGACCTACGCCGCCGGAGTTCGATGACACACAATCAAGCAAGAGCAATGACCTACGCCGTCGGAGTTCGATGACACACAATCAAGCAAGAGCAATGACCTACGCCGCCGGAGTTCGATGACACACAATCAAGCAAGAGCAATGACCTACGCCGTCGGAGTTCGATGACACACAATCAAGCAAGAGCAATGACCTACGCCGCCGGAGTTCGATGACACACAATCAAGCAAGAGCAATGACCTACGCCGCCGGAGTTCGATGACACACAATCAAGCAAGAGCAATGACCTACGCCGTCGGAGTTCGATGACACACAATCAAGCAAGAGCAATGACCTACGCCGCCGGAGTTCGATGACACACAATCAAGCAAGAGCAATGACCTACGCCGTCGGAGTTCGATGACACACAATCAAGCAAGAGCAATGACCTACGCCGTCGGAGTTCGATGACACACAATCAAGCAAGAGCAATGACCTACGCCGCCGGAGTTCGATGACACACAATCAAGCAAGAGCAATGACCTACGCCGTCGGAGTTCGATGACACACAATCAAGCAAGAGCAATGACCTACGCCGTCGGAGTTCGATGACACACAATCAAGCAAGAGCAATGACCTACGCCGTCGGAGTTCGATGACACACAATCAAGCAAGAGCAATGACCTACGCCGCCGGAGTTCGATGACACACAATCAAGCAAGAGCAATGACCTACGCCGTTGGAGTTCGATGACACACAATCAAGCAAGAGCAATGACCTACGTCGTCGGAGTTCGATGACACACAATCAAGCAAGAGCAATGACCTACGTCGTCGGAGTTCGATGACACACAATCAAGCAAGAGCAATGACCTACGCCGTTGGAGTTCGATGACACACAATCAAGCAAGAGCAATGACCTACGTCGTCGGAGTTCGATGACACACAATCAAGCAAGAGCAATGACCTACGCCGTCGGAGTTCGATGTCACACAATAGAGCAAGACCAATGACCTACGCCGTCGGAGTTCGATGACACACAATCAAGCAAGAGCAATGACCTACGCCGCCGGAGTTCGAGGACACACAATCAAGCAAGAGCAATGACCTACGCCGTCGGAGTTCGATGACACACAATCAAGCAAGAGCAATGACCTACGCCGCCGGAGTTCGATGACACACAATCAAGCAAGAGCAATGACCTACGCCGTCGGAGTTCGATGACACACAATCAAGCAAAAGCAATGACCTACGCCGCCGGAGTTCGAGGACACACAATCAAGCAAGAGCAATGACCTACGCCATCGGAGTTCGATGACACACATTCAAGCAAGAGCAATGACCTACGCCGCCGGAGTTCGATGACACACAACCAAGCAAGAGCAATGACCTACGCCGTCGGAGTTCGATGACACACAATCAAGCAAGAGCAATGACCTACGCCGTCGGAGTTCGATGACACACAATCAAGCAAGAGCAATGACCTACGTCGTCGGAGTTCGATGACACACAATCAAGCAAGAGCAATGACCTACGTCGTCGGAGTTCGATGACACACAATCAAGCAAGAGCAATGACCTACGCCGCCGGAGTTCGATGACACACAATCAAGCAAGAGCAATGACCTACGCCGCCGGAGTTCGATGACACACAATCAAGCAAGAGCAATGACCTACGCCGTCGGAGTTCGATGACACACAATCAAGCAAGAGCAATGACCTACGCCGCCGGAGTTCGATGACACACAATCAAGCAAGAGCAATGACCTACGTCGTCGGAGTTCGATGACACACAACCAAGCAAGAGCAATGACCTACGTCGTCGGAGTTCGATGACACACAATCAAGCAAGAGCAATGACCTACGTCGTCGGAGTTCGATGACACACAATCAAGCAAGAGCAATGACCTACGCCGCCGGAGTTCGATGACACACAATCAAGCAAGAGCAATGACCTACGTCGTCGGAGTTCGATGACACACAATCAAGCAAGAGCAATGACCTACGTCGTCGGAGTTCGATGACACACAATCAAGCAAGAGCAATGACCTACGCCGTCGGAGTTCGATGACACACAATCAAGCAAGAGCAATGACCTACGCCGTTGGGGAACGATTACCCAGTGAAAGTACTGTGACTTTAAAGAGAACTGTCACATCCTTCAATTTATATAGGTCCATTTAAGTGGAGTCGGCATTGTCACCAGTATATCCTGGAGGGAAATAAAAAGACACAAAGAGTAAATTAGATAAAGATCGGTGTATTTGCATAAACATTTATGTTAGATGACAAAATTCATAATATAAGAAAATGGCAAAAGAGCAGCATCGTCATTGTATTTAAGTTCTATAATACTCATAAATAAATACGGTGTACATGTATGCAACGAATTATCACAGACCCCCATGCACAACAATGACATGTGTTAGCAAAATCACAGGACAGGGAATCACAGGTGCTTCAAATATTATTGAAAGGAATAATTTTTTTGTGGAACGAATTTCATCAATATAAATAATTAATAATGCTATTTTAAGAGAAAGTTGATCAATACTTTCGTTGATCAATTAGCTGCTTTTACAAAAAAAATATTTCATGCTATATTGGCAATAATATAATGATGAACACGTCATTCCAATATTTTCTGCAATTTTCATAACATCACCCTCGACGAAAATACACATTACATGAAATAAAATGTAAATCAAATATACATTAACAATTAAAACGTCACCAGCTGAGATATTCATAGCAATACCTTAACATAGAAAGTACAGTATGTTATACATCATTCTTGGTATAAAAAATATGATAATTTATATCACATCAGTCTTTTTTTCCACCTTTCAGTAGAACTAATAACAAGACTTCAATCACACATACTCAAATGATACATTTTCTCCTAACAATATGTTCGCTAAACCCCATCTAAAGTCTGTATGAATCCCAATATCCCAAGGGGAAGCATTAACAGTGACAAGACCAGGGGCAGATAACCCTCGTACACTGGTGTGTCCTCCCAGTGCTTGTTGTACACCTCCAGCTCTGCCTGGCACAGAGCGCGGTACGCCGCCACGTGAGGAGCTTCCAGGCTAGTGGAAGTTTCGTTCACGTCTACAGCAGCAACGGCTGGAACGACAGCAGCCTCGTTAACATCGGCATCAGAACGACGACCCTCAGAGTTAGCATCAGCATGAGACTGATCCTCGGCAGCACCAACAAACGTGTCGGATGAAGTATCAAGACTATGACTTGAGGATGTTTTAAGTTCACTAGATGCAGCGTCGGGAGTTTCCGTGGCAGAGGAAACCTTGGGAGAGACAACAGCAGAGAACAGTTCCAGGGATGCCGATGTCCTGTGGAAGTGGCAAGATGCACAGGGTGATGCAGGAGTAGGTGTCGTCACAGATGGTGGAGATGTAGGCACAGTTTGTGTGTGGAACACATAAGATCCATTTGGTGAATTGAAGGAAGCGGAGACTTCACAAGTTCCCACTGCTGGGATAGCATCCAAACTTCCATTTCCATTTCGTGTAGACTTTGAAGAAGAGATATTCATATTGTTAACCAGAGTTCGACTTCCATCTCGTGCAGACTTGAAAGTAGCAGCATTCGTGTTGGTAACTGGAATTTCATTTTGTGCAGACTTGGCAGCACCAGCAGATGTATCTGTGATCTCAGCAGAGTACAGGATGTCGTTTGGCATGTTCACTCTGGGTATAGTGTGTCCTTCAGACGAAACGGAGACGTGCATACGTGGCACATGATCAATGGAAATGGAATAGATGTCCTGGATCTCATCCGGATAAGCTTCAGCTACTGATGTACCTAGTTCATGTTGGCCGCTCCTGTTGCTTCTATTGCTGCCTCTGCTAGGTGGACCATCCCTTGACACAGCACCATTGACTTCAGCGGAGCTAAGACCTGTAGCTGTAGATAAGTCTTTGTCAATAGGTGTGTTAACTTTGAGTACAGATCCGGCAGATTCTTCCTCTGGTTCCTCATCACTGGAGTCCAGGTAACCATGTGACGGCACAGTTAGCGTGGGGAACAGGGCCTCATTTATGTACTCCTCCTGCAGCCGCTGGTTTACAGTCCAGAGAGTGGGGCGGACAGCGGGATCCTCAGCCATACACGTATCAGAAAGTGACAACAAGGCTGAGATGTGTGAGGCGCCATGTATCTTATTCAGGACTCTTCCAAGACTGTATACGTCACATGCAGGGGTTGTCTTAGCATGAGCACACGCCTCTGGAGCGAGATGGAAACAATTCTCCATGTCTCCTCTGTACGTTACCCCGGATTTGTATGATGCTGTTCCCATGTCACAGAACTTGACCAAGGGCAGTTCTCCAGACATGTCTACTAGGATATTGTCTGACTTGATGTCATTAATGAGAACCTCTTTCTTGTGGATTTTTTTCAGTCCATTGACTAGCTGGCATGCAATATTCAGCCAGTGTAATCTTGGCATATCTGACTCGCACATAACATCACGGAGCGTTTGTCCAGAACCAACATACTCCATCACAATGCTGTAGCCATCCTCCTCATCACTCAATAGTCCATAACAGATGGGGACACAGCCTGTGGACTCAAGGTACATGGTGATCTTTGCCTCATTAGCGATGGCCTCCTGTGTTGTCCTGTCTGTAAAGTGTTGTTTAACAACCACATCTCTACTCTGGCCAGGGGACACCGTCAGTGTTGCTGCATACACCTCCCCGAAAGATCCAGAGCCGATGACTATTTCAGTGAGGCCATCCTGTTCAACCTTGTAGTGGACCATGTGTGAAGGAAGAGTTGGAATCTTGATGTGCCAGAACTCTGAAGACATGCTGAAGGAAGGTCCACACCCCCTCTTGAAGACGTACTCAGAAGGAAAGGGTTCATGGCTGGCTGGCTTGTCCTCATCGTGGTCAGGGGTGGACAGAGAGCTGACGTCATGATCATTGTGGAAGGCTTGTCCGAGAGAGTCACGTGGTGGAGACAGGATGCTCAAGGTGGGAATGTCCAGGATGTCATCATAGTGGCTGAAGTCATCGTGCAGGACGGAATGTGAAGACTCAGCCCTGAAACATCAAATTTTGGATTGTGATACACATTTGAACATTGTCATTCTATTCACTAGAATGAGGTGATTTATTATCCATCAATATATTATTCATATTAAAGTGTAATGTACCTATCATCTGGACAGTTGTCTGTGAAGGAAAGGTCTCCCATGAAGTCATCCTCCTTGGTAGGATTATCCTCCAACACTGGGAACTGTTCAAGTCTGAAATGAGAAATAAGTGTGATAACATCATCAATACACAATACGATATTTTGAATCTAATCACATCATACACATATCATGATTTTAGTTTTCATTAAACAGTATTCCAATCACTATGTATTTACAATAACCCCTACCTCATACAGCACTCCTCTCTGTACCATAGGTCTCTCTGCATCTGGATAGTGCTGTCCTCTTCCCTCTCTGTTGAAGAGTCTGTGTGACCCACTGCAGTCCTCCCTGTTGACCTGCACTGACCCACACACTGTTCTAGGTTCTGGATGGGTTGTCCAGCACAATACTCTGGGCTCTCTCTGAGGCTTGATAAGAAACACAAGCCACTGCTGTATCCACCTTTAAGAAATGGTGTGCATGTCAGCTGGACCACTTTCTCTATGAGCGATTCTGGAACATTACTGAGGGAATGGAAATGCGAGATGTCTTTGAACAATTCTTTGAGATGTTCAGCATCTTCCTCAAAGGTATCTTTCTGGAGCAAATCCTCTTCAAAGAATTGGTTTCTATCAGCTCCTGAGGTAGAAGCCTCGTTGGCAGTTGAAGACATCTGACCAAAAACAGGAACCTTTTTAATCCGAGTGAATGTTTTGTTTCCTTCTCTTTGCGTCAGCTGTGTGTCCCTGCTGTGGCACTGTTGCAGTGTGGAATCTGGGAGATGATCTGTATCCTCCACTGTGTCATTCTGTGTTTGCTCTGGCTCGATACACGTTTTGCCATGATCAACATAAGCTCCTCCCGCATCCGTTGGTCCCCTGTTACGTGACCTGTAGCCATTGGAGTGGCGTTTGTTCAGGTAGCTGTGCCTTGGCTTCTTTCTGGCAAGATCCTGACCCCTGGAAAACACCTGGTCCGACTTGGTCCCAAAGACAGAAGAGTTGGCAGCGTCCAGATCACAGTCACCTTCTTCTTTGGTGTAACCGTTGTTATTTGTGTTAAGACAGGCTGAGTCGTTTAGCTGGGCAATTTTGCAGTTGAACATTGACTTGCCTTTCTGGTCGAACCAGAGTTTCCTGGTGAAGCTCATCTCCTGCCGAAGTCTGCTGTACATCTCCTCCGTTGTGCCCGGTGCACCCCTTGTCCTCAGCTCCTCCCAGTACAGGTCCTCCATGATCTGGATCTGCGATCGACCTGCCTGTTGACCTGGTGCCCTGCTGGGACTTGCCCTGAAGTACTTCATGTGTTGACTGGCCAGGTCCTTCAGGGTGGCTGAGACCATTTCGGGGTGGACGTCCTCCAGCCAGTACCAGGGTGTGAGCGGACTCCGGGCCAGGCAGCTGCCAGGGGGGACAGGCTTCAGGGAGGGGATGGTGTTGAGGATACGTCTCCGCGTGTCCTGAGTGAAGAGAAGAACATATACCATGAAATAAACGTATTGTGTAGTGTTGTGGATAAACAATATGTTGTGTTCCTTTATACATGCATACAAGAGATTCAGCTTGTCTTAAACGACAATCCTAGCAAATAACCCCCATTGTTTAACAAAGACTTACGACCGTGTAGAGATAAAAATAATACTTTTCACAGAGCTCTTTTCAGTAACATACTCCATGCACGCCACACATGTAGACATGTTAATAAGTATAGTATATAAGGAGTGATTGGCATTTGCGTCATGTAAAAATTGCATTTAAACCGTACGTTTTAGACTTAAGATTGTCATCATATCCGCGTCTCGAATACGTTATGAGCAGATCTTTCGAACATAAACAGTAAGTTATTATTTCAGAGAAACTAAAATTGTCACTGAAACGTCATTATATCGAAACTTGTTGCTTACACTAGGAAAACATTTTGAATGTTATTATGTACGAATGATAAGAACATGCTTTTGTTGAAGTTCATGTGGTTAGGTCAGATATGTTTTACTTTTATCGATCGAGTTTGTTTATTATTGAATCTTTGAAATTTAGTTTACTGTTTCACAGAATATTTTTATATGCATGTTTAATTTGCCAGTGTTGCAATATGGCTGAGATATTTTAACTCATTCACTAACTCATTGTAACAACAGTGACAAGTCACCTATAACTTGAGTTGTGATATAAGTGGTGAAATAATCTTTCACCCAGTTCATGCTTTGAAAAAAGTAAAACTTAAAATTGTCAAAGTAATCATATTTGCAGAAAAGCAACTTTAACTGTTTGTTTTTTCACTGGGCGCGACTGTATGTGCGTGCGTGCGTGCTTGTGTGTATATATGTGTGTGTTGGGCAGGTAGATGGAAAGTGTCCCCCCAATAGTCGTATTTTGTAATACTCATTGACTAGATACTTATCTTCGGACCACATCTTTTATATACAGTTTATACAGTTCGAAATTCAAACAACCAGCCGTGTATTGCTTACATTTTCAATTCAACGGTTTCATTTTCGCAGCAAAATGAACAAAATAGTTTTATGCACTTAAAATAATAAATGGATACTTACCATTTCTTTTTCCTTGAAGGTGATGTACTTGGTGGAACGGGGCTTGTACCTCAGCGGAAGTCCGTCCAGTTTGTCTTTGAGCAGACGATATTTTTCAACCCGACTCCATTGGGGTCGAACTAGCGGGCGTGGGTTTGAGGGTTCGACTTCCGGTGGTCTCTCTTTCTGGGGGAATGGTAGAAAAACTCGCGCTTTGGTTAAGATCCCATAGTTATATACGTTGTCGTGGCTTGGTCCAGTCTCCATTCGAGTTGCGTATCTTGGAGTTGATGGCGCAGACTCCATGGTTTTCAAATGACCCGGCAAGAATACTACTGCCGTGGCTGCGACCCCATCGTAAAATGCGATGAATGGAAGTCTCGCCAGATACCGTGAGTTTGAGGGAGGGGTCACTTGAGATTCAGCCTCACCTGGATCCAGTGCGGCTAACATCGCTTGGTTGTAGGAGGTAGATAGACTTTGTTCACGTTTGAGAAGAGTAAGGTTTAGAAGACTTGAGTGTTGGCCCTCCAGGAAGTCTTTATAATCCAGCATCAATGTACGCGCCATGGACAGGATCTCTTCGTTGTATGTGATGTGTGGACTTTCCATATTGATGAATCCGACCAGTTGCACATTTCGTAATGGCTGAGGCTTCAGGTGTTGTACGTTACCCGGCATTAGTGCATGTGCCGGGGCTCTGATTCCTTTGTATAATGCGACATCGGGGTGTCTCATGAGTCCTACCTTGTTTCCGCGGCTTGAGGTCAAAGCATATGCTTGTTCTACAGCTCCTGGTAAGAATATTTGTGCAGTGGCTACCATCCCATCGTAAAACGCAACAAATGGTCTAACCCTGTTTGTTGGGATCGAGGTATTTATCTGCTCTACAGCTCCTGGTAAGAATATAACTGCCGTGGCTGCGATCCCGTCGTAAAATGCGACAAAGGGGAGTCCTTTCTTGAGTCCAGTAAAATACCGTGAGTTTGAGGGAGGGGTCACTTGAGATTCAACCTCACCCGGATTCAATGTTGCTAACATCGCTTGGTTGTAGGCGGTAGATAGAGTTTGTTCACGCTTGAGTAGAGCCAGGTTCAGAAGGCTTGAGAGCTGGTCCGCCAGGAAGTCTTTATAATCCAGCACCAATGTACGTGCCATTGACAGGATCTCTTCGTTGTATGTGATGTGTGGACTTTCCATATTGATGAATCCGACCAGTTGCACATGTCGTAATGGCTGAGGCTTCAGGTGTTGTACGTCAACCGGCATTAGTGCAGGTACCGGGGCTCTGATTCCTTTGTATAATGCGACATCGGGGTGTCTCATGAGTCCTACCTTGTTTCCGTGGCTTGAGGTCAAGGCATATGCTTGTTCTACAGCTCCTGGTAAGAATATTTGTGCAGTGGCTACCATCTCATCGTAAAACGCAACAAATGGTCCAACCCTGTTTCCTGGGGTCGAGGTATTTATCTGCTCTACAGCTCCTGGTAAGAATGTAACTGCCGTGGCTGCGATCCCGTCGTAAAATGCGACAAAGGGGAGTCCATTCTTGAGTCCAGCCAGATACCATGAGTTGGAGGGAGGGGTCACTTGAGATTCAACCTCACCTGGATTCAATGTGGCTAACATCGCTTGGTTGTAGGCGGTGGACAGACTTTGTTCACGCTTGAGTAGAGCTAGGTTCAGAAGGCTTGAGAGCTGGTCCGCCAGGAAGTCTTTATAATCCAGCACCAATGTACGTGCCATTGACAGGATCTCTTCGTTGTATGTGATGTGTGGACTTTCCATATTGATGAATCCGACCAGTTGCACATTTCGTAATGGCTGAGGCTTCAGGTGTTGTCGAATACCTGGCAAAATCGCCGGGGCCCTGGTTGCGCTCCCATGGTAAAATGCGACATGGGGACTTTCCTTTTCCACGAGTTCTGACTTACTCCGAGCGCCTGGGGTCTTCATGTCTACGACTCCTGGTAGGAATTTTACTGCGTTGGATACGATACCATCGTAAAAAGCGACAAACGAACTTTCTTGAGCCCCACTCCAAAACTGGAGTGAAGGCGGGGTGTTGATTTCAACTATTTCAATCTTCATCATGCGATACGCGAGAACACGTCTTGTTGGCAGAAAGACTGTATCAACAATGGGGTGACGTCACAAACGTCTCCAAGTGTGGGTCATCACGAATCTCAATCACGTCACACGAGATTGTAAACTTGGTCCATGAGAAATATACAGGAACACTAAGGAAGTAGATTTAATGTATGCACTTGCAGCTATCACGGGAACTTCGTTATTATGTACATGTAGCACACTAATTTATGTTTGGTTGTAAGAGAGAAAGTTTCTCGAAGCGACAGTGCATGACGTCATAAAGCTATAACGTCACAGTGCAGTGACGTCATTTCCCACCACAAGCTAATATGAGTATCACGTGACCGGACTTGTCTCTCCGCGGTATACACCTTCCTGCCAATGTTTCTTTTAGCGATTGGGGAAGTCGTGTAGTCGTGTTTTGCGCCGGGATTCGACGTGCAGGGGTGCGATCCTTAGGCGTCCCGAGAAATCACTGATCGCTTAGAATCCCAGGTTCGCCTCGATTATAATTCACTCGTTTCCACCACATGAAAAAAACAACAACTTGCCAAAGTGCTTAAAAAAGGCTTCCATGTTCTGGAAGGGACCTAATCAACAGGTACCAAAAACCTCATTGCTGGACGTAGAGGCGACTAAATCAGGAATGGTGTTCGGATGGCGTGACGGTTGCTCGAGTTTTCAGTCACTGGTCGTCTGGTGGAGACATGCTGCGGTGAGATATGTGAAATATTACTGACACTCTCGTACATGTCTTAATGGACGAGCAGGACCTTCTAAGTCCTTCTAAAGATCTGTCTAGAAGATCATTGCCGTAGTGCTGAAAATACAACCGCGAAGCGCGGATGCAGCTTTTAGGGAAAGAAGGGATGCTCTTTGTGATCATGAGTTATACAAGTGCTTCATGAATTCAAATCATCCGGGAACAATAAACGTTTTATAGTGGTTATTTTTGTATAAATATATGAAACTAACTTTGTGTTGAAAAACGTTAACCTTTAAACCCGATAATATAGCTTTAACTTACAAATGTTTACAAGCAATTCACAAATAGGGTGCGCTCCTTCATTAATGAAACCTTGCTACTAGTTGAATCTGAAAAGCACCATCCAGACCGAAGCATGAACAATCTCTTTATTTTTAGGCCTTTGGTGTTAAGTTAACGCCACACTCACCAATGTTCCGGGTATGGCGGCGGCCTGTAGATAATGTATCTGGACCAGGCAAACCAGTGATCGATATTGTGAGCAACCATCACCGAACCTGACTGCCTGATCCACTTCGTCGCCTCTTACAACCAGCATTGGTTGCTGGGGACTATTTCTAAGAGGGAGTGCCAAATATTTATGTCTGTGAAATAGTTGTTTGTGGTAACACGTTTCAGTGAACAATATCATGGCGCCTGTAAAAGTTTTGGGCCAGACAAACCAATGATTGATACGCTCGTCCCCATGTTCCACTCGGGTAACAAGCTATCAACCAAGTCATGGAACATGGCGATTTAGCATGGTCAGCTCTTAGAAATAGCCTACAGGGCACCTCTTTTATTCCAACCCTTAAATGTCCGTGAAAACAATACACATTGTCATATGCAAATATAGGTTTAATGTGTAAACGTTGTATAGATAACGAGTTTTGTAAGCAAGACTCCTTTTTGACGGTGTATCCACACCATAACTTTGTTGTAAGCTGGTTCTGAGATTTGAGTTTACACCACTTTAACAGAATGTAAGCTTGCTGTAGGAGTAAAGCAGGAGTGTTGGTCTTGTTGAAATGGGAATTGTGCTGACGAACCAAGGATCCAAATGAAGGTGAATCAGAAACTGGAGCAAGTGTTGGGTTTAATACCAGTTTGAACAGTAGTCCAGGTATATACAGTTCAGAGCATGTCGGTTTAATGTGGGAGGAAAGCCCCCCGTGATGCAGGTCTCGGACCTATAGCACAGTGGGTAAAACCCATGATTATGTACCATAATCAGGACGAATCTAACCCATCGAGATTGGAACTCAGGTCTAAGAGATGCAAATATGCAAAACAAATACTGCATCTACTATCTTGTTTGACTATATCATTAGCAAGAAAGACGGTTACGACACGTTTTTGGAATTTTTGGATATATTTGGTGACTTATTTGAAAGACTTATTGTGGAGCATAACCATTGTACATCATTCTGTATATTAAATTACTTTTGATCCCTGGACAAAAGCAACATTCATCCTGAGTCCTGAATTATTAGTTGATCTAATCAGCAACTGTTGAGCTGTCTGGTGTTGGAGATTGTGAATCCACATGTGAGGATGAGAGCGCAACACAAAACACAGAAGTCACGATATGAGTAGTGAGTTTATTGATCACCCTGATGTCAGGTGAGTGTGAGATGTGAGACAAGAGTGAGATCAAACAAAGAATGAAAATGACGTGCATGTAAAGGGAATCATCTGTGTGGTTATGTTACCAAGTGGCGGATCAGGTTTGGGTGGCGGGATTTAGATGCGGCACACCATGATCTAGTTATGGTCTGTACCCTATGGGAAAAAACAGAAATAGCCTTAGTTTTACAGATAATTCTTGTATATTGACAAGCAAAAGATACCATAAAAATTCTAAAGTTAACTCTGCCCTCCCCTAAAGGAAACTAAAGTGCCACCGCCATATACAATCCTGGATCCGTCTCTGTTGTGTTTGTGAGATGTACAGATGTATAGAGAAGTGATGGACAAAGAGACTTTGTGACCCAAGTAAAGAGTGCAAGATTGGGTTGAATATAGTCAACATAAATAATGGCATTATCAGAATAACATTTACAAACTGACAAACATGAATGATGATACCAGACCTCAACTCTAGTGAGTGACTATTGTTTGGCACCACAGTCAGCAGTATTCCAGCTATATCAAGGCAGCCTGTAGATAATGTTATCCGGGCCCTGCAAACCAGTGGTAGATGGCATGAGCAACAGACCATGCTATCGAGGCACAAAGACCCACAATCAGTCAGGTCACACATAACCATCCAATAAGAATAATAATTCGCCAGTATTGAGGTCCTATTCTACACCAGGAGCCTCATACTAGTAATAGGGTCATACAACATCATTGCACTGTTGGAACATGATATTAAATGCTACAAGATGACATGCATCAACTTCTAATAGACACAAGTTCAGTATTTCAATATATTACCACCAACACTGTTACAATATGCAAGATTATTCATTAAGCTTCAAGATGTACACAAGAAACTGCTATCTAATATTTCTTTCAATTTTAAACTATACTTCACAGATGCTAAATCTGTCAATTTCTTTTAACTGGAGTCGTTTGAGACAACAAATATCATATAAAGGTGTGTCCAATAATGTATATACAATCAAACACAAGACTAAATCTTAGACACCTCCCTCCACCCACCCCAAATGTCGAAAAAAAAGGAAAAACCACAAAACATTTGTGTTTCCCAACCAACACTAGTCACTCCTGAATTTATTAATATAAGTTTCACAAATGAGTTTTAAAGCGTACATCCACCTTCCTTGTTATAGGCATCAACCAGTCAGTGTGCAACAACAACATCACACACAACATAGCACTTGAGACAGCACTTCAGTCAATGAACAGCACTAAGCAGCTGGGAGACTAAATTCATATCAACCAATAAGTCAAAATGCAACTTGTCGGGAGCAAACTGCTCTTATTCCACGTGCAAAGTCAGGATAAAATAGGTTTCATCACTGACTCATTGAATTCTCATTGGACACAGTAGGCAGTCAGCTTTTCTTGACCCTGTGTAGCATTCCATCTGGTGAACTATATGACACACTGTTTCCCAGTTTGGTTTCAGCTCCATGATCAAGTCATGATACAAGCTGGTCACCTCTATAATGTAAAACAAAGTAACGCAGTTGTTCCTCATTTCTACAACAGATGCATCAACAAGAAACATGAGGTCCAGGTGTCGAGATGTAATCCCTTGATGGTGGAGACAGTTCTGTGTTTTATAAACTGCTGTTTGCTCCCCGACATCACGACCCTCCTCCGACCTTGGCAATCAGTGTGTCACAGAGGTCTGTCAGCTCAGCTATCTCCTTGCCCTGAAACATGGGAGTCAGGTTCAGATCAGAAATAGGGGATAACATTCAGGGTTTAAAACATTGGCAGTCTGGTTCAGATAAAAAAAAAAAGGAATGACATTTAGGGGATGTAACATGGCACTCAATTTCAGATCAGAGATAGGGACATCATTTAGGGGCTAAAACATGGGAGTCAGGTTCAGATCAGGACTAGGGGATGACATTTAGGGGCTGAAACATGGGAGTCAGGTTCAGATCAGGACTAGGGGATGACATTTAGGGGCTGAAACATGGGAGTCAGGTTCAGATCAGTGAGTAAGTGAGAGAGTGAGTGAGTATGGTTTTATGCCACTTTTAGCAATATTCCAGCAATATCACGGCTGGGACACCAGAAAGGGACTTCACACATTGTACCCATGTCGGGAATCGAACCCGAACGCTTTAACCACTAGGCTACCCTACCGCCCCTGGTTCAGATCAGGAACAGGGGACATTTATAGGGCCTGTCATGACATTTGCATCTGACTTGGGGCTGATTGATGTGTTGTGAAGTCATGTTATTGGAGGATGACAAAAAAGAACCACGGGGGAGATAAAAATGACAGAAGATGGAAACATCACAAGTTTGTGAAGAAATGCCATGTGATTTTGGTGAGAAATATTACCTTCTGTTCCAGGGATTTCTCCAGACCTTGTGAATGAAGTAAACTCTTCTTGAGGACAGCCTGTAGTTTGATGTTTTCAACATTGCTACTTGATTTCTCTTTCTCCCTCTCTTCATGTGCTCTGACAAACACATTGTACATTGTATTGATAGAATTTCAATATGCCAGGAAGGTGAAAAAGGAAAACAGGCCAGTTGAGTAGCTTAACGCTGCTTTTAAGAACAGTTCAGAAATAATTTGAGAATCACCCATGTTACGGGTACAAGGAATTAGGGACTATTATCCCAAGTGCATGTGTGTTGAAAGCCCTGAGCCATTGGCAAGGGACTTACAGCATTTGTTCACAGTGAACAGATATTCCTTACCGGTAATCAGTAAAAGATTATTTTTCTAATCATTCATTGTCAATGACTTGTTGAGAAAGAAAATGAAGAAAAAAACCATAATGAAATGTCAACCCAACACAAAAGCCTCAACCAATTGTTCAGATGATACTAGCAGTGATACTTATTTGTATTTCTTGGTTATGTTAAAGTACATCATATAAAAGATTGGTATGTTTTTTTAATTTAAATCTTTGATTTTTAAACAAAGATAGAAAGCTAAAATGGAGCGAGGGATTGCGATTGGTCTTAAGATGCTTAGAACAGTCAGATCAAAACATTTCACCTGGAGCGGGCGGAAAGCTAAAAAGGATACACTTCGTACATGTTTAACACTTTTGAAATTCTCAATCGTGGTTATGGTGCTGAGAGACAAGGAATCATAATAAAGAAGAAGGTGATATACGAACTGTTTGAGCTTTGTCTCAGCTTGAGTCTTCAACTTGTTCATTGCTTCGTCTTGCTGTTGCATCTTTGCGATGAGCGACTTGTTTGTCTTCTTCAATGTGTCTTCATTCTAACAAACAGCAATAATTATGACATTATCTTTTTGAAAAGACAATGTAATAAATCTTCGAACCTTTGAAAATGAAAACAGCCCTGTTACATCTCGCTGATATCAGAGAGTTTGAAGGAGATTTGTAATGAGTAGTTCATCCTAAAGTGAGTGAGTATGGTTTGATGCTGTTTTTTGCACTATACTAGCAGGGGGACATGAGAAAAGGGCTTCAAACATTGTACCCATGTGTGGAATCTAAACCGGGGCCTTCGGTGTGACAAATGTACACGTAACCACAAGGCTAATCCACCACTCTATTTATCCTAAATAACAACGGTATAACACAACACTTTTTAAAGAAAAGGCAGGAAAGTGCCTTAACACTAGTAACATCATATTTACCTTTCTATAGTCTTCCAGCACTGACTTAACCTTCTCATACCGCCGATGCAGATCAGCGAAGGACTTCTCCACAGACTGTAGGTCCTCTATAGCCTGAATCAGGAAATAGCAAGTTACATAAAGAACAGTGCAATGTTTAGGTAGAAATTCAAGCAATGGAAAACATGCATTCCACAATTCATACAAAGGTTTAGACAACAAATCTGAGGTCTTATAATGGTATTTACAAGGCAGTGATCACACTTTTCAAGGCTTTATGTAATACCCAACTTTGCTTAAAGAGGATATAATAGGACATTCCTACTTGACTTCATCGCCAGAATGCCTCCTCTTGCACATATTGAAACACACAGCAGTGTTTCACTATCAATTGAGTTACTACTGTTACATGATGTCGTCACATTTTTCAATTTATTTTCGTCAGCTCTGTGGAATGGGATAATGGGAGCCTATTCTACCTGGAATCTCTAAAGGTGATAAGTACCTATATAACATTTCAAATATACTGTAAGACATATGGCGTGGGAGTATTATATTCAGTAAGGTCTTGCAGCAAGTGTTTAAACATCTGTGTTTGTTTGCTTGTTTGTTGCTTAACACTGCATTCAGCAATATTCCAGCTATATGACAGTGGTCTGTAAATAATAATAAGTGAATGATTTGGTTGGTCGGATGGTTGGTTGTTTAACACCCCACTTAGCAATATTCCAGCTATATGACGGCGGTCTGTAAATAATCGAGCCTGGACCAGACAATCCAGTGATTGATATCATGATCATCGATCCACGCAATTGGGATGGATGACAAGCATCAACCAAGTCAGCGAGCCTGACCACCCGATCCCGTTAGTCGCCTTTTACGACAAGCAGAGTCCCCTTTTACGGCAAGCAGGGGTTGCTGAAGACCTATTCTACCCCGGAATCTTCACGGGTCTGACATCAGTGTGACAACACCATTCTATTACCTGATTTCTTTCACTCTTTAACTTGTTTTTGGATTCTTTAGATTCGGATGAATTCTTTTCCTTTTCGTCTGGAAAGAAAATCATACAAACAACTTCTTAAAACTTTAATAAGTTTCTACACTGTGAAAAAAGGTTTTGATAATGTTGTCTGAAATGTTTATGTGACTGAGATATAGGTAAGAGAATGTGTACAGTTTTACAACTTGTTTGATAATACATGTATTCAAACCATATCATGGCATGAGGCTTGGAATTATTTTGCAAAATATAATGGACAAATTTATAAAAAAACAATGCCCCCAGGTTGTTCAACAATATAAACAAACTTACTCATGTTATTTCTGGATGTTGGATTTCCTGAAGTCCTTGTAAAAAAAAATCTATCCTGTCCTTCCCCACCCAACAAATGGACTGTCCTTTGGTATTGTTCAGTTATATCTACGCTAATTTAATAACTCTTCCAAAAGAACATTATTTCCATTACATTCTCAACTATGTAATGGTTGATGTTTCAGTACTAGATCAATGAAGGATAAACTACTCACTGACTAGCTCATTGATGAAGGATTCGTATTCAACAACGACTTGTCTGAAAAAAATAAAATTACATATTAGTAAGAAATGTTGATGGAAAATAGACTCTGCAAAATGACTGAAAAATATCTTCAAAGTGTACATAAGATTCTCTATCTAATATGTACATAAGAGGCCTTTTGGCCAACTATTCTTTCAAGAAAGCCTATTTTTAATGGTAAAAACAGTACAAAATATACATGTAGCAAATTCATATTTGGACTCGTGAAGATCTGGGTTACAAAAAAGGTCTTCAACAACCAATGCTGGCCATAAAAGGTGACCATGCTTGTCGAAAGCAGCAACTAACAGGATCGGGTGGTCAGACTTGCTGACTTGGTTTATGCATGTCATCGTATCCCAATTGGGTGGATCGATTCTCATGTGTCAATCACAGGATTGTCTAGGCCAGACTCTATTATTTACAGACCTCCGTCATATGCCTGGAATATGACTGAGTATGGCGTTAAACAACAAACAAAAACCTTAATCTTGGATCTAACTTGGTCATCATTATCTGTTAACAGAATTTCTCAAGTATTCTGTTTATCCATACTTCTGTATTTGACCCTGTTATAAGTCCAAAATACTCAAGAAAAAGAAACAAAAATAGCCATTCGTCAGTCATATGAACATGTCTCATAACAATGTCTAAAAAACTTTGCCAAAACATCTGTTATTTCGAAAGGCAAAAAAACCCCTCTTCATCCTTTGTCATTACTGACCTCATCTGTTTGTTTTTGACCTCCAGCTGTTCGGCTAACTCCTTATAGTGCTTGGCTTCCACACTGAGGGCTGTTTGCTTTTTACTCAACTCCTGCTCCATGGTGAGTTGTCTCCCCTGAGATTCCATGGTCAGCTCCTGTCTCAGCTTTTTTAGCATCTTCTTGACATCCGTCTCAGAGTACTTCAGCACCTGGTGATGACATTCATTCCCGAGTCAGCTGGATCATTGGATCTAATAGTCACCTTCAACACAATTACCTTCAATCTGCCAGTGCACGACATCAGATCTCTCTTCAGTGGATAAACTTAAATCTGTATATATATATTATTCTGCTGACAAAACTGGATTCCATCAGTCTACAACAAATGGTAACTTTCAAAATTCACACCAGTCCACTACATAATGTTTTTGAGAATTATGACCAAATCCAATGATGGTATAGTCCGAAATGACGAGTAACATTTGATGCTATAGTATAACTCTTTACCTTTCCTCCATGCTTTGATTATACCACAAATTGGTCTCACATGACAAGATCATCTTCCCGAGTCAAGGGAGTTAGCTGACTGTAAAAGTCCAGTTTCCACCCTTACTGAACTAGGCTGGAATTTCGGGGCTCAATCGTAGCACTACCAGTGGATATTACAAGTTATGTCCCTTCTATGTTCCGCCTATTGACCAATCAGATTCCACTTCTCACATCACTTGCATTTGTTTCAAACAAAATGGCGGTGCCCAGGAAAGATGATCTTATCGATAATCAAGATCTATATTTTAATAAAACGGGTCTTATTTTATGAAGTGCATCAAATCATGTGAGCACCTTGATTAAAAAACGTAAACAGATTTGGAACATATCTGTTGACACGAGCTGGTGGTATTCATGCTTTACAAATCCTGCAATCCGATCGACTGAAATCTGCACAGCAGTTTAGGAACTGGATGTTGATTTTGTTGCGCGATTTTGATTGAACTATGCATAGACTCAAAATAAACTCCATAATTCCAGCCTTGTTCGGCAAGTTTGGAAACTGGACTTTTGCAGTCAGTGAACTCCCTTGCCTCGAGAAGATGAATTAAGATTTGAACAATTAAAATGTCATGGTAACGGTGAAACTGTTTACCTGGTTACCTACATTTCCCACAACCGATTTACCAATGTTTACAGCAGTTTAGAAGTAAAAGAAAATTAAAATGTGACTTTCATTTTGACGCAATATGAATGAATTAGGTACACTGGTCAACCATGTGCACACATTCAAGAGACATCTGCATGTTACATCTGCAAACCCACATAGTCAATATCATTATGATCAGTAAAATCTTTAAGATGTAGAGTATACAAGGCCCATACCTCTACAACTTCAAAGAAAGTTTCATCTTTCTTAGTATCTTGTGTAACTGCAGAGGCTGCCTGACCTTGAATCTCATCGTGAGTCTGACCTTCAGTCTGAACTGATTTCTTCTCCTGGAACGTAAGGTGGGGTGAGGTGAAATTGAGGTTTTACGTTGCATTCCAGATTACTGCACTTATAGTGTGCGTGCATGCGTGTTCTCCGGTTGGAAGCTCTACCACTAGACCACGGAGGCAGTCAGAACATTAAGTAAATCTTATGAAAAGAATAAAAGTTCTTTATATGACATCATTTAATAAGATCAACTGAAATCTAATCAATTTTACAACGTTTCAACCAAGATTTTATGTATTGAGTACCTTAGACCATGTAGAACCTGGTGTTTTTCAAGTGATCAGGAAAGCTCTGTCTTTTGGTACAATTGACAATTATCATCATGCTTGGTTGGATTTACCATGTTTACTCGACAAATAATCTAATCACACTCGCTGAATAGGCCCGTTAGTGATTGAATTAAGCGGTGTCAAGCCTTCGCAAATATATGTCATATATACTATAGAGACAGTAGGGCTGTCTCAGGGACATGTTACAAGTGTGACTGTTGACGGGATGAGCAATGATTAGAGATTTGATTCAAACATATATTATTGTCAATAAACAAAAAGGCACAAGTGTATAACTTACTCTTATTTTCACCAGAGTATGGCATCACACAAGCATCTAGGTAAAACATTGCAACCTAATCATTAGATTGCTTTTTATAATGGTGAGGCAAGACTGTGAAGATCCTGGGTGGAATAGGTCTTCAGCAACCCATGCTTGCTGTAAAAGGTGACAGTGCTTGACGTAAAAGACTACTAACGGGATTGGATGGACAGACTTTCTGACTTGATGATGCATGTCATTATATCCCAATTGCATAGGTCGATGCTCATTATATCAATCACTGGATTGTCTGATCCAGACTCAGTTATTTACAGACCGTCGTCATAAAGCTGGAATAATGCTGAGCGTGGTGTTAAACAAACGGTGCATGACGAACTAGGGCCCTCTTCTCCAAATACAACATTTTTACACACACATCTGGTTTATCATGTTGAAATGCAAGAGATGTTTATTTGTATGTTTATTTGTTAATTAACACCTCACTTGGCAATATTTCAGCTATATGACCGTGGTCTGAAAAAAAATAAGGACATCATGAACATCGATCTAAACACTTGGGATACGATGACATGCATCAACCAAGTCAGCAAGCCTGACCACCCGATCATGTTAGTTGCCTCTAACAACAAGCATTATACTTGAGTGGGCACTATACTCAAGAAAATACAGTATCTATACCACCCCTAGTCTGTAAATGGGCACCAGATTGTTAAGCATACCCCATAGACATCATTAACTCTGAGGACAATGGCTGTTGTTTCAATCACTGCCTGGATCAGTCATGGGAAGGCTGTACATGTATTACCTGTTGGATTTCCTCTGCTTCCGGACTACACGAGAAAATGAGATCCACCAGGAGGGGTTTCGTTTCCTTCTCCTTCTTGTCTTCTCCATCTTCCTCTTCAAAGATGGTTTTGGATACGGCAGCTGGAGGTCTGCGCTGGACGAGTATGGATCTGCGTCGACCTCCACCACGTGGTGGCGTGCCCATCAACATGATACTTTCATCACTGAAGTCATAAAACAACAGTCCAGGCTATGTAAGTAACTGCTGGTAGGTAGGTAGGTAGGTAGGTAGGTAGGTAGGTAGGTAGGTAGGTAGGTAGGTAGGTAGGTACAGGGTGACACCATGCATTGTAGCAGGGTTTCACAAGAGGTTGCAACCCTTCATATTTGACAAAATTTTCATCCAAAATACCAGCTCCTAATCCTCTTTTCGATGTGTAGTTTGTTTGTTTGTTGTTTAACGCTGCAGCCAGCAATATTCCAGCTATATGACGGCGGTCTGTAAATAGTCGAGTCTGGACCAGACAATCCTGTGATTCACATCATGAGCATCGATCCACGCAATTGGGATCGATGACGTGCATCAACCAAGTCAGCGAGTCTGACTACCGGATCCCATTAGTCGCCTCTTATGGCAAGCATGGGTTGCTTAAGACCTTTTTTCCCTAATCTGCATGGGTCTTTGATGTGAAGTATTTGACACTGTTTTAATCGGCCAATACTAGTTCTAACTTGAACAACCAAACCAATGTAAGAGAAAAAGCTTGATTTTAGAGGTAAACAGAAAGTGATGCAGGTCTGAGACGTTTACCACTTTGATGAAACTTGAAACATTCGAGCAATTTTTTGTTTCATCGGTTTCCTTGCACAGCAATGTACCACCTAAGACAACTAGGTCACCAAAATCTGTACAGCATGTAAGAATGGGAGGGAGTAAATGAATGTTGGTTTATGCCAGTGTCAGAAAATAGTCAAGGGTTGACCAGACAAACAAGTGGTTGATAGCACAAGCACTGATCCACATCGTCAGGGTATGAGTGAGTGAGTGAGTGAGTGAGTGAGTGAGTGAGTGAGTGAGTGAGTGAGTGAGTGAGTGAGTGAGTGAGTGAGTGAGTGAGTGAGTGAGTGAGTTGGGTTTAACGTTGCTTTTAACAGTATTCCAGTCATATCGCGGCGTGTCAGCTTAATGATGGAGGAAAGCCGGAAGTGATGCAGGTCTCAGACATTTACCACTTTGGTGAAACCCACGAGCACGGGTATGGTGCTGACAAACCTAGAAACATAATTGGGGCGAACCGGGATTCGAACCCACAATCATAGGTTTCTGTCGTGCCCAAGGGACGCAACTCTGCACAGCGAATCGCGGCGCCTTAGACGACTGGGCCACCCGTGCCCCCCAGGGTATGATGAAACTCAGTTAGCCAGAACATATATTGTAACTCTCTCTTGCGTGATCGGGACTACCCAGAGGAGTGGAGAAGACTCACGGAAACGCTACACATTAAACACAGTCACAAAATTAATTATAAAGTCAACCCACCCATCTTTAACAACTTCCATCTTCTGTATTCCACGTGCTATTCCTGGAAATAGAAAAATATTGCTTGATAATGAATCCTTGGCTAAAAATGACAAACGTATTAGCTGGATGTCATTAAAAAAAAGATGAAAGTCAGTATGTTTAAGGGGCATTTACTAGTCTGTAAGGATATAACGTGAGGAGAAATGGAGTTTAACGTCGCACTGAAGATTATTGCACTATACAGTAATGTGCATGCATATGTGTGTGTCTGCTTGTATTAGTCCTGACTTATCACTGTTTTATAGTGCTAACCCACTGAGATACCATGCCACAGTTTAACATAAATACCCAACTCAGACACAGTATACTGACTCCGAGCTGGCCAGTACTTGTTTTCTCCCATTATACCCAGCACCAGGCAGGGAAGCAACAAGTACCATCTTTTTTTAAAGGCCTATGGCATTAATCTGCCAGGGATTGATTCAGCGACCTTCTGCTTTCAGGGTAGACGCTCATTTTCCAAGACAAGTAGACCACTTATTATACATGCAGTACGCATGCTACAATTTGTACAAGTAAGTAAGGGGTGTAGCTATGTGAAACCGTGATAACCCCTCTCTCAATACACACCTGCAGGGCTGTGGGCTGGTTTAGAGTTGACCAGAGGATCAAATTTGACGTATAGCGACATACGTGACAGATCAGACTCCACATTCTGCAAGTAGATGAACATAACCACCAATCTGATTTGCTCTTGTTCAAGTTGCACCTCTATCCACAGAACAAATATCTTTTCTTCCTTTTATACATAATAAAATACACCATAACCACATTATACTGACATCCTTGTTATACAGATATCTTCACTGTAGTGATATCCTCTTTATACTGATATCCTTGTTATACTGATATCCTCGTTATACAAATATCCTCTTTACTGATATCCTTTTTTCACATATATCCTCATTATACTGATATTTTTGTTATACTGATATCGTCACAGTAGTGATTTCCTTTTTATACTGATATCCTCGTTATACAGATATCTTCGTTATACTGATATCCTCGTTATATGGATATCCTCGTTATACTGATATCCTTGTTATACTGATATCCTCATTATACAGATAACTTCTCTTTACTGATATCCTTATGGTTCTGGGTCGTACCAAATATTCACACTTCATGTGAACCACACCTGTCAACAATTATTGTGCCCAGATATCTTTGAGATGTACTTGCAGTGTTTGAAATTAAAAGATGGCCTTAAGGTTTGATCCTGTGATATTATATATTCCCCACAATTTTTAACTTTTAACATCAGGGTTAAAATAAGGACCTTTGACTTTCACGCTTAATTCAAAACACTAATATGTCCGTAAAATTGCCCACTGACATTAAATACAATGCAATAAATGAAAACTCACAGTGTTGTTACTGCCAAAGGTCTCCAACATGTCCCAAACATTTGGATCACTGAACACTGAAATATGCAGTTAACATCATGAAAATAACTTCAGTGTGAAAAATAAAAAAAATAAAAAATGTATCTCATGTCTTTTGTCAAACAGATTAAAGTATTTCGATTAAAAAAAGTTTTTAACACATGATAATCATATCGTTTTTCATTACTTGAGGTAATATTGCTTCCACGCAATGTCAACAAATTATTGAACGTTGTGCCATAAACACATTACATCCAACAAAGTTGTAAATACCATACTGCAACATTTAAAAAACGGGTCCTTTTCAGAAAGCAATCATGGTGCTACGAGTAGATGTAGAATGTTTTACAGCTAGTTGGCAAAGTTCTTGTTTCATAGAGTGGACTGTAAATAACCAAGTAAGGGCAGATGCACCAGTGGTTGATGACAAGAACAACGATCCAGGCACAGGACACAGTGACATGCATAATGACCACCCGATCCTCATTCTGGGTCGCTCTTACAAGAGGGGTTGCTTTACTTAGGGTTACGAGTGTCATACGTCTACAGTCTGCGACTTAAGCCACCAGTCCCAAGTAGAGACTGGAACTATTTTGGCAACTACTGAATCTATGCTAAGTGAGAGAGTGAACTGGATCAAACGCTGCTTTGAACAGTATGACAGTTGTATTACGGCGTGTCAGCTTACTGTGGGAGGGAAGCCCAAAGTGTAGAGGTCTTAGATGTACAGGTATGGTGGGGACAAACCCAGAAGCATAGTCGTGGCAAGCTAGGATTAAAACCCACGATCAAAGGTTACTGGCATGCTGTACCCAAAGGACACAGCGAATTGCAGCACCTTAGACGACTGGGCCACCTGTCCCTGAGTATGCTAAGAGTATGGGAGTTTGGATAGTTGAAGTACTAAGAATGCCTTGTAAAACAGTTCTCATGATTTCAAACGGATGTTCACCTTCATTTGCAGGTCTGAAGTCATCTTGGACAAAGTTCATATCCTCTTGTCCACCAGCTGTATCCCCTGTGGCAATCATGCACATGACGTTGTTGCCTAGGAGATCCATCCCACCAAAATTCTGCACAGGAGTCTTAGGGAGCCCATTATTGTTGGCGTTTCTGTTAGGAGTATTTCCCATCCCTGGCTTTGACAGGAAAGGGTTAAAAGCATCCAGATTATCAAAAGGATCAAGAGAAATTGCCTGGACCGGTTGTTGTTGAGGAGCTTCTAAATTTGTCTTCACAGGTGCAGCTGCCTGCGTCTTTCCTACAGGTGAATTTGCAACTTTCAGTTTGGTTGCAAAGGGGTCCTCCATTAAATTTAACTCTGCTGGTAAACCAGATGGTTGCTTTAATTGTGCATTCTGGTTCTGTACACTGGGTGCGAAGGGGTCCAAGCCAGTCATATCACCAGATAGTTTGGGAGGAGAGCTGGCCACCTTGGACTTGCTTTGGAATGGGACTCCTTCAACCTTTCCAGAATTCTGCACTTTGGAGAGTGACGCAAAAGGATCAACGATTTCATTGTCTGTGATTGCATGATTGTCAGTTTTTACTGGGGATTTGGGCAGCTTGGTTCTGGTTTGAAAAGGATCAGCATTAGATAGTGGGCCTGGGGAGTTCTGAATCTGAGACTTGGTTTTGAATGGATCAGCACAATCACCATCCGGCATAGCTGAGACAGGTTTCACTGGAGAATTAGCCACACAGGTCTCGGTTTTGAAGGGATCAAGGTTATCAAAGTCTAACTGTTGGTCACAAGCTGTAGGTTTGTTTTCTGTTTCAGCCATGGCATCAGGAGCATCTTGTTTCACTTCAGTAGTAGGCTTTTCAGGTGAATTCATAACTTGGGATTTTGTCTTGAATGGATCAATACCATCCATGTCAGCAATAGGCTTAGCCAAAGCTGTTGATTCAGTTTTCCTATCTGGAGAATTGACAATTTGGGACTTCAATTTAATAGGATCAACAACATTAAGATTTTCAGGTAGGCTCCCAGTTGCTACGGATGGTGTTTCTTTGAGAGGAGAATTTGGTATTTGTGATTTACTTTTGAAAGGATCGATATCGTCAAGATTTTCTGGTAGGCCCCCAGTTGCTACAGATGGTGTTTCTAGGAGAGGAGAATTTGGTATCTGTGATTTACTTTTGAAAGGATCAACATCATCAAGATTTTCTGGAAGGCTCCCAGTTGCTACAGATGGTGTTTCTTGGAGGGGGGAATTGGGTACTTGTGATTTACTTTTGAAAGGATCAACATCGTCAAGAGTTTCTGGGAGACCCCTAGTTGCTACAGATGATGTTTCTAGGAGAGGGGAATTTGGTATTTGTGATTTACTTTTGAAAGGATCAACATCGTCAAGATTTTCTGGAAGGCCCCCAGTTGCTACAGATGGTGTTTCTAGGAGAGGAGAATTTGGTATCTGTGATTTACTTTTGAAAGGATCAACATCATCAAGATTTTCTGGAAGGCTCCCAGTTGCTACAGATGGTGTTTCTTGGAGGGGGGAATTGGGTACTTGTGATTTACTTTTGAAAGGATCAACATTGTCAAGAGTTTCTGGGAGACCCCCAGTTGCTACAGATGATGTTTCTAGGAGAGGGGAATTTGGTATTTGTGATTTACTTTTGAAAGGATCAACATCGTCAAGATTTTCTGGAAGGCCCCCAGTTGCTTCTGCAGTTTTTGATGGAGTTTCTTTAAGGGGGGAATTTTGTATTTGTGACTTGGGTCTAAAAGGGTCAACATCATTAAAATTTTCAGGAAGACTAGAATGGCTTTCTTTAACGGGAGAGTTCTGAATCTGAGCCTTAGGCTTGAATGGGTCAAGATTTTCTGGAAGGCTCCCAGTTGCTACAGATGATGTTTCTAGGAGAGGGGAATTTGGTATTTGTGATTTACTTTTGAAAGGATCAACATCGTCAAGATTTTCTGGAAGGCCCCCAGTTACTTCTGCAGTTTTTGATGGAGTTTCTTTAAGGGGAGAATTTTGCATTTGTGACTTGGGTCTAAAAGGGTCAACATCATTTAAATTTTCAGGAAGACTAGAATGGCTTTCTTTAAAGGGAGAGTTCTGAATCTGAGCCTTAGGCTTGAATGGGTCTACATCCTCAAATGATTCAGACAAATCAGTAGATTCGGTTAAGGTTTTGACTGGTGAATTCATGATTTGTGACTTGGGTTGAAAGGGATCCATCTGATCAATATCATCAAGCAAATTCTCAATCACAGTGAGATCTGCAGTTCCCATTGTTGAGTTAATGGTTGAATTCTGGCATGGAGAGTTGACCATCTGGACCATGGGTTTGAAAACATCGGTACCATCAAGACTGTCTGGCAGTCCTTCAGTCGACTCACGTTTAGGTGATGCATAGTCAGACTTCTGGTCTGAACCCTGTTTCTTCGGTTCACCATTCTCCAAAAGCTTGGAACATTCGGCTGGTTCCCCAGTGTTCTGTGCTGCAGATTTAACTGGTGAGTTTTTAACCATGTTCTTAGATTTAAATGGGTCAACCTCATCTAAGCTGTCAGGCAAACCAGTGGATACCTCAGCAGAAGGAATCACAGGAGAATTTGCAATCTGAGATTTGGGTTTAAATGGATCGACATCCAAATTGTCAGGTAAACCCTTGATAGGTGTATTTTTTATTTCCTTTGTGGGTGAATTCTGAAGCTGAGCTTCAGTCTTGGGAGCATCTTCATCCTGTGCATCTGCCTGTCCTGTCATGGAAGCCAGAATACTGTCTTCATCACTGGATACAGAGGCAACTACAGGAGAGTTGGCAATCTGAGAGTTTGTCTTGAAAGGATCCATATCTTCCTTACTCCTTACTGGAGAGTCAACAACCCTTGCTGGGGATGAAGCAACACTGGAGATGGAAGAAGCTGGTACGGATGTGCCAAGAGAATTGGCCAGACCTCCCTTGGATTGGAAAGGATCTGTGTTCTCATCATATGTATAGGCCTTGGTTTGGAACTGTATTTCATCATCAGAGTCTGCTGATACGGCATTGGCCTCACTGAAAAGATATCAGGCAAATGAACACAGCAGATTGAGATATTCATGTTATGGGCATAATAGATTAGTTATTAGATTTTTATCCCTGCCAGCTTCACTACCAAACACCCAACCTCATATCATCTTATTGTCCCTTGGTACCTCCAGATGAAGGAAATTACTGAATGGTCCCTCCTTTCTATAACATTTGTTATAATTTTGAAGGAAAATCTAATATTTAATTATATGGGCCTAATCATGCTAATAGCTTTTTAAATTGAAGCTGTTCAGAGAGAAACACATAAAGAATCATGCTGCTTCATTATTTAGTAAACCCAACAAGAAAAGATGTATTTCACTGCTTCTGAATCCTGTTCAATCTTCATGTAGTCAGACACTTCACGACAACATCCCATGGGTGTCTCATATTATAACAGTACAGTAAAATAACTTTAAACACGTTCAAGAGTTTATTACTGAATATGCTGAACCAAATTTGAGTAGATACGACAATAACCATCAAGAAGTTGTCATATTATCTGGTGAAAAAAGTGCTGATGGGAATTAAAAAAATAAAAGTAACAAAGAGAAGACATTAAATTTCAAGATGTTCATACATATTGTTCTTCAATATGCATAAATGGTTATCAATGGTTATCTGAATTTTGTTGTTGAGTTCGTCTCATCTTAAAACTATTGTAACCTATTGTCTTGCACAACCTTCTGGCAGTGAAACCCTTAGTAACCCTCATGGCATCATTCAGTGAATCCAGATTAACAAAAATCTCTAACCATGTAACGACTAACCATCCTTAATTTCTTACATTGAGAACCATAAGAAAAATAACCTCAGCAAGTGAATAAAACAGAAAGTGGCTCACATAGTCATTACAGAACAAAACTGCTAGTAAGTGTCAGGTAAAAACATGTGATCCAGCAAATAAGCATGATTAGAAATGAACATTAGCAAAACCAATTAGTTGTGCATGTAAGTTGTTTGACACTTTGTTATCAAGTTAAAGTGGTATATCCCTCAAACAACAAAACAGGACAGTCATCTGGCCCTGATCAAGGACATGCAAGTGGTTGTGGTGGTGCAGACTGATGTCCACTTACACCGGGACTGGCAAAGATCTAATTATATCATGGATAACTTCAGCAGCAAATGCTGCATAGTCTCTGTGGTCGTTCTGGGTGAGACGACTGGTACGTTCTGCCCACTGCTCTGTGTCTTCTAGATCTCTTACAATATCATACCTGTTGCTGGTGGCAGGTGCTGGGGCAAGTGGAGATGGCTGGGAAGGCACCTGGTGATGGAACAAATCAAACATATAACAACCATCACTTCAAATAAGGCATGTAAGGAGGGATACTAGACAATCCATACACAGAGATGTGTACCCGCCGAAAATGGGTAAGCCATACCTAACATTCCTGTCCAACCCATACCAGATTAGGAGCATTCTTACCTCAACTGGCTGACTCGTACACTAATCTAGATGATCCATACACAAATTTGGAGGACCCATATCCACTTATTTTCATATCTGTTGCATTTGTAAAGGTTGTTGTTGTTGATTAGTTGTTTTACGCGGCACTCAGCAATATTCCAGCTATATGACGGCGGTCTGTAAATAATCGAGTCTGGACAAGACAATCCAGTGAGTACTTTCATGAGCATCGATCCACGCAATTGGGATCGATGACATGCATCAACCAAGTCAGCGAGCCTGACCATCCGATCCCGTTAGTCGCCTTTTACGACAAACATAGTCACCTTTTACGGCAAGCATGGGTTGCTGTAGACCTATTCTATCCCGGAATCTTCACGGGTCTCCAAAAATGGATTGCGTTACAATCATTCATAATAGTAATACATTTCAAACATTCAATTCACAGTTCACTATGTTAATTGGGATAGTTGGTGATTATCCCTTGGACCAGGCTTTTACATGACACACAAATGTAGAGAAGGGACACAGGAAAAAAGTCTGAGTCTCATGGGACGGACAATAACAATCTGAACTTTTGAACAATTGAACTTACTGCTCATCAAGGACAGTTACAAGTGTCTGTCATTTCATCCATCATTCATGACCTCTGTCTACATGATCACTGATTCATTCCAGGCTCTAAAGTAATTATTATTATGAACAGTATACTACATCATTTCATTACTTTACAGGACCCTATTGCCTGCAAGGACCCTTAAACTGAATTATTAGGAGTCTGCTGGACCCCCACTTTTGTATGTCAAGGACTGAAGGTAAACATGGTAAAATCCTGGCTTGGACTAAGCACCAGTTAACACACTCAGTGTGCTACACAAGCAGTTCACACACAGTGATCAGTGATCTCAGTCCCTCAGTCCTAGCATTTGTCTAGTGGCCATGTTAAACAACAAAGCTTCACCAACAATGTCTTAATTGACAACCTGTTTAATCAATGTTTTGTAGAGCTGATATTTTTCAGAAGCAATTGGAAGTTCTAAGTGGACTGTTTCATAATTAATATCAGATCAATAGAAGCAAATAATATTTATAATCATAAATTTGTGTGAGTTCAACAAAATATAGTGAGCATGGTGAGTGAGTTGGGTTTAACGCCGCTTTTAACAGTATTCCCGTTACATCGCGACGTGTCAGCTTAATGTGGGAGGAAAGCCTGCAGTTATGCAGGTCTGAGACGTTTACCACTTTGGTGAAACCAATGAGCACGGGTATTGTGCTGACAAACCTAGAACACAATCGAGGTGAACTTGGATTCAAACCCACAATCATAGGTTTCTGGCATGCCCAAGGGACGAAACTCTGCACAGCAAATTGTGGCACCTTAGACGACTGGGCCATCCAAAACATGCTAACCTGCTAACTGGATAAACATGATAATATTCATGCTGAACACTCTGACAATGAATGCATCAGTGGTAAAGGTAATATTCAAGCACATAACATGAAAACATATCAACATCAGCATGCCAAATTTTAACCACTGCTAACCATGGTAACAGTACCTTAACATTTTTGGTGACAGGTGTCTGAAGCTGTACAAAGTTTTCCATTGGTTTCAGCACAGATCTGACGGAAGGGCTACCACTCACTGTCTTCCCTCTCGCCATTTGTGCCGGCGGGGTGTTCTCATCCATGGTGGACATACCTAGTTAACATTGAAAATATAACACCAATATGCAGAGTATGTGCCACCCAATCATGCCAATAGTTTCCATAGTTTCATAATAATTAGATATATTCTCAAGAAATATTACGTATACCTAATACATATTTACTCAAACATAATAATGATCTAGACAATCCTTAGGGTTAGTTGTGTTAGGGCTAAGGTAGTTTACCCCAACTCTGTTCTTAGACCTTTGATCCACAGGCACCTGCAGCTGATTCATTTACGGGGTAAACTTTTTCGACTCACACCTATCCTATATTTATATAGGTCAACAAGTTTAATCCAGTAAGTGATCAGCTTCAGGTGTCTGTGCTTGGATCCCCGATAGGTAATAGTGGCCAACAGACTATATATAGCCGTTCCCAGGATATAAATTGAAATATTTCCTGCCATGAAAACATATCACACTTGAGACAAATATCTTAGTAAAGACAATAGGCCTAAAGGCAAACATTTCAGCAACACACTTTCGTGCTAGTGAAGAGCAAATAACGAGATGGCAGTAGGTACAATATGAATTATATACTATAAGTACAGTGTATGCTTGATGCCTCCATGATCAAAACATTGCATTTGGAGATGAGTGTCGCTTCAGTTTCAAGTTAGCGTTTTCACATCATCAGTGGAACGACTTTGACATCTTATTGTCAGTTTATGGTGAACTTCAAAATCATGACTTTGCTTAACAATAATGAAACTTACCTAATGATAGTCGTCGTTTCTGCTATTCCTGTTTACGGTTGTTCTATGCTGTTTCTGACAACAGCAACTCATTCAAATGACACACTCCTAGCGTTTGAATTTACCGCCTGAGCATGCGCAATTCAGGCACCGGAAGTAAACATCGCACCGGGCATAATTTACTTCGTAAAACATAAAAAAAAAACTACCTACTCAACGTGCATGGTGTATTCAAGCACAACATTAAACTGTCACATCGCAATGTGAAATGGTGACAAAGGATACGGCATTTCTTCTTCACGAAGACCGGCATACGCATGAAGACAAGACGTTTTGCTGCTAAAGTAAAACTTTTATGAGAGCTTCCGGAAATTATATTTTTTATAACATTTTATGAGCGCTTAAAATTACAAAGTGGATATTTTGTCAATATTGCTCCCATTTTCTTGGAGGAGTTATTATTTTCATTAGTATGTTTCTTTTTATCTAGGTCATGTCCGTTAGTCGTTTAACACAGACAAGAAAAGATAATTGGTTATTCTAAAGCTGGTAGATTCTATATCATCTGTTCCTTTTACTAGCAAATACAGGACCCGTGAAGTTCCGGGGTAGAATATGTCTTCAGGTACCTACGCTCGTCCAGATGAATTCTCTATTGGGCAGTAAGTAAACATATATACCCCTTACATATAGGGTGTTTATATTTATACTTACGAAGCATAAACGAGTTCCTGTCTGTTTGCCGTAAAAGGCGACTTACGGGATCGGGTGGTCAGGCTCGCAGACTTGGTTGATGCATGTCATCGTATCCCAATTGCTTAGGTCGATGCTCATAATGTCTATCACTGGATTGTCTGGTCCAGATTCGCTTATTTACAGACCGTTGTCATATAGCTGGAATATTGCTGAGTGCAGCGTAAACAAACAAACTTGCAATTAACTTTATGCATCTGATTCACCCCGTATGACACTTCGGTAATACAAAGTGATTTATTCACGTGCGATGGCTGAGAATTCCTGTGATGGCTTTGACAGTGAGAAACGCTATATATCATAAATAATTCAGCATGCTACTTAAACAAGGATCTAAGTACTTGACAACAAATAGAACACTACTTCTTGTTGTTTTTTTCGTTCTAGACACAAACGTAACATTTGAAACCAATCTCATTATCAAACAATTTTACTCCCGTATGATGACCTCTCTAGATAAAAATCTGACAAACGCTTCACAGAAGGCCGCGTTAGGTGAACTTTCAAATCAGCCAATCAACTTCGTTGATTAAAAATTCTAAGCGCGAACGGGAGAAACATTCAGAGCAGCATATGTGATTTCTGTACCTCTTGAACGAACTTAAACGTGCAGTTACAAATGGAAAAAATAATAGCCGCGCTATATATGTTGTGGATACTTTATATACCATGTCGTTTCTGAGCGTCATGGCATCTACATCTAAAAGTGTGTGCTATCGAAGGAATATTTGTGTTCTGTTTGGATTTTTGTTGTTAGATTGACATTCATTTCCCAATCGAGGTGGCAATGAAATGAAGCCATGAAGAAATGAGAACTGCCATCTGATTGGCCCAAGAACCACACCCGATTCACCTGACGCGATGGGTTGTCACATATGCTTCGTTTTGTTGTTTCATTTTCAGTTTAACGCGCACTCAGCAATATTCCAGCTATATGACGGTGGTCGGTAAATAATCGAGTCTGAACCAGATAATCCAGTGATTGACATCACGAGAATCGATCCACGCTATTGGAATACGATGATATGCATCAACCAAGTCAGCGAGCCTGACCACCCGATCCCGTTAGTCGCCTCTTACAAGTATAGTCGCCTTTATACGGCAAGAATGTGTTGCTGAAGACCTACTCTACCCTGGATCTTCAAGGGTCAACCTGCACGTAAGGAGCTATAGTGATATTATTTTAATTATATCAAGTTAAAATGAATATTAAACGAGAAAACATACAATTTGGGCGACCTATACACATCCTCATTAACTTTGACTAATCCGTACACAAGTTGGCTAACCCTTACAGCCCGCTCTATAGATGTTTGTAAGTACAATAATCCGTTGTAGAGCCCGGATTTAGTCTTACAGACCCTGATACAAATATATCAAATACAGCCCATGCAAGTCTATAAGGTTTGGCAAATCTAGACTCGCGCAACATCTGAAAATGAAGAGTCTCTAGGCTCCTTTTTATTAAATTTTTATTAAGATAATTTAACAACTATTTTTTTTCTGTACGATAGTTCATTTCAGAGACTAGATGTTAGTCTAGCCAGGATTCACAGACAGTATAAGCTGGCTTCCACATGCAATGTATTACAGACATTACCCCATGATTAACGTCTGCATATATATGTTAATATGGAGATAATTATTGGTTCAGAATAGGAAGGTTTTAATATAGCAAAGACGGAACCACAGCTAAGATGGAATCTGCTTGGTTATATCGAATATGGCGAAAACGGGTCTGCATTTTGTACCGTGTTTGACGTTTCGAAATAGTGAGTCGGGCTTAACGCCGCTTTGTATATAGCAGTCCAGTTATATCTCGACCTGTCAGCTTAATGCGGGAGGACAGCCTGAAGTGTTACAGGTCTCAGACGTTTACCACTTTGGTGAAACGCACGTGCGTGCGTAAATATGGTTTTACGCCGCTTTTAGCAATATTCCAGCAATATCACGGCGGGGGACACCAGAAATGGGCTTCACACATTGTACCCATGTCGGGAATCGAACCCGGATCTTCGGCGTGACGAGCGAACGCTTTAACCAATAGGCTACCCGACCGCCCCTGGTTAAACGCACGTGCACAGATGGGTCTGGTGCCGACAAACCTAGAAACATAATCGGTGCGAACTGGGATTCGAACCCACGATCATTGGTTTCTGGCGTGTCCAAGGGACGCAACTGTGAACAAAAGTTGCGGTGATTCAGACTGAGGCCAACCCATTTTTTTAATGCGTTGCTTAAGTTTTGGTTATGCATTCTTTTCAACAATAAATGAGTGAGTGAGTATGGTTTTACCCCCACTTCCCCTTTTCATCTATGACATTAAATTGGTTCCAAATGAGGTATCCATGCTCCATAGATAGTTAATGTGCTCACACCTTACATAATGTATATCAACATCACAAATGTGTTTCATTTTGTATCATGCTTATGAGTATATTATTCATAATTGTTTAGTCCACACAAATATACAAAAAAGACAAACAAACCCAGTCATCTTCTCAAGTTTATATACAGTAAGAACAACAGGCACAGATCCGCAATGGTTGAGGCTGGAAATGATGGCCCATACCACACAATGGTACAAGAAATGAGATGGTTCATACAGCAATGTGATCATTCCTACAGCCACCAGACGGTTCCAAGGTTGTCCTTATGGTCCCCACAATGGTTGCTATGGCCACATGATATCAGGACACAATAAATTAAATTTTCAGACAAAATTTCCAAAATGTGATACAGGTGGCATTTCATGTATATATTCAAACTGTTCAAGCTATTTTTCTTTGTTGTGTAACGCCACACTCAGTAATCTTCCAGTTATATGATGGCAGTCTGTATAAATAATCAAATCTGGACCAGACAATCCAGTGATTGATATCTTGAACATCTATCTACGCAATTGGAATACGATGATATGCATCAACCAAGTCAGCGAGTCTGACCGCCCTAGTCGCGTCCTACATGCATAGTCGCCTGTTACAGCAAGCATGGGTTGCTGAAGACCAATTCTAACCCTGATCTTCACAGGTTCAAGCCATGTGTGTACATTAGGTACATGGGGACAACATAAGGATACGAGGAGGATGTTCCATGGTGATGCAGACAGGGATGACATCGAATAATTAACATGTTATTGCCTTACTAAATGATGACTGGTCATGAAATGTTTTATGGAAACCATGCATCTCAGAGTGAGTGAGTTTGGTTTTATACCGCTTTTAACAATATTCCAGCAATATCACGGCAGGGAACACCAGAAATGGGCTTCACACATTGTACCCATGTCAGGAATCAAACCCGGGTCTTCAGTGTGACGAGCAAATGCTTTAACCACTAGGCTACCCGACCGCCCCCATGCATCTGAGAACAAGGAGTATCTAATGACGAGTTACTAGCCAAACCTAGAGAAATTCAGATAGGGTTTTGGCTTTCATGACAACTAAAAGAAAGTGAGTGACTGAGTCTGGTTTAACGCCGCTTTTAACAGTATTCCAGTCATATCACGGCGTGTCAGCTTAATGTGGGAGGAAAGCCCGAAGTGATGCAGGTCTTAGACGTTTACCACTTTGGTGAAACCCACGAGCACGGGTATGGTGCTGACAAACCTAGAAACATAATCGGGGCGAACCGGGATTCGAACCCACAATCATAGGTTTCTGGCGTGCCTAAGGGTCGCAACTCTGCACAGCGAATCGCGGCGCCTTAGACGACTGGGCCACCCGTGCCCCCTACTAAAAGAAAGAAAAATGATATACCAGTATGAGTATGAAACATGGTGAGATATATATACATATACACATATACAATGATCTACATACATGTAGACATAAATATCATGTACACAGTTTAACCATGGTAATTTGGTTTCTGAGAACAAAAATTTAACTCTCCCGTACAACTTTCCCAAGTAGATCGAAGAATTTACTTGTGTTTCAGTTCAGTAAATGTTTGATTACCAATGAGTGTTGAAGAAGCCAAACTGAATTACTCAAGTTTTGCTTTTCGTACATTATCCAGTAGTTGAGTGGTTTAGTATTGAACATCAATCTTAAAAGCTGTCATGACATACTGCATACTAGAGAACACAGAAGATATAACATTGATTCCATTCAATACATCATAGAAAAATATGTGTTCAAAAAATAATCCAGAACGCACAAACTCATATCCGATCCTTTCCTCTTATATCCCTCTGAGAGGAAGTCTGATGATCCACAAAAGGTTGTATGTGGTGAACACTGAGTAAACTTTGACCTTCAAATCTAAATGAAGGAGGTATGGGTTCTGGGCCAATCAGATGTTGGCTTCTCCCCAACATTCATTACTTTTCCACCTAAAGGCCACACGTAATTTTATGTTTCATGTAATTATTCCCGCTTTTTAACACAGTCGGTCGAAATTGAAATAAAAATAAATAGCCTTGTCAATTATTTATTTATTTATTCATGTGAAAGTAGTTCTGCCGTGGAGTTAAAACTGCAGCTGGCTTCTTGAATCACCTGATAGTGATGCAGGCAAGGAATTTATGTATAACATTTTTTATAGTATAAGGGGCCCATATCACTGGCGGGTGACAATAAAAATAAATATTTTTGATATTTATTTCTTACACCGGCTGCTTTTCATTGAGGCAGGCTGTGAAAAAAAATAATAAAAAATTTGTAGCCTAATTGATAAATTTTGATTTTAGAAAGAAAACCCACATAACACAACTATTCCTTGGGTGTAGACGTCACAGGATGCATAAGATATCCACAAAAACATTTATGGCATGGCCTTTATTATTTACATTGGGAACGGCTTGTCTTACCTTTGTTATTGAGATACGGAAATCAGATATGCTGGGCTGAATGCTGTGCCCACATGTTTCAAGAATTTAGAATGGTTGGATGGATGGTTCGTTGTTTTACGCCGCACTCAGCAATATTCCAGCTATATGTTGGCGGTCTGTAAATAATCGAGTCTGGACCAGACAATCCGGTGATTGATATCATGAGCATCGATCCACGCAACTGAGATCGATAATGTGCATCAACCAAGTCAGCGAGCCTGACCACCCGATCCCGTTAGTCGCCTTTTACGACAAGCATAGTCGCCTTTTACGGCAAGCATGGGTTGCTGAAGACCTATTCTACCCCGGATCTTCAAGATTTTAGAAACTCAACAATGATTGGCTGTTTAGAAAGGTTGCTTAATGCCACCTAATGTGGACAGGTCATCAGATCTTCGTGCAGAGGGGCATCGTATCAGGGTAGATCTGATTAGAGGCTGCAGAACACATTACATCTAGTGACCAGATAACTTACCATCCTATGTACATCAAATCAACCGATCAACCGATCCCTTCATCACTCATCACTCATGCACTGAGGAATACTGCTCATTCTCACATTATTTACACAGCTGCCAAATATTATTTCAAAGGTACTGACATATTGTTAGTGTTATAAAGAGCATTCTCAAACTTCAGGGCCTGCTTGCACAAAGCGATCTTAGCGCTAAGATGATCGTAACTCCCATACTTTAACACAAGCTTACAATAGTTGTTGCGCTAAGATCGCTTTGTGCAAGTGGGCCCAGGAGTGAGACTAAAAAACACTTTAACAGTACCTTACAACTTGCAGTGAGTATAAAATAATAATAATAATATATTTCAGTTATAGCCCGGCTTGTAGCATATTTTGGGAGTTCTTTATCACTTTGAATGGTTTGCAATATCACAACAAGGGATAAAATAAATGGACTTCACATGTTGTACCCATGTGGTGATTCGAACCGGGCCTTTGAGTGGTGCGATGAGTGAGCGTTTCATCCACCACCCAACCCTACTGCCCCCATTAGTGTGGTGGTAGTAATGAGTGTGGTGATGGCATTATTGTTTGTTTGTTGTTTAACACCGCACTCAGCAATATTCCAGCTATATGACGGCGATCTGTAAATAATTGAGTCTGAACCAGACAACCCAGTGATAGACATCATGAACATCTATCTACGCAATTGGGATCGATGACATGCATCAACCAAGTCAGCAAGCCTGACCACCTGATCCTGTTAGTCGCCTCTTACGACAAGCATGGTCGCCTCTTACGACAAGCATGGTCGCCTCTTACGACAAGCATGAGTTGTTGAAGAGTAATTCTACCCCGTATCTCACGGCCGGATCATCACGGAGGGGAACACAAGAAATGGGCTTCACACATTGTACCCATGTCGGGAATCGAACCCGGGTCTTCAGCGTGACGAGGATTGCTTTAACCACTAGGCTACCCGACCACTCCCTGTAAGCGATGAAATATCGTGCTTAATTTTCCATAAGCAAACAGTCGACAGGGGATATGGATTACGATACAGCTAGAATATAGAGCCCGCGATAATATAGTCATACTATAGGTTGTACAGAATGGTAACAGTTCTTTCATTTCAGTACCCTTCACCCACACTCTGGCTGCAGTATGGGCAGGGTGCATGGGCAGGGTGCATGGGCAGGACACCAAGTCATGCACCTTCTTGAGACTCTGCCTTTTGAGATTGCTCAGGATTCGAAACTGCTGAAAATTGTAATTACCCAATATTTTGCAAGGCATTTCACAAGCAGGAACCTGAGAAGGCATTCATGGTAAAGGGCAGACCAGTGCAAAGCACATATTAAGCTGCACTGAATTTCACTCAACATTACATCTGTTGAGGTATAGTGAGTGAGTGTATGTTTTTACATTGTTTTTAGCAGGCCCTGGGGACTCAAGAAATGGGCTTCACACACTGTACCCATGTGCGGAATGGAACCCAGGTTTTGTGTGTGACAAGCGAAGGCTGTAACCAGTAGCTACCCCACCCGCGAGTGAAACAGCAGAAATAAAAACAATTTGCATTGACAAACATACCCTTGCACCACTCCACTTCCAGGAAACTACAAAAATAGGCTACTTTTAAGATGAGAAATGGTGAGAAGTTGCTAATTTCCTGGCTTACAAAATCACAAGGTGAGTCCAAGACTACCCTCATCATTATTTGTATATATCATGGTTCACACAGATATGGAACACTTAAATTCAAGGCCAAATCAAGGCTTTAAAGTTCTATTTTCAAGGCTTTTTTAGTTGGGTTATTAGCCTCACTCTGTCAATGTTTTTTAAATCCAGCATACTGTATCATGCTGTATATTAGTCATAAGACCATACCATACATTATTAATAAGACCTAAAAAGCAGTCTGAACAAATTTTCCAACAAGATTGATTTTCACAACCAACAAATAAAATATATAAAGTCTGTCATCAATTCTTCAAGGTGTTTGGCAAAGTGTTAAATCTATCACTGTGATAAATCACATTGAAACATCCTTGGTATATAACTTTTATTTTTGTGTGTTTTAATATTTCTATTAACAAGTTTATGTCATTTTTATTGAAGGATTTTTAAGATATTTTGATAATTTTCAAGCCTATTTAAGGTTGACAATAAAAATCAAGGCTTTTCAAGAGGGACGTTGATATTCAAGGCTTTTCAAGAGGGGCGTTAATATTCAAGGCTTTTCAAGAGGGGCGTTAATATTCAAGGCTTTTCAAGAGGGGCGTTAATATTCAAGGCTTTTCAAGAGGGACGTTAATATTCAAGGCTTTTCAAGAGGGACGTTAATTTTCAAGGCTTTTCAAGAGGGACGTTAATATTCAAGGCTTTTCAAGAGGGGCGTTAATATTCAAGGCTTTTCAAGAGGGGCGTTAATATTCAAGGCTTTTCAAGAGGGACGTTAATATTCAAGGCTTTTCAAGAGGGACGTTAATATTCAAGGCTTTTCAAGAGGGGCGTTAATATTCAAGGCTTTTCAAGAGGGACGTTAATATTCAAGGCTTTTCAAGAGGGACGTTAATATTCATGGCTTTTCAAGAGGGACGTTAATATTCAAGGCTTTTTCACACCTGTATGAACCTTGATAATGTACATGGTTAAATATTTAACCAGATCATAATTTAACAATGGTAAAATTCATTAAAGATGACATTCTTCATTGAAACATTACATTAAAACACCATAATCGAAATTCCAAGATCAATACCAGTAACTATGGTAACAGTACATACTTCAACACACTTTACAGACTTTTTTTCTCAATCAATAACCCAAAATTTGGATTTTCAAGAAGGAAAATAAATCTATCACCTTATACCTAGGACAGCGTCAACATTATCTCATCTTTTCACATTGAGGTTAACAAAAATCAACAGGGAATTATGTAAAACAATTCAACTTGAAGTGAGTTGGGTTTAACGCCGCTTTGAACAGTATTCCAGTTAAATCACAGCGTCTCAGCTTGATGTGGGAGGAAAGCTGAAAGTGATGCAGGTCTTAGACGTTTTCCACTTTGGTGAAACCCACGAGTACGGGTAGAGTGCTGACAAACCTAGAAACATAATCGGGGCAAGCCAGGATTCAAATCTTGGATCACTGGTTTCATACGCTGAACGGCCAATGTAAATAATCAAGTCTGGATCAAGACATCATGAGCTCAAGCAATTGGGATATCATGACATGCAATCAACCAAGGGAGCAAACCTGACCACCCGATCATTTAGTCTTATGATGAGCATAGGTTGGTGGGAATCCCCACATGTGTTCTTCCCTCAGAGAGAGTGAGTGAGTGAGTTGGGTTTAACGCCGCTTTTAACAGTATTCCAGTTATATCACGGCATGTCAGCTTAATGTGTGAGGAAAGCCCGAAGTGATGCAGGTCTAAGACGTTTACCTCTTCGATGAAACCCACGAGCACGGGTATGGTGCTGACAAACCTAGAAACATAATCGGGGCGAACCGGGATTCGAACCCACAATCATAGGTTTCTGGCGTGCCCAAGGGACGCAACTCTGCACAGCGAATCGCGGCGCCTTAGACGACTGGGCCACCCGTGCCCCCCTCTTCCCTCAGAAGGATACCAGGTCCATACAGATCTTGGAGACATTAAAGCATTTCATCTTCCCTATCATGCATTGACTGCAATGAAAGAAACAATCGTTTGACATCATTCTTTCTGTTTCTTTTCTTAGAATATATAAACTTAGCTATATAACCATGTCTGACCCACTAGTGTGGTTCTAGCATCTGTAACATTGCACTGAAAGAACAAAACACCACATTGAATATGTTGAAAGAATAAAGAAGTTAAAATTCATGTCAACTTGTCTTCATTATAACTGCTTCTGCATGCCACCTAAAGATAGTGCTCTTTTCTAGGATAACCAGAAAAGACATAAATAATAATTCTGAGTTGCAATAGACATCTTTACTTATCGGTATCAACATGTTTTCTCGTCATAGCGCCAAAAATGTTTTGTTTGAAGCATGAACATCTTTAAATGGGAAATATCTGACCATACTCAACATGCTCAAAACAGACTGTGCCAAAAACATCTGAAGCTACTAGCCACAATTTGGCTCTCAGAAGTATTTTTTTATATTTGTTAATGAATGGACTAAGACTAAAAAGAATAATAGTTTTGGTTCTCAGGCACCGCCCACATCATCATCAAGTTTCAGTTCATTTTTATGTCAATTTTGTAAAAAAATCTGAAAGTATTCTGCGTCTCATACACAAAACCCTGGCAGTGAAATGCTACAATACTTAACAACATGATTTCGCTATACTATTGTAAACACAATTTGGTTACATACTAGCTTGAACAACCCAATATATTTTCAAAAGCTACAAAAGCATTGCCTGAGAACCAATTCTTTTATTTTTTTAAGCCTAATATATCTAACCTTGACTGATATTTCCCAAGTCTCAGGTTTCGGACAAGTGGCTGAAGGCCCCCCATGTCATCCATATCTTATCTTTCTTCATACTGTACAGGGATTCTCATATCCTTTATTGTTTCATAAAGGAAGCACCAGGAGAAAATGTATTGAAACCTCTTGCGACTTCAATACATCTCTCGTCAAAGCATGCAATAAATGAACACATAAAATAGTTCTATTAGATGTAAAATCAAACATGGAGGCACAGTTTGAGTCCATCTGCTGTACACGGTACAGGAGACGTGTGATCACAGACCTTGAGAACGGCTACTCCATTCCAAATCTAAAACACAATTGCACTGTTCAGTCATAAAACATGAAGAGGAAGACCCACATCCAGCAGTAAATCTGTAAGCTGCACTGTGATTGGATGATCATAGCTGCATTGCGATTGGCTGGCTCTATCTGCAGGGCTGTTAGCCTCCACTCATTCATTATGGCACATGACGGATAGAGTAAGAAAAGCAGATGCTGAAATGATGAAAACGGAAAGAGTTACTTAATGCAGGATTCCAAAGCGCCTTTGGGAAGCAAATTTCAAGCGAAAATCATGTATGGTGTTATGGTTAAATGGGGTATATTTTAAATTTTAAATTTTTTTTATTATCTATTTTGTTGCATTTCATACTGTTTTCACAGAAAATGGGGTTTATTGTCCCATTCAAGATTACTGCACTTATTAAGGCTGGGACGATACACCAACTGTGCGATACGTATCACGATACCTTGCTCACGATCCGATACGTATCACGATACCTTGCTCACGATCCGATACGTATCACGATACTTGCATGTGCAATTTTCTGTGGTGCGTGAGCCATGTTTTTCATAGACAGGATGGCCAAATACCTCGCACACTAACGATTTACAGAAAATATTTATGTTTTCACTACTCATTTTCACCAGTAATTAGTGTGTGGTGTAACATTCCATGAAATCTGCTCCTCAAGTTCTTGAATCTGGGGACCTCATAAATCTTTGAAAATAACAAGGACCTCTTGACTTTCAGGCTTCATTTCGAACACTGCTTCAAGGTACAATGACCCATGGCCAAACAAATCCTCAATTCAATAATCCTTTGTCTCCTCTTAAGTGAGTGAGTGAGTGAGTTGGGTTTTAAGCCGCTTTTAACAGTATTCCAGTTATATCGCGGCGTGTCAGCTTAATGTGGGAGGAAAGCCCGAAGTGATGCAGGTCTTAGACGTTTACTCCTCTTAAGTGAGTGAGTGAGCTGCTTTGAACAGTATTCCAGTATTATTTCACAGGGTGTCAGCTTAATATGGGAGGAAAGCTCAAAGTGACACAGGTCTCACACCACAGAATTTTAACCCACAGTCATAGGTTTCTGGCATGCCCAAGGGAAGCAACTCTGCACAGCAAACTGGGCTACCCATGACCCCTAGTTGCCTCTTATTCTTAAGACAAGCAACAGGCCATGCTAAAATCTGAGAACTGACCAGGGTCCTGATGGGGTAAATCCATAGGCAAGTAAGTGTTGTAGAAAACGTGTTCACAAGCCACTGAAAGATTACTCACCATAAATAAGATTCTACTTGCTCCTATTCTTGCCTCTTCCTTTCCCTTTGGAAGTGGTCCTCTCTGTGAGCTGTGGGTAGGACACAGCCCGGGTGGGTATCAAGGGGGCTTCAATTCTAAATGTCTTGCAGATGTCCTGGAAGGAGTGAGACACTTTGGAGGTGAGGTGAGGTGAGGTGAGGTGAGGTGAGGTGAGGTGAAGTGGGGTTCAGTGGGTGAGTATGTTTCAGCCACTTTTAGCGATACCGTATTCGACATAATAAGCGCCCATGGCGCTCTCAAAATTAGAATGAGGGGGCTCTTATTAGAATATTATTTTGGTGAAAAACAACAGAGTTGAAAGATCGTAAATTTTGTGGTTTATGCTGACAGCCTGAAATGTTTATATACGACAGATATATTTTTCCAGAACTTAATTGCCATAATTAAGGGTGCATATAACAAACATATTATGCACGAATAAATAAGTGTTGTGTACATCGATCAATCGGAAGGGGTGCCAATTAGGATTGTTCACTAGCCATTATATTAGCAAATATCGCCGTGGGCGCTTATTACAGCGTGGCGCTTATTACGTCGAATACGATATTCCGGTAATATCACGGCAGGGACACCAGAAATTGGCTTCACACAATGTAGCCATGTGGGGAATTTAACCCAGATCTTTGGCGTGACAAGCTGACGCTCTAACCGTTAGGCTCCCCCAACGACCCGATGCGGGGTTTAACGTCGTGTTCAAGATTATTGCACTTATATGGTGAAGTGCATTCAGGTGCGTGTGTGCGCAGCGAGCGTGTGGCTGCTTGTATTTGTCTGGACTAATGCTGATTTTATAGTGCTATCCAAATGGAGGTACCATGCCGCAGTTTAACATGAATTCCCTTTTCAGATACAGTAAACAGACTCCGAGCCCAGTTCTTGTTTTAGCCCCTAAAGCCGAGTGCCAGACAGGGTAACAACAAGTACCATCTTTTAACATCTTTTGGTATGACATGGCTGGAGATCGAACCCCGGTCCTCCGCCCGAGAGTGAATGAGTGTGTGAGCTGGGTTTGACAGTGTATCATCTTATATCTGCTGAAAGCCCTCAATGTTGTCCTGGGGTTAGTAGAGGGGCTCACTCAAATATTGATTTGTTTGTTTGCACTCAGCAATATTCCGGCTATATGACGGCAGTCCGTAAATAATCGTGTCTGGAGCATCGATCCACACAATTAGGACAGATAATATGCATCAACCAATCCCGTTAGTCACCTCTTACGACAAGCATAGTCGCCTTTTAGGGCAAGCATGAGTTGCTGAAGGCCTATTCTACCCCGGATCTTCACGGGTCCCAAATATTGATGAATCAAAACTTATCAACACTTTATTTGTATTCAGTATTTATAATCATTGCTAGAGAAAGGCAGGGAATCAGAGTTTTGAATCGATTTTAATAAGACTGACTGTGGTGGTGGTCAGTGTGTAGAACGTACCCTGAAGTTCTGTGGTGTCATGGATATGACTACCTGCTGTCTCCTGGGGCTCGCCCCGGACTGGACATCACCTTCTCCCACGGGCTCTGCCAACACAATGTACACCAGACTGAGACGAGGTGAAATGGGGTTTAACTTATATGGTGCTGCTGCTTGAACTAGCTTGGACGCGTTAGGCTGGTATATAGTGCTAGACCAGAGAGATACAATGCAGCAGTTTGACATTGATACAGACAGGGTAACAAGAAGTACCATCTTTTAACGTCTTTTGGTACGACGCGGCCGGGGATCGAAACCTGGACATTCCACTCTCCGGGCGGACGCTCTACCACTAGACCACGGAGGTGGTCCTGCGCTGTGAGGCCCATGACTTAACCCTAAAAGAAGTGACAGTCTCCTCTACCCATTCAGGGTTCGACTTAAGGAACCAAGTTGCACCAAACCAAACCATATTGCACTCATAAATTTATCAAAGTTGAAACAAAGGACGGTCTGCTGCTAGTTTCACATACACCAATGACGCCTAAGAAAGCATGACAAATTACACGTAACAGGTATTAGTGATGTTGTATGGTAAATAAACTGTACAGGTATTGAGTGTGTTCAAAGATTGTATGGATAAGGTTTGTGAGGATAAGTAAGGGGTAGTCTACTTTGTGCATGTAGACATAAATATATGGTTGCATTTTTCAGTAACAGGTTGCATTTTTCAGTAACAGGTTGCACTTGTGCATGTTTTATATAGCTTGATTGAGCCCTGGCATTATACTGACTGTTATAACCCTAATGCTGAGCGCCAACAAGTACCATATTTTAAGATTGAACCTGGCAGAAACTAAACACACAGGTTACTGTTAGGGGTGAAACAATACAGCAAGGTAACGATACAATACGTATCATGATACAAAATGCTGGGGTGGGGATCACTAAATGAGTAGTAAGTAATTTATTTTAACAAGTATATCGTCTTCTAAAGATACAGAGAAACGTATCATGTATTGTATCGTCACATGAAAACTCACGATGCACTCTATTTACTGTTATGATGCTCTTATCTATAATATTTTCAAGTAATACAAAACTGTAACCGTTTTCTTTGAAGGCTGCTGCAGATGGAACAGGTTTCTGAGTGATAAATATTATTTTACAACTAAAACCAAACAAAACTCAAAATTTCAAATTCTATCTATCAATTTTGGTGTGGTTAAATGTCTCTGTTTTGATTTTTCACCGCGAATCCAGTCACTCAAACAACCCTTTGTTTAGTATTCAATAACTCAAGTTTTACTCTCTTGTTAAATTTAGCAATATTTGACATCCCATGATAAGTGTTTCCAATTTGCAAATAGCACTTGTGACAAATTTGAGAGTGATACGAGATTGTGGAGCGTCCTCTTCTTCATACGTGTAACAAACAAGTATATGTTCATAAATCATACTCACGTATCACAGGCAGTTTATCATCATCAAGATAGATTTCAGCGTAGCCATCCTGTGTGAAGACAAGATGTCATTACTAAAGACAAATACTAAAGATAATAAGATGCTAAAATTTGAAGAATGAGCACTATGAGATGATGGGGGCTTCCAAGAATGAGTGAGTGAGTTTGGTTTAACACCGTTTTTAACAGTATTCCAGTTATATCACGGCGTGTCAGCTTAATGTGGGAGGAAAGCCCGAAGTGATGCAGGTCTAAGACGTTTACCACTTCAGTGAAACCCACGAGCACGGGTATGGTGCTGACAAACCTAGAAACATAATTGGGGCGAACCAGGATTCGAACCCACAATCATAGGTTTCTGGCGTGTCCAGGGGACGCAACTCTGCACAGCGAATCGCGGCGCCTTAGACAACTGGGCCACCCGTGCCCCCACTTCCAAGAATGAATATGTATGATGTAAAATTAATACCACAGAAAATGTACAGTATTTCACATCTTCCTGAAGCAAGGGAGTTAACCGACTATAAAAGTCCAGTTTCCACCCTTGCAAAACTAGGCTGGCATAATGGAGTTATATGTTGGCTTGACTAACAAGGCTATGCATAGTCCAATCAAAATTGCGGAACGAAATCGACAACCTGCTAAGTGCTGTGCAGATTTTGGTCAATCACAGGATTTGGAAAGCACGTGTACAGACAACATAGCCGCAACTTATATTTTCCAAATCTTGTCATGTTTTTTAATCAAGGTGCTCACGTGATTTGAAGCACTTCGCGATGTAAGACCCATTTTATTACAATATAGATTTTGATTATCGATCAGATTGTCATCACTGGGTGACAACATTTTATTTGAAGCAAATGCAAGCTATGTGAGAGGTGGAATCTGATTGGTCAGTAGGAGGGACATAGAAGGGACATAACTCTTAATAGCCACAGGTTGTGCTATCATTGAGCCCAGAATGACCAGCCAAGTTTGGCAAGGTGGGAAAGTGGACTTTTACAGAGTTAACTCCCTTGCCTCAGGAAGATGAGTATTTCAGTTCCACTGGGAAAATTTACCTTGGATAGGAAACTTCAGACCTTGTTGTCTCATTGAAATAAGTATGATCACAACATAACTCAGCCTTATCATAACCTTACAGTTATAGCAGGTAAAATGTCCTTTCTTTACAAAACTTGAAATGTACAGCTTGTATCCAGTGTAGTGTAGTCTTCCCAGGCTGAATACAAAGGCGTTTCTTGTCCTTGTTTTGTCCTCAAACCAACTGACTTGAGAGTATATTGCATTACAAACCCTACTCTCACCAATCTCATTGGAGCAAATGCAACAAAATAAACAAACAAAGGCCGTAACTCAAAAATATTAATTTTGATAACCTATTTCATCACTCAATCAGAACTCTGGATAAGCGTCATATTTTGCAACAAAAAACATAAATATGCTATTAACATAAAACATATGCATATATTACAACTATTAGAGAAAACAATTGCGTATATTACAACTGTTAGACTTTTATATCAGCCGTTCGTGAAATTCACTTACAGACAGTAATATTTGGAAAAAACTTTTGTCACAAACAAACTCGAGTGCCGAGAGATTTCAAATGAAAAGCACATTGTGCATAGTCAACAGTTGCTGATTGGTGATTAAAAATATAGCGCCTTTCTTACAACATGTACAATGCTAAGTTTTGCAAACAAAAATGGCTTCCCGGAGAGGGAGCTGCAAGCAGACGCAGATGGGTATGCACTATTCAGTTAGTGTTAAATGATTTACAGTGATTATTACAAAACAGGTTTTCAAGTTAAAATACCAAAATATCAAGTAACAGATGAACACCCTCTAAAAATTGTGGATAACCAATCACAATCAAACTGATCATGAGCTGTGCTCAACGATGCCTTCAAAATGTCATGCATAGTTGTTTCAGAGAAATTGGCAGTACTGGGAGCCATGTTCAAAAGACCAAAACAAGGGCGATAACTCTGTGAAACATGAATTCTGCTGATGGTCTAAAAACACAATCTGCTAATGTCAGCACAAAATCATCCTTGTATCCCAATTAAGGGTACACTGCACCATGTTCAAAATATCGACGTAATAAGCGCCCCGCTCTAATAAGCGCCCACGGCGATAATCCCTAGCATATTGGCTAGTGAACAATTCCAATTAGCACCCCTTCCGATTGATCAATGTACACAAGACTTATTTATTCTCGTATAATACGCACTGTGTTATATGCACCCTTAATTAATGGGATTTAAATTCTGGAATAATATATCTGTCGTATATAAACATTTCAGGCTGTCAGCATAAACCACGAAATTTATCTTTCAACTCTGTTTCTTCCACCTAAATCATATTCTAATAAGAGACCCCTATTTCTAATTTTGAGAGCGCCCTGGGCGCTAATTACGTCGAATATGGTATTAAATATTAATATCGACAGCAGTTCCTGGGAAAGTTCCCATAATTCCACATCAAAAAGATCAAACAAGGGTCATAACTCTGGCAAACATACATCTTCGCAGATGGTGTTCAAACTGGATCAATGTACTTATCTCGTTCCCGGGGATAACAGAAACTACTCACTCGGACTAGGAAGGAGGTGTAGAACATATTTTCCACTGTTTGACCAAACGACTCTGGGTTGATAACAAACTCAAAGTAACAGAGTGGGTTATCTGTAAAAGTAAACATTACAGGATAAATACAAGTGGCAACACATTCAGACCAGGAGTGACTCACATACTGATCACCAATCGGACATCCTGATACATGTACAACATAATAACTAGAATGTGTTTTTATGAGCAACAACCAGATGTTTCCCCTCTCCAGGAGTTTAGATGACAGATTGTTTTGTGCAAGTAGATGCACCCATAATGAATAATCAGTAGCGAAAGTCTTTGTTTCCTTGGAAACCCAAAGGGGCATCAGAAGATGAGAAATCCCCCCAGCCCCCACAATAGCAAAAGGAATCACTTCATCCCTTGTTTAATACATGTACAAAGTTTGGATGAACACTCTTTCATGGATTTCAAGTTATGCTCCAGAAACGAAAAAAGGATGGACGAAAAGACAGATAGACAGACCTGATGATGGGGTGGGGGTCGGGTGGGGGCCGGGTGGGGGGCCGGGTGGGGGGGAGGGGGAGGGGGAGGGGGAGGGGGATGTGTTACAAGAAGAAATAAAAAACTTAAAAATATGAAAAGACAATAGTAGTCATTGCACATGTATACATGCAAAAATATTTATGTAAAAAGTTGTATTTATTCGGAGTTGCTGACTGCTGTAATTGTTACATCACACACTCACTATTTTGTAAGGCGTATTTCTCTATCAATAAATTGTGGATTTTCTCCACCTCTGCTGTAGTTGCTTCGTTCTTGTCAGTATCACTGAAGTCTTGTAACTGAAAAGATGCACGATAGCAATGCAAGTTTATCGTTCGATATTACTGTGTACATTATACCAAGGCTCCAGGGCCCACTTGCACAAGGTGATCTTAACGCTATGACTATTGTAAGCCTATGTTATAGTATGGGAGTTATGATCATCTTAGCGCTAAGATTGCTTTGTGCAAGTGGCCCCTGGTAATCATTGAGTAGATACTCACACGTTATCATTCTCTTTGGGTACTTATATTTTTTGGGGGGTAATAGATACAGTTTTACTCTCCTTGGCCCAGTCTATTTGCTATTTATACACCAACAAGTTGACATTATTTTAAAATAATTTGTCCAAATTGTGAAAGTTCGGGGCCCCGTTCCACAAAGCAATCCTAGCACTAAGACGATCTTAACTCCCATACTTCAACACAGACCTATGTCGGTCTTAGCACTAAGACGATCTTAACTCCCATACTTCAACACAGACCTATGTCGGTCTTAGCACTAAGACGATCTTAACTCCCATACTTCAACACAGACCTATGGCGGTCTTAGCACTAAGACGATCTTAACTCCCATACTTCAACACAGACCTATGGCGGTCTTAGCACTAAGACGATCTTAACTCCCATACTTCAACACAGACCTATGGCGGTTTTAGCTCTATGATCACTTTGTGAAACGGGATCCTGGTAGCAAGTTGCATAATCTCAACAGTGATATACATGGCTGCATTTGATCAGCAAATAAAGATCGGTCTAGAAACACAGGTATGTAAGTTCAGGGTTCACTCTAGGAATTTTCTGACTGACATGGGCCCTTTATGTGGTAATTTCAAATATTCCAGAGGTACACCCACACTTGCCTATACAGCACCATGTTAAAATGCCTCATTGTATTTGAAAATGCAGGCCTTTTTTTCAAATTTAGGAGCTAAAAGCACAAGGCCTCACCCTAGAATTAGAGTGATAAAATGATATGCATGTTTATATGCAAGTAACTCAAAATGAATTGGGTAATACGATGTAGTGATATATGTTTAAGAGCATTTAGATAATCCAGTGATTGACATTATGAGCACTGATCTACGCAAATGGGATACAATGACATGCATCAACCAAGGCAGTGAGCCTGACCACCCCATCCCATTAGTCTCCTCTTACAACATGCACAGTCACCTCATATGACAAGCATGGGTGGCTGAAGATCTATTCTAACCTGGATCTCCACGGGTCTGGTGGAGAGTTGGCATAACGACATCCCAGCATTCTGACTGGGGTATGCAGGATATTTGTAGGGGAGGTGAAATGGGGTTGAACATCGCGTTCAAGATTATTGCACTTATATAGCGACGTGCATGCACGTGTGTGTGGCTGCTTGTACTAGTCAAGACTGGTGCCGATTTATAGTGCTAGCCCACTGAGATACCGTGCCGCAGTTTAACATGAAAACCCCACTCAGACACAGTATACTGACTCCGAGCTGACCAGTACTTGTTTTCTCCCCTAATACCCAGCACGAGACAGGGTAACAAGTACCATCTCTTAACGTCTTTTGGTATGACGCAGCTGGGGACTGAACCCCAAACCTTCCGCTCTCTGGGCTCTAACACTAGACCACGGAGGCGGTGTGCAGGATATTTGTAACCAAATGGAATTGCACGGAGTATAGTTATGAAAAAAAAAAGAAGAGATGCACCTTACCTGTCTAGGTACTGTTGGCTGACCAACGATATCGTCTTTTTCTCTAACCTTTCTTCGACCATCTTTAGTTTTAGGGAGGATCTCCCCTGGTTCAAATGAACCATGCCTATGAATGGAACAAACATGTTCAAATGAGGAGATAAACCTACTGTGTTTTGAAATATGATGTTATCTCACTGCAGAGTAGATACCTCTTATTTTAATTTGGAACTGAGCGCTTCAGCAGTCAGCGTTGCGGCCTAGAATGCCCAAAACATCCGATATCAAACAACTGTATTTCCTCTATTAGCCGCTAGGCCGTCTATTAATTCGCGAGAGCCCTTGACTCGGCGTGTATTTGAGACCTGGCTTGTATTTGAGACCCAGCGTGTAATAGAGGAAATATATAGATGTTTTATATGGGGTCGATCGATGGGCAGACATTTTTTTTTAATGAATCTATATGTAGGCTATGGATGTATTCATACGCACGTTTTTTGTGTGAAAAGGCTTAATATATTCGAAAGGTGTTTCCGTAGCAAAAAGGAAACCTCTTTTTAACCGATCAGAATCAAGCATTCATCAATGTCATGGCAGAATTATATCATTATCTGTTTTACAAGTCAGTCCTAGGACCCTCCAGGTTTGTGGTTGTAGTGTCATAATACAGGAAGAACATAAATTTGAAAAGGAAGCCTGACTTTCTTGGCTAATGTTAATATTATTGTAACCATGGTCACTTGGAGAAGAGGACTAGTAATAAGTAACGGTCAGAAATGCGAGAATTTTTTTTTTTTCTGGCTTCATTTAAAAAATACAAATCATAGGGCTATGAAAAGTGCATATTGTTTGTTTGTTGTTTAACGCCGCACTCAGCAATATTCCAGCCACAAAACAATGGTCTGTAAATAATTGAGTCTGGACCAGACAATTCAGTGAATGGTGAGCATCGATTCGCAGAAATAGGATACAATGACATGCATCAACCAAGTCAGCGAGCCTGACGACCCAGTCCCTTTAGTCGCCTCTTACGTCAAGCATGGGTTTCTGAAGACCAATTCGAACCTGGAGCTCAACGGGTATTTTACAAAATAAACAAGGGAAAAGACCAATGTGCCGATTCAAGCATCTGGTTGTGAAGATCAACAAATTGAGCTTATGACAGTTAGTTCCAAGAAAAGCTGATGTCTTTGCCTTATTTTTTCAAATAAACCCAATTGACTCCTCTTTGTTGAGAAATGACCTTGCTTTTGGCGAACTGACCATGCTGACAGGCCTAGGGCCTTTCACTTCCCACAAGTAGACTGATCACTGGAGGATTACCAGGAGAAATAGCAGTACCTACATAAAGTGGAAAGGTGGAACTCTCTTAAAGCAGGGTTGGACTGCCTGTCCGAGTCGGTCCCAGCCATTGTGGGAGATCCTCTGTCCGTCCTGCAGCTGCTGACCACTCACGAAGGTTATCTGAATAACAGAAGCATGCTCGGCACTCTTGACCAGCAGTGGGACCAGGCATGTAACAGCAAACCAGTAGACGTCTACATGGACTAAGTGATGTTTTAATGTCTTGCTAGGTATGAAGAAAACATTGTCAAGAGACACCTTAATTCATACTTTAAACATGTCACACAGATCTTTTACATAAGCTCTTGAAAAAAGTTATTTTGACCAAAAAATGAAGAAAGAAAATAGAAGGAATTAGAAAATATCCTAACTTCTTTAAATTGAAAGGTACTTATCTTTTCGTGAAAAGCAATAAAGTTTACCTAAGTATGAAAGTCTGTATTTCTCTATTAACCATCTTATCACGGTTATCAGTGAAATACAAGTTTGAATTGAACTGCTGACAGTTTGATTTTAAGTCCTGCTCCTGCTCAGCTGTATTTTATTACTAAATATGAATGGGCCTGCAAACTACAAGGACCAACCACCCATAGTTTAGAATGAGAATCTGTTCTTGTTGTGACATTATTGTAGTTCCAGTACTTCCACCTACATTCTTCCAGCAAGTGTTAATAACAGGACAATAGCCAACTTACCAACTTCTCCGCAAACTCGGTGGCCTGGAACTTGACGAACTCGGTGGTGAGTGCCTGGGCTTTTAACCTGCCAATGTTGGCGATCATGACCAGGACGCTGGAATCCAGGGCAGCCTCCCGGGCCTTCTTAACTGAAGCATATGACACTCATGACTATGGGGGACTTTGGGGCTTGTTGTTTGTTTCTTGTTTAACCTCACCCTCAGATAAATTCCAGCTATATGACGGCGGACTGTAAATAATAGAGTCTGGACCAGGCAATTCAGTGATTGACATCATGAGCATCGATCTACGCAATTTGGATACAATGATATGCATCAACCAAGTCAGTTAGCCTGACCATCCGAAAGTTTCCACCCATGCTGAACTAGGTTGGTATTATGGAGTTATATTATGGCTGGACTAACGAGTCTAGACATAGTCCAATCTGAATCGCGTAACAAAATCGAAATCTGGTTCGTAAACGTCATGAAGATTTCGGTTGATTGCAATATTTGCGAAGCATGTGCACCGCCAACTCAGCGTCAACAGATATTTTCCAAATTGTTTGATGTTTTTAATCAAGGTGCTCATGTGATTTGATGCACTTCGCGAGGTAAGACCCGTTTTATCACAATCTTCATCATTGATCATTGATCAGATTATCTTGACTGGGCACCATCATGTTGTTTGAAGCAAATACAAGTGGTACAAGAGGTGGAATCTGATTGGTCAATCAAGGAGAGGCATGGGAGATACACAACTCAAAATACTATCGAGCCCAGAAATTCCAGCCTATTTCGGTACGGGTGGAAACTGGACTTTTATAGTCAGTTAACTCCCTTGCATTGGGAAGATGTCAAGTGACATTTTGTCAATGTAACCACCTGATGCCGAACAAGCATGGCAGCGTAGAAATGAAGGGTGGCTTTACAGTAGATGAATCTCAGGGTCCACTAGCCTATAACCTTCAACATTGTGCCCCTAAATCATGGGTGCAAATATCCTAAGGTCTGCAGTCTATGCCAAACACTACTATCCTGAATATGGCTCTAAGCATCATTTTCAGTAAAGTTTAGTGTCATATATAGGGACTATTTCTAGCTGAGCTTACTCGACCAAATAGAAAGTTACTAGGCTCAGTTGCAGTCTAGTTGTCCATTGTCATTATTATGGCATTTTCGTGAGATACTTTCAGCCTGTAATACTTGTTGATACCCTTTCAGAAACATACTTACTTTTTTTACATGGAATGTCTACAATGATCAATGTCAGTCCATAATCCTGCATCAAAGCAAGGGAAGTAACTCACCAGGCTTGTAGAGTTCATCAGCCTCTTTGAGCTTGTTGTTGAGCGAGTCTGACGAGGGGTCTGCCAGCTCCTCCTTATTGACTGGAAATATGAGATGGTCCGTTAGGCATTTGTGATTTAATTACCTGGGCATATGTTATTCAGGTACGGGAGTTCCGATCATCTTAGCGCTAAGATCACTTTGTACAAGTGAGTGAGTTTGGTTTTACGCCGCTTTTAGCAATATTCCAGCAATATCACGGCAGGGGACACCAGAAATGGGCTTCACACAGTGTACCCATGTCGGGCTTCGAACCCGGGTCTTCGGCGTGACGAGCGAACGCTTTGACCATTAGGCTACCCGACCGCCCCCACTTTGTACAAGGGCACCCTAGTTATAGATCTATCAAGGCTTAATTTCATACATGGAACAAAATGAAAACAATGGCCGTTACTTATTATTCCTGACAAGTCTACTAATATTTCGCCCGCCACACCCCCCAAATAAATAGCAGCCAAATGACCATTTTATAGGTCCATAATGAAAACAGTACAACAGAGAGTTTGTTGTTTGTTGTCTAATGCTGCACTTAGCAATATTCCAGCTATATGACGGCGGTCTGCAAATAATTGAGTTTGCATCAGACAAGCCAGTGATTGACATCATGAGCATCGATCCAGGCAATTGGGACACAATGACATTCATCAACCAGGTCAGTGAGTCTGATGACCCGATCCCGTAAGTCGCCTTTCATGACAAACATTGTCTCCTTTTACAGCAAGCATGGGTTGCTGAAGACCTATTCTCTACCCAGATCTTCTCAGGTCAGAGAGAGTATGTCTGTCATAAGTGTTATGATTACTTACTGATTCTGGAATTGATTGCTAAAAATAGTTGTAAAACTGGTCATGTACTTTCTTTTGTTTCATTCTGCAAACTAATATATATTTAGCATGTTCTGTTTTGTCTCATAAGGATCCTTGGGGTGATATGATATGTATCAGTACATCACGAGTGAGTGAGTGAGTTTGGTTTTACGCCGCTTTAAGCAATATTCCAGCAATATCACGGCGGGGGACACCAGAAATGGGCTTCACACATTGTACCCATGTCGGGAATCGAACCCGGGTCTTCGGCGTGACGAGCGAACGCTTTAACCACTAGGCTACCCGACCGCCCCAGTACATCACGAGAATCATGTGACAACATTTTTAACTATATCGATACAAGACGATCACTTGCTACTTACTACTCATTTAACGCCCCCCCCCCCCCGAGTCAAATATTGAAACATGTGTTGTAATCATCCTTTCAATCTCACTACTAGAAACACCCGCTACAAACTTATCAACAGCTAGCTTTTCCTTTCGAACATGCTCTGAAATATTTACATATAAGAAGTTTCAAGCGATTTGTAAATATGTGTATCATGATACATTTCCTATCTTGACCTTCTAGTATCGTTTCTCTCTAAATGATACACAAGTCTAAACTACAATAAGCGAGATGCAGGAGAATTCATGACTTTGTCGTGCCTGCATTCCATTGGCAAATAAAGATCAGTAAAAACATACTGTTAAACAAAAAGGATAATTGTGTTGTTATACTACTGGGTTTTGAATTTCTTCATGCGTACTTGTACGCTAGAAGCTCAACCTTAATTACATTATAGTGTTTCATTTTGCATATCTGCATACAGAGAGCAGAGTGAGTGAGGGAGTATGGTTTTTATACCGCTTATAGCAATATTCTAGCAAATATGTCCACTGCTGGGGGACATCAGAAATGGGCTTCACACATTATACCCATGTCGGGAATCGAAACCCGGGTCTTCGGCATAACAAGCGAAAGCTTTAACCACTAGGCTACCCAAACAGCAGGGAGAAGCCAGTCTAGAAGCTTTTGATGCAGACAGCCTTGTCCGTAGCTGACCCAGCACTTGCAAGAAAATCTAACCCCAAGACCTGGGCCGTAATAGAGACAGATTCTTTACAGGGTAAGAAGGGGAATTATCAACAAGATCTAGGACAGGGACCCGCAAAACTGACACATCACAGCTATTCGGGGATGCAAACTGGCAGAAGCCCAAGTTTGTATAAAGTTACCATGTTACCATGAGGGCTAGCAGGATGTTGGGGGTGTCCTTATGTTACTGTCAAAGAGTATCTCTTTTTGTAGTGAAAATGTTCTTTGTTCTATTTTCTCTGGGGGAATTATTCCCATGGAAGGTTTTACAAGGCAAGTCTTTCCAATACCAGGGATTTTATTTCCCCACATTTCCCTTAGTGTTTTAGGTTTGGCATAAATTTCCTAGGGAAAATGTTAATACTTATCTAACCCTAACCTTGATATATAAATGTAACCTTTAATATGGGACTTAAATATGCAAGCTGATTTCTTTGAGTCACAAAAAATTTGTTCCACATGCACATGATGCAAGTACTCGATTTCACTGGGCGAGATATATTTACACTGGTAATATTTGTTCCGGATGGAACTAATTCCATTTGGGAGTGATCCTCCTTGGCATTATCACAACTTGTCCTTGTAAATAGGGCTGGGATGGGGAACTCAGGTAGCTGGGTCGGGTTGGTACTGAGTAGGATCCGGGCACCCACCGGACTACCCGGATTTATGGTTATTCACGTGATATATTGTTTAATGACAAAAATTATCTAGAACTCTGTGGTTACACTACAAGTCACTAATGTTCCCATTTCTTTCTGACTATGCACCTATTCTTTCTGACTTTTCATATGGTTGAATAATACAGCTTAAGTCAACTTCAGTGTATGCATGACCAGATTGTTTAATACATGTATCTAAAGTTGTTTTGCAAGGGCTAGGTAAAAACAAATCCCAATCGCACATTTTGTATCATCTCTTGAGACCTACAGTGGGTCCCCGGGCAGGGTCAGGTAATAGGGTTGTGGGTACCCGGGTAGTAAAAGTGGACTTGTCCCTGCCCTACTAGTAAATGTTCAGTTCTTCTTCTTTGGGAATTACTACACATATTCCATATGAATATAATACAGAAATTTACAATGAGTACTATTATAGATAACAACTTCTTTATTACTCTTAATGGATACATAACGTTTCATGGCTAGGCCTACTTCCTGTTGAATACTGAAGTTCACAATACTATGGGAACTAGGAAATTTCTCAGCTACAACTCATTTTCTTTGGCGTTTTCTTCGAGAAACATCACATTCACAGTTGATTGTTTATAACTGACAATTGTTTGCGTAACAAATATATGAAAATTATATTCGGAACATTTTTGTTGTTGTATATTTTATAAATACTTAGGCTAAATAAGGGAAATCCCCTATCAGCATCAACATGACTAGATATTCTACTAGAACTATCGCTCGACCTTGTATTTCGTCAATAAGCTGTCGATATCGACGCCTGATGTTCCTTCTTTCATGCTCATCTTGTTCGTCATCGGGTGGCAGAGAACCGTCTGGCATGGCAGCTGCACCATCGTCGTCTCTTTGCATGATTTCGGACGACTTAATGTTCCCGCGGTACCTTCTGTAACTTCCTCCAGTATGAACTGGGCATGCGCAGTACGTTTAGTAAACGCAAACCAATCAACGTCTCTGTAACAAAACAACAAGAAAAACACCCCGTGAAATATTACTACAGGATAAAATTTGTTGTAGAAGTTATTCACGAGTTACATGATTAAAACGCAAGTATACCTACGCATATCTCAAAACGGCCGGTTTATCATCGTCATATGTACTACCGTGCCCAATAGGCTTCCATATTCAACAATAATTATCACATCGTTATTTGTAAACATATACAGCGATTATTTAAATGTGAGTTGGAACTCACACAAGAACCATTGATGTAATTATTTGCCTTTTCAAAAATAGAACGATAGGTATATTTATTAATACAGTGACAATGTTTCTGTGGATGATCACAGAAAACGACCACCACTTGTCTGTTACTAGCTGGTTACAATGCTAAGCAGTGAACCTCCATTTTATCAATACTCGTCGCATCTCAAAGGGAAACAACACCAACTTTCCGTCGTCTAGCCTGCGCCATTTTAACTTATAATACGTTGATTGATTGATCATTGTTATCTATCACTCAATGGATTTTTTAAGGAACCGTGAACGTTATGAAAATAGTTGTCACGTGGGCTTTCTCAGCCGACCATTGAGACTTGACACCTATGTAAAACACCTGAAACAATCCAAGTGATCAGTTGAGAAACGACATATATCTTTTAAAATATTTGATTGTTACAGAGACACGTGACATCGAATAAGTTTCTTTGTACATCTGCAGACGAGTGGGATATTGTTCCTTTGTGTGGATATTCACGGATACATTCCTCGAACAAGGACACTGCCTAAAATTTATACACATAAATTTGGTAGGTTGTAATTATGATATTTGCATTTTGTTTTCCTTCATTTGAACCGATTCGTTCTTGTTTCTCTACGTCTTGGTTGGGAAATTCTTCAATGCGCGATAGACGTTGTTTTCACAGGTCTTTTCCTTTGTAAGCGTGTATATATTACCGTCAATTTGTAAAATGTGATTCTCTCAGGCAATTTATAAAATGTGTAAATATTTCAGTCATTTTGACTAAAAAATCTGTCCAGATTGATTAAGACGATCAAAAGGGCCTACAAACATCACAACAGATTATTATGTAGGATTAGAAGCCAAACAACATAGAAATGTACTTTTCTCAACTTAACATTTTCGGTCTCTTGGTGATGACATTAAACATCAAAATGTTTGGAATTCGTTATCATAATAATACAGATGGAAATGTTTTTCAGTCACTTTGTAAAATAACTGAATATTTAGACGTTTAATAAATTTGTTACACATTTCACAGTAACAAAAAATACACACTATAAAAAAAGCAATGCTCAGGTAAAATATGTACTTTGTGTTGCAAGTCAAAATAGTGTAAACGAAAATCGCAAAATTACCAAGCAAGTGACTTATCAAAACTTCGTCACCATTACCGATGCTACCCACAAAGATACCTACATTTCCTTATTATCTCGAAAACTGTATTTCATTTTGTTCATCAATGTGACCATACGCCCTTATTACTACCCATAAAAGCGACTAATGCGCTTACGAATGGCGCAGCAGAGGTCGCGAACTAGTCTAGATTTCTGCTATACATCCGGGTACTCACTGGGAAAAAACAATAACAAAGGCAACAACCAGTCCCGGGGAATTGCGTTAGATCAGTGCCCCTTTAATCAGCCCGCGTAATCACCAAAAGCCAATTAGCGCAAGCGACCCAACAAACTGGGCTTCTGCCATGTGAAATCTCCAAAATTTTACAGAAAATGTAATCACGAAAATTATTTTAAGGAGACTGAAATAACATAGAAGTAAATGGGAGAACGGCAATAGTTGACACGATTTTGGCGTGTACATGTCTGGGATGGACTAATTCTGTAGCGTGGATCTGTTAAAAATCTAAAAGAAAATCGGCAGCACTGGCAGAACATGGGCAACTCCTCCCAGAGACCAGAGACCATATAATATTGTTTACGTGGTTACCAGAATGTTCAGTCGTGAATGTCTGCGCATCTATTGCGCATCTGCAGCGGTACAGGGAGGTTAACAGCAGGGGGTCGGGGTGTATCAGTTACATGCCAGACCGTAGCGCTGATGGTTTATGATAAACTGTTGGTGAGGGCCGTCCCTCTATTATATGGTCTCTGCTACTCCAAATATCTGTCCAGTCCAGTCAGTGTTTGTCTGTGGACATTACATGACTTACACATTGCACATTTAATTTGTATCTTTCTTGGAGGAAAAGCAGGAAATATTTCAATTGAAATAAATATATATAATACTATGCTATTGGGAATCGTATTGTTTACCGACCATATGCAGTCAAACAGAAACAAGTTGGGGATATTTTGTCATAGGCAACAATTTCTATTATCACCGTCGGCATGAAGTTTTCATGCTAAACTAGTTGCACTGTTGGTACGCGACGCACGTTATCGCGATTTAGCATACATTATGTCATTCAATCGAATCAGTTTTGGGCGCCTTTGTTCAACGAAGATAAGCCAACGCGCGGAAACTGGTGACAGTGGCTAATTTGCTGTTGAAGACACATTACTAGATAATCTCTAGAGTCTATATAACTATATATAATGGTTATATCCTAAAATGATACTTTTAAATAAATACATTGTAACGAATATATAATGTGGGCTAATACATTAACAATGAAGGTAGTTGACAGGATAAACTGCTGATGGAAGGCTTGTGCACAACGTTTGCAGTAAACAGGACGACTTGTACATGGAGCAAATATTTTATCAACGCTTCACTTGTGTCATGGTACAGAGGGCAGCAAACAGTTACTTCCCTTTGTTGTGATTATTAATTCTATTGTTTTGTGTGCAATTAATATGTTTTGCAATCTTGACAAATATCAATCATTATTTTAATGGATGCATCAAAGAACAGTTTTTGTTGTTTTATACTTGATAAATAAATGAATATTTTTGCCGAGAATGAGAATGCTGACTATTGTTATTACATGGTGCACCCTTTACAGTGAGTGAGTGAGTATGGTTTTACGCCGCTTTTAGAACTATTCCATCAATATCACGGCGGGGGACACCAGAAATGGGCTTCACACATTGTACCCATGTCGGGAATCGAACACGGGTCTTCGGCGTTACGAGCGAACGCTTTAACCACTAGGCTACCCAACCGCCCCTCACATCATTTACAGAATAAATACATATAAGTAATACTTTCTTTGTGTAGATTATTCTATAACTGAATCTATATTTAAAATCTAACAGCTTTGTACATTTCCGAGAGCAAGGGAAAACATCTACAATCATATTTGATGTCTACATAAACGGACTTAGACAAATACAACGATGATTACTATAGTAATGTCCAAAAGAAACTTTACGCTCGAAAATGTTATATATATTTTTAATAAAATAAAACTGTTTCATCATATGTTACTTAAACGTATCTCTACTGCCAAACCAAAGGTATTCGGTGGATAAAAGCGATTTTTATGCACGTGCAAACTGTCTGTATAAAACGGCTTACGCGAGTCGTTACGATCACAGTAACAAAAAGCACACAAAATTATGCCCCGTTTATCAAGCAGAGAGAGAGAGAGAGAGAGAGAGAGAGAGAGAGAGAGAGAGACAATGGGCAGGCCACGAAGCGGTCGACCACCCGTGACTACGCAAGCTGACGGCACATCCGGGCAACGCCTTTAAGAAACCGGTTCACCACAGCCCACAGCGACGTCAACGGCAGCGACGGCACTGGGACACCGGGTCAGTTGACAGACTCTGTACCGACGATTAAGGACAAAAGGTATTCGAGCTCGTCGACCGTACCTCGGCGTAATGCATCAACATCGACATAACCGGTTGATATGGGCCCGCCGAGTTCGACGTTGGCAAGTGTGTGACTTGAGTCGAGTGATGTTTTCTGATGAAAGCAGATTTTGTCTGTACAGAAAATTCAGAAATGACAATAGGGCTCGTAACTACTGACGACAGGGTGAGGGTTTAGCGCCAAATTTTGTCCAACACTTTCGAGCATATGGAGGCGGTAGCGTTAGGACCCGGGCTGGCATCTGCGGTGATCTGACAACGAGGCTGGTTGTTATTCGGGGAAACCTCACTGCTCAGCGGGATGAAGTTCTGCAACCAGTAGTGCAGCCATTCATTCAACAACAACCACGTGGTGTTCTTTTTCAGCATGACAATGCTACGCCACATGCTGCAAGGCTAACAACCAACGTTGTGAATAACGTCAGCATTCATGTCCTACCCTGGCCCGCATGTTCCCCAGACATGAATCCGATTGAACACATATGGCACCATCTTGACCGTGAGAACACGAATCGTGGCAGCAACCACAATTCAGGAGTTGGAACAATGTCTCATTGCCGACTGGCAAAGAAACCCGCCTAACTTCATCCGACGTCTAACGTCATCATTGCGTCGACGTGTTATGGCGCGTATGAATGCACAAGGTGGACACACACGTTATTAATTAGACATTAGACACGCTTTTACTACTTTTTAAAAACTTTTTCTCACAATTGTCGTAATGGAAATTTTGTTATTTTTGACCCCACGTGTCTTGTGTCGCAGTCAGACCGGAAATATATCATTGAATGAAATGAAATTTTCTGTACCTGATGGTCAGTGATTTCTCAAGGGAACTGTATACATATTGATTTTCTCCATGTGTTTGTGGTTATTTAGTAACTCTTCAAACACGGTGTAAGGTTTCTCTTGGACATTAGGTATTCTTTTGTGATATAACTTCAGCTGTATTAGAAACTGCAGGGCAAAGACAGTATACACCAGTGTTTGGTGGTGGCTATTAACGAAACAAACTAATGGTTATGCGATGGTGATGTACTAGTATATAATATAGGTATCATAGTTGTGTTTGGTAATGTTTCGGCGAATGTTGTTAGCCTAGTAACGTTTTGATAACGTTTGCAATTATTTGGTCAAATCCAATTTTCAAAGGTATACTTTCTTTTGCCCGACAGTGTACGTGTCATTTTGCAGATAGATATACAATTTGTCTCGTGTGTGGTGACATCATTAGATTAAACACAGCCTATGCATGGAAGCTATATGATCACCGGCGTAGTCAGGAATTATCACAAGGACAATTTACTAATTCAGGAATTGTCTATTGTTTGTAGACCCTAACTTGTATCAAAGGAAGCTTGGACGATGTTTGGCTATACTGTGAAAGAGTACGAAGACTGGTTAGGATATCATAAACACTCAATACCTAATTGTTAGGAACATAGTTTTAGATAGATTAATAAATTTCATTTTGGTTTAATGTTGTTGGGAATCCGGTTCAGAATAGATTTCCGTGCCCGGCAACAGCTATACGAGGAAACGTTAGTGGATCGGGTGGTCAGGCTTGGTTTGTTTGTTGTATAACGCCGCACTCAACAATATTCCATCTATATGACGGCGGTCTGTAAACAATAGATTCTCGCTCAGATAAACCCAACGACTGATATTATGGGCAACCTCCCACGCCAGCAACCTATTCACGGAGCCTGTCTAACCGATCCACTGTAGTCTAGTATTTCGGCAAGCACTATAGTGGCGGGGATACATTCTTAACATGATTGCTACGGGGTTCACACAAAGAGACACAATGCTGCTGTTGTTGTTTAACGCCGCACTCAGCAATATTCCAGCTATATGACGGCAGTCTGTAAGTAATCGAGCCTGGACCAGACAATCCAGTGATTGACATCATGAGCATCGATCCACGCAATTGGGATACAATGACATGCATCAACAATCAGCGAGCCTGACCACCCGACCCCGTTAGTCGCTTCTTACGACAAGCATAGTCGGCTTTTTATGGCAAGAATGGGTTGCTGAAGACCTATTCTACCCCGGATCTTCACGGGTCACATATTGCCGATTTTCACCAGTAGTTGATCACAATCAAAACACAAAATTGATATACTGTTGATTTTAACACGATATCTGAATATATTGATCACAGTCAGCAAAGGCAAGGCAATGCGACTCTTAACCCGAATATCGCACCAGAGGTCTTTCGCCCACAAAGGGTAACAAGGAGCATCACATTCATCTCATTGTCGACATGTCTCAGCGTTAAGTCGATAATATTTCAAACCATCTGATTTATTTCTGGATATTATTTCAGCCAATAACAGGATTGCTGGGATATTTAGAACAAAACTTGTCATATTCTTTTCTGGCCCACGGATTCGTCTCCTTGAAAGCTGTGCTGACGGCCGAATACCGCACCAGGGCTGACTTCAGCTTGGCTGCTGCTGGACCCTTGAACTGAACAAAGGATAGCTGCTCCCCTGCTGGACCCTTAGCAAACACGTAGTTAAAGCCCTTCAGAGGTCCATCAGTGAACGCTGCACTGTACTGTGGTAAGGGTACGCTAGCACCTAATCTCGGCACATCAACTGCTCTATTGACCTTAAACTCAGGGAACTTATTCCTGGTAGCTTTCAGTTCTGTGTCATGTAGAAAGTTGTTAAGGTCGACGTTGTCGTCAATTAAGAAGGCGACGTGCATGTTGTTGATGTAGGCAGGGCTACTCCAATTGTATCTGGGGTTGAACTTGGGATCTGACAGAGATTTTCCCGCTGTATACAACAGAGTCTCCACTACATAATTATCAAACAGGTTAAATCTGTGATCCAGTCTGTCAGATCCTGCCAGAGAAACATTTGCAACCCCTATATCCCTGGGCTCAGTTCCCCACGATAACGCATCAAGAATCTCTTTCTGGAACAACATGTTTTCAACGTCATCTCCTCGGACGTTCACTGCCTGCAGTGGTTTATGAACCAGCTCTGAACCGAGGACCTGTGTGTAGAAGTTGACGGACTTTGAGAGGTCATCTGTTCTTGTCCCAAACTGGAACATCCCGTAAAGTTGACCACTGACTCCTGCAGCTTTCTTCCATCTGTTGTCAGGATGCTTGTCCAAGAAGGCTGTGGCCACGCCCCGTCGTCGGCAGTAATCGCTGCCGAGGTGGTAGCGGGATTGATTCTGAATTTGGTACAGTTCCAGTTGTTCTCCCCTCGGGCCTTTAAAGTAGGCGAATGATAAACCAGCAAAGTCTCCATTGGAAAATGTAATACCAAGCTGGTTTTCAGGAACGGCCAGTCGCTCAGCCTCGTTGTGAACTGTTACTGGTCTGTTGACCTTGACCTGATGGAACCCAAGGCCATGTGACTTTCTTTCTAGCTCCGCAATGTAGTGGTTGAAATCGACATCATCCTTGACCCAGAAACATATATGTGGGGCTGCGATGTAGCAGGGGCTGGTGCGACGGTCACGGATGTCGAAGACGATGTCAGATGAGGATGATCTCAGCACATACTCTACAAGTTGGATGATGCCGTTGTCAAAGATGATGAAGTTGCCGCGCACCTGCAGACACAAACGCATTCTATCCAGAAATATTTGAATAAGAGTTGTAATGATGGACGTGTTTAGTGTTAAAGGGGGACCAGTACATGCGCCAAATGGCAGACCTATTTATTCAAGTCATTCAGGTGAAAGCACAAGGAAACGTTTTTATAATAATAAGAAATCATTGTACGTCCATTGTACGATTCCGACTGTCGAAAGCATGTGTCTATGAATCACTATCACATAGCAAAAAGGGTGAGCGAAAAGTTAAGCTTATCCTGTCCCACTGGGGCACCTGTCACAAACAATTGCAAAAGCAAAAACAAAACAAAACACGAGAACATATGGTACAAGTCAAAACAGGGAATTGCATTGGACATCAGTTTTGTCACAGATGCGTCAAATTTAGAAATGTCCTCCACATGTCTACAATTAAAAGAAACTTTTGAAAACTTTGAATGTTGTAACCCTGATTAAACACCTTTGAACAAGAGTTACATTGCGCTTTTTCAATTCTCCGTAGTGTTTTTCTCCCACAGTTTGCTGGGGATGCTTTCCCTTGGTGTCAAACCGACCTGATATCCATCACATACTGAGCTCATGAATACCGCTATCCCCAATGTACTGAGCTCATGAATACCGTTATCCCTTCTATACTGACCATCCCATGAATACTGTTGTCTCCTATATAACAGCCTAATGGGTACCGTTATCCTTACATACTGACCTCGTGAGTACCGTTATCTCCTATATCTGGTATTCCCAGCTGGGCAGGGTTAACCCCTTGTGTTCTGGCGTCCAGGATCTCCTTCTGGAACATCCGGTAGTAGTGAGAATCTCCACTGAAGGTGAAGGACAGCTCTGGCACCAGCATCCCACCAAGAACCTGAGTGTAGAACTGCGTGGACGCTGTCAGGTTGTCCGTCGTCACGGAGATGAAGGCGATACCATGGAGGGAGTTTAGGTTGCTGGACAGAGCGGGTTGCATGAGAGCAACGACCAGCAGCAATGTTGGTGTTGACAGTAGCATTGTTCTGGTTAATGTGAAGGAGATGGCCGACATATACGGATATATATTGGTCTGGTGACAAAATATGGACAATTCTGTCGAGTCATGAAACACTGTGAGAAGGTGTCATATTTAAGGAGATAAGACAGTAAAACAAAATGTAACACAGGGTTTCGCTTGCAATGCTGTTTCATAATGATAAGAACTCTCTGCTGAAAGCAGAGGCCATCGTACGATTCCGACTGTCAAAAGTATGTGTTTATGAATCACTATCACAAAGCGTTGACATCAGGTGTTCGCGAAAAGGTGAGGTTATCCTGCCCACCAATGGCAATCGTCACAAACAGATGCAAAAGCAAGTCAGTTTATCACCTGAAAAAAACCCACGGTAACATATGGACAAATTATAACTCATATGACTCAAAAAAGGGAATTGCATCGGACATAATTTTTGTCACAGATATGTCAAATTTAGAAATGTCCTCCACATGTCTACAATTAAAAGAAACATGTAACAGGTTTTCGCTTCCAATTCTATTTATTCTCATTGTCAAGGATATTAATTATTAAATTGAAATGTATGTAAAAATGTACACGTGTGGATTGCCATGTTGGAAAGTGACCGTTAACCCAGATGTTTAATGGGCAAAACTAAACTGTGAAACCAATTATCACACAAGGTCAATGAATAATTAACTCATTATATTGTAACACACACGATTAGGTTGACGATCACTTAAGGCAATATAACATAAAATGCCCTATTACATAAGTCAGTGCACTCACAAATGCCCAGTACGTATAAGTCGAATGTCTTCAAGGCACTACGTGCTGCCCTCTTGAATCCAGGAAACAGTGCTGGAAGCAGGCAAAAAGTCGATGTTTCCCGATAAAATCCCGAAGCCGCAGGTTGTTCACATTATGACCCATGCTGACGCATGTTTCAACACGACGGCATACAGCACGTGGCATCAGCACTCTTACCGCACCTTAGTGTACATGTCCTCCATGGTCCTCAAGCTCGCCAGATCTGAACCCGGGAGAGCTGAATCGCTGCTTCAACTGCGCCATCTTGAATCACAGACACTGCTACATCATGCACGTGCACTACAGCCCGGCTTGGCCGACATTCCCAACTGTGATCCGTACTCTCATGTCGTCCATGGGTATGAGGTGCCAGGTAGGACCTGACGCTACTGCTGGGAACACAAGATAAAGAGTTCTACTGACCTTGTAATTTCTTTGTATTGGACGTGTGTCTACTGTTGCCCCGCTTGCCATATGTTATCATATCACTCATCAAGTGTTCAGATGTGCAGCAAATATGTATTCTCAAACCGACAAATTGATTAATTTGACATTTTAGACTGTAAATGAGTTAGTAAGTGTTTTACACAGCATCCTACAGTATTCAAGTTAGCATGGCAGAGTAGTTTCAATTAAATATAAAAATCATTATTAACCATGTGAGACATAACTGAACTGTGGAAGATACCATTTCTTTACAATGGCAACATTCTAACTTTGTTGTGTACTCATCATTGAAATCGGAAAGAATAGCTACACTTGAAAAGCTGAAATATCGCATGATACGGGGTAGGCTTTTGTCATACTCTCCGAATATTAATGCCACCATGTCAAGTACAATAAATATGTGATGGATTAAAAATTCAAAATTGTGTCTGTGGAGTATAATTTAAACATATACTAGAAATACCATTTTAAATCCTTTAACTAGATTTTTTGTAACTTTATGTAGTTGAATATGACATATACTTATAAATGTTTTTGTTCATTTGAGTTGGTTTGCTCAGTGCTCAGTTCCTAGTTGTTAAAAGAGAGCAAAAGAAATGTGAGGTTTTATAGTCGAATCCAGTTGAATTGCAGTACATGTTCGGAAAATAATATGCTTCTTCCCTATAGTATGGAAACAGCAAGGATTACATCAATACAACATCGGCTGTAGTGATGGACACAAGGGACATCTGCTGTAGTGATGAACACAAGGGGCATCTGCTGAAGTGATGGACACAAGAGACATCTGCTGTAGTGATGAACACAAGGGACATCTGCTGAAGTGATGGACACAAGAGCCACCTACTGAAGTGATGGACACAAGCCGCATCTGCTGTAGTGATGAACACAAGGGACATCTGCTGAAGTGATGGACACAAGAGCCACCTACTGAAGTGATGGACACAAGCCGCATCTGCTGTAGTGATGAACACAAGGGACATCTGCTGAAGTGATGGACACAAGAGCCACCTACTGTAGTGATGGACACAAAGCGGCATCTACTGTGGTGATGAACACAAGGGACATCTGCTGTGACAATGTGACAATGTTCATACAATGTTTTGGCCCTCAATCTATGAAGGTTCATACTCCAATGAACTCGAACAAAGTGAAAGTCAATTCTTATTATTTGTTACCTCACTATTATTTACCTCGTACTTCTAAATACAATTTTATTTAGTCTACGTGTGACTTCATGTTTACACTGACAGCCATACAACATCCATTTGTATCGCGGAACGATATGCTTATGAACGTCAATTTCGCGGTTATGTGACCGTCCTCTCGTCAAATAGAAAAGCCGTATATCGTGTAAAGTTCACATTAGAAAATTATATCCATATGAATGGACTGCAATATGAATGATTGAATGAATGAACGAAATGACGAATAAATGTTAAGTTGTTTTAGGCTCTATTGATATGTGGACTCGAGTGTGGTGTGGCAATATTCAAGCTATCCCACAGCGGCCTGTAAATATTTGTATCTTGACCAGACAAACCCAGTGAACAAATGGGTCTTTGTTCCAAAACAACAATTGACTTGTGTTATATGGAAGTATAATTTATTGTTAACAATAATTGTAACTGTATCACATTGTTTCTGTTGAGATTCAGTAGAAGTTCGTTGCATTGTATTTCGACAATGATTAGTTGTCAGGAATGTATTACTATTTAATACAGTGGTGAGGAAGTTATTATATTTAGATGCTCGTGCGATGTGTAAACACCCGGAACAGCGTGGGAAGATGTGGAGAATATTCTGGAAGGTGTTTGGGCTATTTAAGGGGCCGAAGGCGTGACATTTCATCTGACATTACATCAAGACCAGCTTTTGTGTGAAGTTCACTTGTCACCCCGAATTCATAGCCAAGGCCTATCCCGGAAACTTGACAACTGTTACGGCGAGGTGATTATTAGGGCTCCCTGCCATCCTGGCAAGAGCCCTATTGTAATTGTTAGATTTATTATTATTTATTATTATTATTATTATTATTATTATTCCGCCGATTTTTGTTCCAATCCTAACTCCAAAACTACTGATCAGAATCTCTTGAAAATTTCCACAAAGATAGCTTAGCTCCTGAAGTTATATCCACAAAAATCTCAAGACTCTAGACTCAAAGACTAAGGGCAGATAACTCTAAACAACTTTAAAAATCGCAATTTCAACAGCTAAAATCTCCGCCAAGAAAGCTCCAAAGACTTCCAAAATTCCTGAACAGATCCGGAATCAGATGCCAAACAAAATCTCTACACATCCAATGTAGCGAAATTGCTTCGTTTGGCCTCCATATTGGATTAAGTGTTTTGGCACTGTTTTTTACCAGATATCTCAGTACTTGACTCCCAAAATCTCCTCAGCTCAAACTACCAGCTCAAAAGCTTCCAAACTCTCCACACTTTGGCTCCAAGTACCATACTAACAACTTCAAAGAAAATATACGTATGTCATATGTTGGCCTGATAGCCCTTGTCCTGGCGATTCCAGAACACCAAACCGTTTGTCTGTAGCTCCATGGACAACGGAGCTACAGCCTTCTGAAAATTGGACTCTTTGGCCCAGGTCCATAAACTTGCCAAATAGCACAACTCTAAATACCCGTAGCTGAACTCTAAATACCCGTAACTCCGAAAGTACTCGTCCGATTTCGACCAGATTTTGTATATGTATATTGAGTGGGGATGTCTGTTATCACGACCAATTGTAGCGACAAAGGAAATAAGACGACGGGACGAGAAATGATGCATAATTTATGTATAACAACATCTTTCAGCATCTTGCTCCTAACCAGATCATTCTATAACTGGCAGACTAGGCAATCTTTAGTATTTACATGTGCAATTCGATATTAAAATGCAGTCACAAATCACAAATCCTACATACATCAAACTCTTATTTCACATGTTCTGGAAATGTCATTTAGTGGGGATGACATGGGTGCTTTACGAACTCTTCAAACAATTTTTTAAAGTAAAAGACACTGAAAGAAGCAGCCATAGAATGACAAATAAGTCCCGTTCACTGCACTTCAATCGACAGCAATACTCGTGCATACGATTCCGTTCTCTTGGCGCTATACGCTACACTATTGTCGGTATAGGTTTATTTATATAACAAACTACAGTTTGCAGTACGTGAGCTTTGTGTATAGTTTTCGGCTGTGGACTACAGAAATCAGTTACCAGGGTCAATGAGGTACAGTGTTTATACAGCTGATGGATAACGCAAGCAGAAACGGACTATAGAAATAGATTTACGTTTGCGCTCGTTTGTTCAACGGTTCTGCATAGAAAACAGTGTAGCTTGGAGTAAATAACGACATTGTGTTTTGTTATGTGAAAGCTCATATCTGCATCAATTGGCGCGAATTCACAATACACATTGTCAACAGACTTAAGCAAAGAACTGCGCATACATGTGTATTGGCCTCACAGCGTGCCAGCGTACCTCAGTCCCATGCGGCTGGGTCGGTCGGTCGGTCGGTCGGTCGGTTGCATATTGGAACGTGATCCACGTGCACGGGAATGGTATGGTGAGACAGCTATAGCGGGGTCGTCCGAGAGCCGCGTGTGGGGTGCTTCAGTCAAAACATGACCTACATCCCGCCCGAAGTGTTGCCTCCTTCATAAATGCTGTTCAGACTGTGGGATTTACGGTAGGTTTGTGATTGAAAGTTTGATATCGCTGAACTCTCCGATTAATGTACTATCTTTTAAACGTACTTGTCATAATTTTCTTACTACAACAGACAGGTTCACTTCATGTTTCGACGATAGCGATTTCTATAGTCTGTTTCATTATGGATTTTCTTCACGCTGTTTTCAGTAGTCTCTGCTAGCAGAAAGCACGCATTTTGTACGTTTGTGATTTAATATCGCTGAACTCTCCGTTTAATTTACTGGTACTTGTCATAATTGTATTACCGCAACTTCCAAGTACAGTAACCGACGGGTTATATGTTAACTTCATGTTTCGATAGCAGCGATTTCTATAGTCTGTTTCATTATGGATTTTCTTCACGCTGTTTTCAGTAGTCTCTGCCAGCAGAAAGCACGCATTTTGTACGTTTGTGATTGAAAGTTTAATATCGCTGAACTCTCCGTTTAATTTACTGGTACTTGTCTTAATTGTATTACCACAATTTCAAATAATAACAGACCATTTATATGTTCACTTCGTTTCAATAGTAGCGACTTCTAGTCTGTTTCTGTATAGATTCTCTTCACGCTGTTTGTAATACATTCTGCCAGTGGAAAGTGCACAGTTTCCCGTACTTGTACACTAGATCCATTCAGTTGCTCCCTGTCTAAAAGGATCGTTGTACAACATGTTTGGTATTCTTCTTATAAAATGCCTTATTTTCCTTGGAACGGATTTCCGCACTATCAAATTAGCTTTTAATAATACGAACCTGTACATTTTTGATAATTCCATTTTTTCCTGAAAGATCCCAGATATAATGCCAACTTTAAGGAGTATTATTTACCCAAATCATTATGGTTTAGAAACCAGTCCCTTTCTCATCTCCATTGTGTTGACAGCTAATCTTCTTTTAAACTTTGATCACAAACGCTTGGAAGACTTGTTGTTTTCTTAGCTGATTGGTTGAATTGCTTCAACAAGGAGATGACAAGAGGTGACCGACATGTGTTGTTACTGTTAGATAATGGTCTAAGCCATCTCATCCCTGAGCACGGGTCAAATTACAAGATCCATTTCCTGAATATTACAATAACAAGTCACCAACACCTCTGCATGCTTGTATCTTCCATCCTGAACAGACCCAGGGACAAAATGGGAATCCGAATGCTTTTATATAACAACAAGAGAAAATGCCTTAATGGTAATAAATTAGTTTAATTAAGAACTCAGTTTCAATGATTTTTAGTACTCTGTATAACCAAAGTACAATTTTGCAAAAGTACTTCTATGAATAGAACAGGATCCGCTTCTACAATTCCTAACCAGCGGGAGCCCGACATCGCTGCTTGCAGCTATATTTATTCTTGTCATTGTCATTTCCACTGCTCTCACATTTTATACTGCCATTGAATATTGTACACCATTCTATTGTGTACTGCCTTTGTAATTGCTGTGCAGTTACTGGTATTGATTTGTAAACCCAGTTAATTTTGTAATACAATTGTTGATTGTATACTTTTTTTTTTTTTTGGTTTCACACTAAATTCTTTCACGTACAGGTTTCTGGGTTAACATATTGTTTCAGTTTGGGAAACCACACGTAACACTTGCCTTGGCATGTGTTTATGACAGGTGCCAAAGTGGGACAAGATACGTTCACCCAGTCGAGAACACTTGGTATCATCAATATTTGATAGTGATTCATAAACACAAGCTCATGATACAGTCGGAATCGTACAATCGACTCTGCTTTTGGCAGAGATGTCTTATGAATTTGGATACACAATGCACAAAGTCAGGAAGCATGCCCATCAGTACAAGCAATAGACCTACTCTTACTGGGTCAGAAAAGTTAAGTAGAATACAATTTACCCCAAGATGAGAGGGTTATGCAAACACATCCGGGGTGGTACACAACCAAGTGAGTAAAACTCTTAACAGGCAACGAATTCATCTTGTACAAGACATGACCCTGTTAAAAACCAAAATACTTCATTTCATCTGTTTGATGAATCATTTATTTCTGAATAATAGTTTAGCCAATAACAGGGTTGCTGGAATATGAAGAACAAAACTTGTCATATTCTTTTCTGGCCCACGGATTCGTCTCCTTGAAAGCTGTGCTGACGGCCGAATACCGCAGCAAGGCTGACTTCAGTTTGGCTGCTGCTGGACCCTTGAACTGAACAAAGGATAGCTGCTCCCCTGCTGGACCCTTAGCAAACACGTAGTTGAAGCCCTTCAAAGGTCCATCAGTGAACTCTGCACTGTACTGTGATGAGGGAACGCTAGCACCTAATCTCCGCACATCAACTGCTCTATTGACCTTAAACTCGGGGAACTTATTCTTGGCAGCTTTCAGTTCTGTGTCATGTAGAAAGTTGTTCAGGTCGATGTTGTCGTCAACTAAGAAGGCGACGTGCATGTTGTTGATGTAGGCAGGACTACTCCAGTTGTATCTGGGGTTGAATTTGGGATCTGACAGAGATTTTCCTGTTGTGTACACCAGAGTCTCAACCACATAGTTATCGAACAGGTTAAAAGTCAGATCAAGTCTGTCAGATCCTGCCAGAGAAACATTTGCAATCCCAACATCTCTAGGCTCAGTTCCCCACGATTCCGCATCAAGAATCTCTTTCTGGAACAACATGTTCTCAAGGTCATCTCCTCGAAGGTTCACTCCCTGCAGTGGTTTATGAACCAGATCTGAACCAAGGACCTGTGTGTAAAAGTTGACGGACTTTGAGAGGTCATCTGTTCTTGTCCCAAACTGGAACAACCCGTAAAGTTGACCACTGACTCCTGCAGCTTTCTTCCATCTGTTGTCAGGATGATTGTCCAAGAAGGCTGTGGCCACGCCCTGTCGTCGGCAGTAATCGCTGCCAAGATGGTTGCGGAATTGATTTGTAATTTGGTACAGTTCCAGTTGTTCTCCCCTCGGGCCTTTAAAGTAGGCGAATGATAAACCAGCATAGTCTCCATTGGAAAATGTAATACCAAGCTGGTTTTCGGGAACGGCCAGTCGCTCAGCCTCGTTGTGAACTGTTACTGGTCTATTGACCTTCACCTGATCAAAACCAAGGTTATGTGATGTTCGTTCCAGTTCAGCAATGTAGTGGTTGAAATCGACATCGTCCTTGACCCAGACACATATATGTGGGGCCGCGATGTAGCAGGGGCTGGTGCGACGGTCACGGATGTCGAAGACGTTGTCAGATGAGGATGATCTCAGCACATACTCTACAAGTTGGATGATGCCGTTGTCAAAGACGATGAAGTTACCACGCACCGGCAGACATAAACACATATTACCAACGATTCCTCACGAGTCACAGATACAATCTCTTCATATCATACTATTTTGAGGGATACTACTTGAATTTGAAAACATTTTATTCGTAAAATACCAAGATAATGATCTCAACATCGCGTCCATATGATTTGTCATCTAAAACTGTCTTCCACAGGAGATATCGCTTGGGTGACATCAAGCGATATCTACAGTGTAGATATCACTGCAATGAAATTGCATCACAATGCAATTGGGCATCACCAATTGCTCTGCTACTGAAGCTGTTAGCAGTACTTTTTCCCCTTAAGACACTGCTTATGACTGTCTACAAACTGAAAAAGTTGGAAGAGTGATTTTGGATGAAAAATAAAATCCCACCCGCGTGGCTGTTTATCAAAAGACACGAGGGTGAGATTTCAGTTTAACGATAAATGATTGTGTGACCTTTGTTTGCTTAAGAATGTTCTGAGTGTGCTGGGTACTTGGGAAGTCAAAGATCATTACAGTAAAATAACTATGGAAGTTATTGGTCAAATTTCAAAGCATGCATTTATGGTATATCAAACACTATTATTTCTGATTTGTACACAATCTTAACGCCGTTTTAACAGTGTTCCAGTTATATCTTGAAGTGGGAGGAAATCCCGAAGTGATGCAGATCTCAGACGTTTACCACAGGTCTGGTGCTGAAACATAATCAGGGCGAACCGGTATTCGAACCAACGATAGGTTTCTGGTGTGCCAAGGAACAAACATCTGTACAGCGAATAGCGGCGCCTTAAACGACAAGCCCAACCGTGCCCCCTCTTAAAGGGAACCAATTTATGAAACAAACACATTTTACGTTTCAATTAATTTTTTTGCTTGTAAGGATGGTTGTACGAGGCGAAACTAAACAATTCATGGCCATCATTCAGAATCACACATATTCTGTCAATAGAGACTGATTAATACACGTGTTTCAGCGAGGCTCAATTTTTGTTATCTCTTTATTATAGAAGTCTGAATCTTGCCCCCACACACCAAAACAAAGGCATGGATGGCGGCTACCGTGTTTCAACACGTTGTGAATCTGGAAGGAGGTGATAGACCCAGACCTCATTCTGGGTTACTATTCACACGAGGAATCAGGATTCTGCTGATAACTGGTGGCAAGGTCTTTGGATACGTTAAGTTCGGGAGGTCTTAAAAACTTCTGATCTCCTGTCAACATTCTAGGTACCTATCTTGCAGACATGGAGTCTGCCTATTAGTATGGACTGACCCGGCCCCAAACCGATCCCAATAATGTCAGCAATATGCTGAATTGAAGCATGCCCGTCCGCCAGAACAACGCTGTTGACAGCCTCCACTTTCAGACATTACACCTTCAGGACGACCAGACCTATGGTCATCTTCTGCCGCGCTTAAATTCAGCAGCTCTCTTCTTAAGTTCGAAATGAAGGCAGTCATCCCCCGGCGTGCTTGTGATAGATCTGCTTTCCTTCTTGTGACATGCCCTTTGTATGTAGGTACTTCATCATGGATCGTTTCTCCGTTTTTTCCATTTTCACAGTTTCTTTCACCCGTCAAATTATCAAGATTATCTGTCTGCACATTTGTGCTATGTCTTCCAAGAGATTCTATTCTTCACACACGTGTTATAACTTCACATTACTCAAAGCCAACAAGGCTCAGCCTGATGGCAAGTTTTATTCAATTCATTCAGTTTTAGCTGAATACACCTTGAAGCACACTATTCCAATTAGATAATTTCACTTACGGCAATAACTACATGGTCACGAGCTACAGTGATATATACTGACTTCATGGACACCGTTCTAACCTATATACTGACTTCATGGGTACCGTTCTAACCTATATACTGACTTCATGGGTACCGTTCTAACCTATATACTGACTTCATGGACACCGTTCTAACCTATATACTGACTTCATGGACACCGTTCTAACCTATATACTGACTTCATGGGTACCGTTCTAACCTATATACTGACTTCATGGACACCGTTCTAACCTATATACTGACTTCATGGACACCGTTCTAACCTATATACTGACTTCATGAGTACCGTTATCTCGTATATCTGACAACATGAATACCGTTACTGCCTATATCCTGACTCCATGAATACTGTTATCTCCTGTATCTGTCCCCTTATTCTCTACCAACCAGTCTTGTGAGAACCGTGATCCCCTACATACTGATTTGCCGTTAACCCCAAAATACTGACCTTATGAGGTCCGTAATCCTCCTGTGTATTTGCGTCATGTTTGCCGTTATACCCTGTATACAACCTCAAAAGTACCGTTATTCCCTTTGTACTTACCTCGTGAGTACCGTTATTCCCTATATACTGACCTCGTGAGTACCGTTATCCCTTATATCTGGTATTCCCAACTGGGCAGGGTTAACCCCTTGTGTTCTGGCGTCCAGGATCTCCTTCTGGAACATTCGGTAGTAGTGAGAATCTCCACTGAAGGTGAAGGACAGCTCTGGCACCAGCATCCCACCAAGAACCTGAGTGTAGAACTGCGTGGACGCTGTCAGGTTGTCCGTCGTCACGGAGATGAAGGCGATGCCGTGGAGGGAGTTGAGGTTGCTGGACAGAGCGGGTTGCATGAGAGCATCGAACAGCAGCAATGTTGGTGTTGACAGTAGCATTGTTTTTGGAGATTTGAAGGAGATGGTTGACAGTTACGGTGAGAAAGTTCCATATTTAAGTGATAAGATAGTACTGAAACAATCTGAAACATCAACCTGCATACTTCCCCAGTGACAAATAAGGCAATGTTAAGGCGAGTTATGAAATACTCTGGGAATGTGTCATGTTTAAGGAGATAAGGGGCATTGCAAACTGTAACAGTGTTTCGGTGGCTATATTATTTAATCCCAAACTTTATTACGATATTATTTCGTCAAAATTATTTGACAATGGAAGGCGTGGTAGGATAAGGGTAATTTTGAATGGATGGTATAAATCTTGATAATTGGTATGTGGGGTCACTTTAGTAGCGTCAATTGATTTCCAGATTTCCATAGTCAAATATCCACAACTTTAAAACTTTGCAAAATATATGTGTTTAATATTACTGCCTGAAGAGAAGGACATTATTGTAGGTACCAGTCTCTGTAGAAGAAGGAGTTTATTTGCATGAAGGCCTCAGGTCCATATACACGTCCATATACTCGCAGCTTGATAACCGTGCAAGAATCTACATCGAAACGTCGCTATGTACAAAAGACAACAAGTTGTTATCCATAAAGTTGTACGATTTTTTGCGTATCAAATTCTAGGATGCCAAAACAAACAGTTAAAATAGCGAGAATAAATAGTTGCTGCTGGATGGACACAAGGTGCATCTGCTGCTGGATGGACACAAGGTGCATCTGCTCCTGGATGGACACAAGGTGCATCTGCTGCTGGATGGACACAATGTGCATCTGCTACAGTGATGGATACAAGGTGCATCTGCTGCTGGATGGACACATGGTGCATCTGCTACAGTGATGGACACAAGGTGCATCTGCTACAGTGATGGACACAAGGTTCATCTGCTGCTGGATGGACACAAGGGGCATCTGCTGCTGGACGGACACAAGGTGCATCTGCTGCTGGATGTTAACAAGGTGCATCTGCTGCTGGATGGACACAAGGTGCATCTGCTGCTGGATGGACACAAGATGCATCTGCTGCTGGATGAACACAAGGTGCATCTGCTGCTGGATGGAAACAAGGTGCATCTGCTGCTGGATGGACACAAGGTGCATCTGCTGCTGGATGGACACAAGGTGCATCTGCTGCTGAATGGTTACAAGGTGCATCTGATGTAGTGATGGACACAAGGTGCATCTGATACAGTGATGGACACAAGGTGCATCTGCTGCTGGATGGACACAAGGGGCATCTGCTGCTGGATGGACACAAGGTGCATCGGCTGTAGTGATGGACACAAGGTGCATCTGCTACAGTGATGGACACAAAGTGTATCTGCTGTAGTGATGGACACAAGGGACATCTGCTACAGTGATGGACACAAGGTGCATCTGCTACAGTGATGGACACAAGGTGCATCTGCTGCTGGATGGACACAAGGTGCATCTGCTGCTGGATGTACACAAGGTGCATCTGCTATAGTGATGGACACAAGGTGCATCTGCTGCTGGATGGACACAAGGTGCATCTGCTGCTGGATGGACACAAGGTTCATCTGCTGCTGGATGGAAACAAGGTGCATCTGCTGCTGGATGGACACAAGGTGTATCTTCTGCTGGATGGACACAAGGTGCATCTGCTCCTGGATGGACACAAAGTTCATCTGCTGCTGGATGGAAACAAGGTGCATCTGCTACAGTTATGGACACAAGGTGCATCTGCTGCTGGATGGACACAAGGTGTATCTTCTGCTGGATGGACACAAGGGGCATCTGATGTAGTGATGGACACATGGTGCATCTGCTACCGTGATGGACACAAGGTGCATCTGCTGCTGGATGGACACAAGGTGTATCTTCTGCTGGATGGACACAAGGGGCATCTGCTGCTGGATGGACACAAGGGGCATCTGCTGCTGGATGGACACAGTGTGCATACGCTGTAGTGATGGACACAAGGTGCATCTGATACAGTGATGGACACAAGGTTCATCTGCTGTAGTGATGGACACAAGGGACATCTGCTACACTGATGGACACAAGGTGCATCTGCTGTAGTGATGGACACAAGGGGCATCTGTTACAGTGATGGACACAGGGGCATCTGCCATAGTGATGGACACAAGGGACATCTGCTACACTGATGGACACAAGGTGCATCTGCTGTAGTGATGGACACAAGGGGCATCTGTTACAGTGATGGACACAGGGGCATCTGCCATAGTGATGGACACAGGGGGCATCTGATACAGTGATGGACACAAGGTGCATCTGCTGCTGGATGTACACAAGGTGCATCTGCTGCTGGATGTACACAAGGTGCATCTGCTGCTGGATGGAAACAAGGTGCATCTGCTACAGTGATGGACACAAGGTGCATCTGCTGCTGGATGGACACAAGGGGCATCTGATGTAGTGATGGACACAAGGTGCATCTGCTACAGTGATGGACACAAGGTGCATCTGCTGCTGGATGGACACAAGGGGCATCTGCTGCTGGATGGACACAAGGGGCATCTGCTGCTGGATGGACACAGTGTGCATACGCTGTAGTGATGGACACAAGGTGCATCTGATACAGTGATGGACACAAGGTTCATCTGCTGTAGTGATGGACACAAGGGACATCTGCTACACTGATGGACACAAGGTGCATCTGCTGTAGTGATGGACACAAGGGGCATCTGTTACAGTGATGGACACAGGGGCATCTGCCATAGTGATGGACACAAGGGACATCTGCTACACTGATGGACACAAGGTGCATCTGCTGTAGTGATGGGCACAAGGGGCATCTGTTACAGTGATGGACACAGGGGCATCTGCCATAGTGATGGACACAGGGGGCATCTGATACAGTGATGGACACAAGGTGCATCTGCTGCTGGATGTACACAAGGTGCATCTGCTGCTGGATGTACACAAGGTGCATCTGCTGCTGGATGGAAACAAGGTGCATCTGCTACAGTGATGGACACAAGGTGCATCTGCTGCTGGATGGAGACAAGGTGTATCTTCTGCTGGATGGACACAAGGGGCATCTGATGTAGTGATGGACACAAGGTGCATCTACTACAGTGATGGACACAAGGTGCATCTGCTGCTGGATGGACACAAGGTGTATCTTCTGCTGGATGGACACAAGGGGCATCTGCTGCTGGATGGACACAAGGGGCATCTGCTGCTGGATGGACACAGTGTGCATACGCTGTAGTGATGGACACAAGGTGCATCTGATACAGTGATGGACACAAGGTTCATCTGCTGTAGTGATGGACACAAGGGACATCTGCTACACTGATGGACACAAGGTGCATCTGCTGTAGTGATGGACACAAGGGGCATCTGTTACAGTGATGGACACAGGGGCATCTGCCATAGTGATGGACACAAGGGACATCTGCTACACTGATGGACACAAGGTGCATCTGCTGTAGTGATGGACACAAGGGGCATCTGTTACAGTGATGGACACAGGGGCATCTGCCATAGTGATGGACACAGGGGGCATCTGATACAGTGATGGACACAAGGTGCATCTGCTGCTGGATGTACACAAGGTGCATCTGCTGCTGGATGTACACAAGGTGCATCTGCTGCTGGATGGAAACAAGGTGCATCTGCTACAGTGATGGACACAAGGTGCATCTGCTGCTGGATGGAGACAAGGTGTATCTTCTGCTGGATGGACACAAGGGGCATCTGATGTAGTGATGGACACAAGGTGCATCTACTACAGTGATGGACACAAGGTGCATCTGCTGCTGGATGGACACAAGGTGTATCTTCTGCTGGATGGACACAAGGGGCATCTGCTGCTGGATGGACACAAGGGGCATCTGCTGCTGGATGGACACAGTGTGCATACGCTGTAGTGATGGACACAAGGTGCATCTGATACAGTGATGGACACAAGGTTCATCTGCTGTAGTGATGGACACAAGGGACATCTGCTACACTGATGGACACAAGGTGCATCTGCTGTAGTGATGGACACAAGGGGCATCTGTTACAGTGATGGACACAGGGGCATCTGCCATAGTGATGGACACAAGGGACATCTGCTACACTGATGGACACAAGGTGCATCTGCTGTAGTGATGGACACAAGGGGCATCTGTTACAGTGATGGACACAGGGGCATCTGCCATAGTGATGGACACAGGGGGCATCTGATACAGTGATGGACACAAGGTGCATCTGCTACAGTGATGGACACAAGGTGCATCTGCTGCTGGATGGACACAAGGGGCATCTGCTGCTGGATGGACACAAGGTGCATCTGCTGTAGTGATGGACACGAGGGACATTTTCTGTAGCCAAGGACACAAGGGGTATGAGCTATAGTGATGGGGGGGGGGGGGGGGGGTAGCTTGTGGTTAAAGCATTCAGTCGTCACTCCGAAGACCCGGGTTCAAATGCCCACATGGGTACAATGTGTAAAGCCCATTTCTAGTGCCCCCCGCCGTGATATTGCTAGGATATTCTTAAATGTGTGTGTGTGTGTGTGTGTGTGTGTGTGTGTGTGTGTGTGTGTGTGTGTGTGTGTGTGTGTGTGTGTGTGTGTGTGTGTGTAACCGACGGGAGCATATGATCGTAGTTTGTGTTGTAAACTGTGCTGTAGATATAATGATGACAATAACAAGATTGCATTGTGTCATAGCATCAGACATACTGATGTGTGCCATTAAGCTACCATACGCTTTCGCAATTGTGCTTTTGCACAAATGTACAAAGCAAAAATTTGAGTTCACAACTTTGGATCAATAAGCGTTCTGTCGTGCAGTCATACACGTTTAAATATAACATATGTTACATAGTTTCGTTTCATGAAACATGAAAAGTGGGCAAAAAGAACTGCTATACAACAACGTCAGAAAGTCCAACACTGAATATATATTTACTTGTGTAAGTCTTTCCATCTCCAACATAGCCAGAGCGGCGTTTGTATCACTTATGTATGTATCATGTATGTATGTATGTATGTATGTATGTATGTATGTATGTATGTATGTATGTATGTATGTATGTATGTATGTATGTATGTATGTATGTATGTATGTATGTATGTATGTATGTATGTATGTATGTATGTATGTAAACACGCATGTGTGTGTGTATGTGAGTGAGGTGAAATGGGGTTTAACGTCGCGTCCAAGATTATTGCACTTATATAGCGACGTGCATGCAGATACCAAGCCGCAGTTTAACATGAATACCCCACTGTGTGTGTGTGTATGTATGTATGTATGTTAACACGCATGTGTGTGTGTGTGTGTGTGTGTGTGTGTGTGTGTGTGTGTGTGTGTGTGTGTGTGTGTGTGTGTGTGTGTGCGTGTGTGTGTGTGTGTGTGTGTGTGCGTAAATAATCGAGCTTCAATTATTCAATATCATTAACATTTTAAACCCTGTATTTCATTATTGAGACCTCATTTCGTTGAAGTGGCATACACACAAAACTGTTGGTTCAAGTATGTTTAACTGATCCTAGGGTACATATAATACGTAAATAATTACACATGGAAAAACTATATGTGAGTATATATGAGTTTCATTTTGTCGAATCCAGTTGTTTTTTACTAGTATTCATTCAGATAATAGTATGCTACTTCCCAGCAGCATGTTAACTGCAATGACTGCTTCAATGTAGCATCTGCTGTAGTGATGGCTACACGGGACATCTTCAATGTCCCCATGACGTCAATGACGTGAAGGCTCAAAATGTTTTCAAGCGTAGCTCAGCAACAATGACTACTGACAAGATAAAACAACAACACATAGACTAATTATTACAGCAAGTTTAGCTCGAGTATTACGACACGATTGGGTAGCGGTATGCTCTTGGATTGTTTGCAATTTTACACTCATCACTCATCAATATTCTACCTGTGTCACAGCGGCCTGTAAATTATAAATATTGGCCAGGCAAACCTGGTGGCTTCACAGCAGCATGTTGTTTGAATTTATTGTCAGTAAAGGCAAAGATAATGCGATTTAACCCGAAGATGGAAGGGCTATACAAACCAACCCCGCTTTTTACACCACCCAGTGACTGAAACACTTATTTGAATAATAGCCAAAGATACGACTGCTGGAATATTTAGAACAAAACAAATCATACTGATTACTGACCCATGTATGTGTCTCCTGCAAAGAGGTCTCACATCACCACTTTATGTAGGCAGCAACAAGCAACAAATTTATCCCATCGTCGACATGGCTCAGCTTTAAATCGAAAATATTTCAAATCTTCTGATTTTTGACAAAACAGCTTTAATCTGGATATTATTTCAGCCAATAACAGGATTGCTTGAATATTTAGAACAATACTTGTCATATTCTTTCCTGGCCCACGGATTCGTCTCCTTGAAAGCTGTGCTGACAGCCGAATACCGCAGCAAGGCTGACTTCAGCTTGGCTGCTGCTGGACCCTTGAACTGAACAAAGGATAGCTGCTCCCCTGCTGGACCCTTAGCAAACACGTAGTTGAAGCCCTTCAGAGGTCCATCAGTGAACGCTGCACTGTACTGTGATGAGGGAACGCTAGCACCTAATGTCGGCACATCAACTGCTCTATTGACCTTAAACTCGGGGAACTTATTCGTAGCAGCTTTCAGTTCTGTGTCATGTAGAAAGTTGTTCAGGTCGATGTTGTCGTCAACTAAGAAGGCGACGTGCATGTTGTTGATGTAGGCAGGACTACTCCAATTGTATCTGGGGTTGAACTTGGGATCTGACAAAGATTTTCCTGCTGTATACTCCACAGTCTTTATTACGTGGTTATCGAACATGTTAAACTTTAGATCACTTCTGTCAGATCCTGCCAGAGTCGTATTGGGAACCCCTATACTCCTCGGATCCACTCCCCATGATGCCGCATCAAGAAGCTCTTTCTGGAACAACATATTCTCAACTGCATCTCCTCGAAGGTCCACTCCAACCAGTGGTTTAGGGAGCTCTTCTGAACCGAGGACCTGAGTGTAGAAGTTGACAGACTTCGAAAGATCATCTGTTCTTGTTGCAAACTCGAACATACCGTAGAGTTGTCCACTGATCCCAGCTGCTTTCTTCCATCTGTTGTCAGGGTGATTGTCCAAGAAGGCTGTGGCCACCCCCTGTCGTCGGCAGTAATTTTTGCCAAGATTGTACTTGTAACTTTTTGTAATTCGGTTTAGTTCCAGTTGCTCACCCCTCGGGCCTTTAAAGAAGGCCATTGATAAACCATCAAAGTCTCCACTGTCAAACGTAATACCAAGCTGGTTTTCGGGAACGGCTAGTCGCTCAGCCTCGTTGTGAACTGTAACAGGCCTGTTGACCTTGACCTGATCAAAACCAAGAGCATGTGATCTTTTTTCTAGTTCAGCAATGTAGTGGTTGAAATCGACGTCGTCCTTGACCCAGAAACACACAATTGGGGCCGCGATGTAGCATTGGCTGGTGCGACGGTCACGGATGTCAAAGACTTTTGAGGATGATTTCTCCACAAACTCTACAAGTTGGAGGATGTCGTTGTCAAAGACGATGAAGTTTCCGCGCACCTGCAGATACAAACGCATATTAGCTACCGTTCATCCCGAGTCACTGATACATTCTCTTCATACATTTATATGTGACAATGAGATAAGGGGCTTTGTGGGTGAAAACTCACATTTGGACTTCTCATTATGATTTAAAACTACAGTATCTTAGGAACACACCCAAAAAATTCACAATCTTTACAAAGATACATGGTATTAAACATTTGGACTCATTTTCTCCAAAGTCCGATTTTCAGACTCATAACTGCCACTGTATCAAAACTATAGCTTAAAGATATACGATCTCGTGACCATGTCGTTTGCTTAACACTGTTGAAGGGTGAGGGTACTTGGCAAGTCGAAGATCATCGAATACTACAATAACAATGCAAGTGATTGGTAACATTTCAAAGGTGTAACCTGTGAAGATCTGGGTTAGAATAGGTCTTCAGCAACCCATGCTTGCCGTAAAAGGCGACTGTGCTCGTCGTAAGATTGATGAGGCTGACTAAGTTGATAAATGCCATCTTAACCCAACTGCATAGATCGAGGATGTCTATCACTGGATTGTCTGGTCCAAACTCGATTATTTACAGACCGCTGTGATATAGCTGGAATATTGCTGAGTGCTCCGTTAAACAACAAACAAACAAACAGACTAATAAGCTAATCACCAAAGCGTGTATTTATGCTTTATCAAACACGACGTATTACTGACTTGTACACAGCCTTGGAAAGAAGCAATATCAGAAACAAACCAAGTCTACGTTCCACTTCATTATCTTTGTTTGTAAGGATGGATGTACGAGGACGAATTCTAAAATGTGTTGCCAGTAGGACAAGGAGGGTGAAAATCAACTGTTTCAACTGAGTAGGACCAGATCTCATCCTGAGTAATTGTTCACACTCTGGGTACCTATCTTGCAGACATATAGAGTGCTGATGTGGAGTCTGTCTGTAAGCATGGACTGCGCTGACACGAAACTGATCCCATCATATCAGCGATTTGCTGAATTGTAACATTTCGGTCAGCCAGAACCATGCTCTGGATAGCCTCTTACCTCTTTGCCTCTCAGAACGACCAGACCTATGATCATTTCCTTCATCGCTTAAATTCAGCAGCCAAGTTAAATATGAATGGCAGTCATCCGCAAGCGTGCTTTTGATATGTCTGAGTACTATTTCCTTTGTATGCAGGTACTTGTCTCAAACTGACCTAATGAGTACCGTTATTCTCATTGTTTTTACGGATTTCATGAGTACATGAACGGATTTCTATATACTGACCTGATGAGTACCGTTATCTCATACATGCTGACCTAATGAGTACCGTTTTCCTCTTTAAACTAATTCATGAGTACCGTTATTCCCAATATACCGTCTTCTTGCATACCGTTATTCCCTAAAAACTATTATTTAGGTCATTATTTCCTAAATACTGACTTCATTTGTGCCTTTATATTATGAGTAAGTGTATCCCTTATATGCTGAACTCATGACTGCCGTTATCCCTTATATGCTGAACTCATGACTACCGTTATCCCTTATATGCTGAACTCATGACTGCCGTTATCCCTTATATGCTGAACTCATGACTGCCGTTATCCCTTATATGCTGAACTCATGACTGCCGTTATCCCTTATATGCTGAACTCATGACTACCGTTATCCCTTATATGCTGAACTCATGACTGCCGTTATCCCTTATATGCTGAACTCATGACTGCCGTTATCCCTTATATGCTGAACTCATGACTGCCGTTATCCCTTATATGCTGAACTCATGACTGCCGTTATCCCTTATATGCTGAACTCATGAGTACCGTTATCCCTTATATGCTGAACTCATGACTGCCGTTATCCCTTATATGCTGAACTCATGACTGCCGTTATCCCTTATATGCTGAACTCATGACTGCCGTTATCCCTTATATGCTGAACTCATGACTGCCGTTATCCCTTATATGCTGAACTCATGACTACCGTTATCCCTTATATGCTGAACTCATGACTGCCGTTATCCCTTATATGCTGAACTCATGACTGCCGTTATCCCTTATATGCTGAACTCATGACTGCCGTTATCCCTTATATGCTGAACTCATGACTGCCGTTATCCCTTATATGCTGAACTCATGAGTACCGTTATCCCTTATATGCTGAACTCATGACTGCCGTTATCCCTTATATGCTGAACTCATGACTGCCGTTATCCCTTATATGCTGAACTCATGACTGCCGTTATCCCTTATATGCTGAACTCATGACTGCCGTTATCCCTTATATGCTGAACTCATGACTGCCGTTATCCCTTATATGCTGAACTCATGACTACCGTTATCCCTTATATGCTGAACTCATGACTACCGTTATCCCTTATATGCTGAACTCATGACTGCCGTTATCCCTTATATGCTGAACTCATGACTGCCGTTATCCCTTATATGCTGAACTCATGAGTACCGTTATCCCTTATATTCTGAACTCATGAGTACCGTTATCCCTTATATTCTGAACTCATGACTACCGTTATCCCTTATATGCTGAACTCATGAGTACCGTTATCCCTTATATGCTGAACTCATGAGTACCGTTATCCCTTATATGCTGAACTCATGAGTACCGTTATCCCTTATATGCTGAACTCATGAGTACCGTTATCCCTTATATGCTGAACTCATGAGTACCGTTATCCCTTATATGCTGAACTCATGAGTACCGTTATCCCTTATATTCTGAACTCATGAGTACCGTTATCCCTTATATGCTGAACTCATGAGTACCGTTATCCCTTATATTCTGACCCCACGAATGCTCTCTCTCTCTTTACTGAACTTAAGTAATGGTATCCCTGATATGCCGATATACCGTTATGTGTCAGGCTCAAGTATGTTATACATATGTACATAACTTTTAAAGATTTGTTATTAAGTAGTAAGGTTGTATGACCTTGTTGCCATTTAATAAGTTTAGTACCTTTGATACTAACATTAAACAATAAGAATATAGTATTAGTTTGTATACATTTTAAAAACAGTTGCTACTAGACCTATCATGGAAGGACATCTCATATTGCCGATCTTGAGTCAGTTTACCTTCATATGAGGATAGAGATAGACAGGAAGAAATTCATTTGCACTTGAGGTTAGTTGATGACGTATAGTATAATGTTGTTTACATGGATGATTTCAAGTTATAATAATTAAACATAGGATGTATTGTGTAGTGCATTCTGATTTGATTTATTAATATATGTGTACCATAGTGAGTGAGTGTGTGAGTTGTGTTTAACGCCGCTTTCAACAGTATTCCAGTTATATCACGGCGTCATGTGATGAAGGTCTATGACGTTTATCACGTCGGTGAAACCCACGACCACGGGTATCGTGCTGACAAACCTAGAAACATAATCGGGGCGAACCGGGATTCGAACCCGAAATCATAGGTTTCAGGCGTGCCCAAGGGCACAGCGAAACGCGGCGTTCAGACGACTGGGCCACCCGTGCCCCCTGAACATAGTCGATCACCGGGATAATCAGCGCGGTTGTGACAATCTGGTATGTAACCACCTTTATGTTTTTTGCAATTATAATAATTCCTAAAGTTACAGTCGGCATGTTCATTATCACCAAATAATTGTATAATTCTATTTATATGTTCTGCAGCCATGTGTCTTTAGCTATTCTCCAGATAAGTTGAACTAAATGGATGCGGTATAAGTGTTATTTACAGATGAAACATATATATGGGTATTTTATAAATTCCCATAAATATATTATTTCATATATATATATATACAAAAATTAGGTAAATGTTCACTCGGTGTACATGTAATATATAATAAAATAATAAAGTCCACGTTAGTCCATCATCTTCTTTATATAAGTTTCATACATAGTACTTGTCAGTTACACTGAAGAGCTGTCATGAGACAGCGAAAGTACAATGTATGAAACTGTAATAAAGAAGATGATGGACTAACGTGGACTTTATTATTTAATATATATATATATATATATATATATATATATATATATATATATATATATATATATAATGCAACAGAACTCTCTGCATAAAGCCGAATAGGTTGCACGATTCCGACAAGAGCATGTGTTTATGAATCACTATCAAATAGTAATGATACCAGGTGTTCGCGGAAAGGTCAGCGTATACTGCACCACATGCGAAGTCAAGTCAATTGTTCACCTGAACTGATGCGTCAAATTTGGAAATGTCCTCCACATGTCTACCATAAAACTTTTTGAAAGCTTTACTGGGGCCTTGAATGTTGTAACCTTCATCAAATAACTTCTGAGCAAGCGTCGTATGACGCTCTTTGAAATTTTGGTAGAAACAGCATACTCGATTGTTTCTCAAAAGTTTGGACATGTGAACACCAAAGGCTGGAGCTGCTGGAATATTGCTCGACATGAAGGAACAGTTGACTATTGGAAAGTTGGCGTCATCCCTCTTTTCATACAGTCTTGTGGTGAGTGTTTTGTCACTCTGAATCCTTATGCATAGCTCTTAATATTAAACAGATGAGGCGGTTTCTCTGGTTACCTTTATTTCTAGTTCAGGTGGGTAGATCAGTGGAAGGGAATTGGCTATTTGATTGTTATTGAACTATATCAGATCATCGATATACCTGAAGCTTAAGTTTAACTTCTTGGCCAAATTACCTTTGACTTTGACTTTGCCAATCCGAGCAGAAATTCCGAAGGGAAGCATCCTTGCCTAAATGTCTTACCCCAAATAAATAAACGTCATCAGTCTCACACCCTACAGTTTGTGGCTATTTGGGATGCTTCCTCTATTAGCCAAACTAGCGCTGTGACAGATAGTCCCTACATGTTAACCACAGGAGTTCCGTTATCCCCGATATACCAATCTCGTGAGTGCCGCTATCCCCTATTTACTGACCTCGTATGTACCGTGATCCTTTATATCAGGGACTCCAAGCTCGGCAGGGTTAACCCCTTGTGTTCTGGCGTCCAGGATCTCCTTCTGGAACATCC